CTCCTCAAAGACAGCACGATCAAGTTGCTTTTACAGCATTTAAGTCTTCTGAGGACTCACTACAGCTCAGCATGTTTAAGTCTCCCTCTTGTTCTCTGTCTGGAACTATCTGTATCAAAAAAGCAGGTGCTGCTGGCATTAAAAGCTTTTGCAGTCTCCTTCCCTTAGCAGCTCTCATCTTGACCTGACATTTGGCATCATCTCATCTCTCTCACCTTGTAAAGAAAACTTGGATAAGAAGGAGAAAGATCAGTCCTGGAAAAACAGGGGGGAAAAAAAAGCACAAGACAAAGTCGATACAGAAAATAAATAGTTATAACAGGAAGAGTAATAACTACTCTTACAACTTCATTCGTTGTCACCACCGATGTTAGTTGTTGGGCTTCACCTCACTGGCACCAGACAGCTTGCTCCACTGCCCTGATAGCGTGAGGGTGAAGCTGCTGCCTGGGCACGAGTAACGCTTTAGTTGGTCTCTACCGATGGAAGCAACAGTCGTACACAGAATCCCATGAGGCCACCGCTCCCCAGGAGAGCCCTAACGGAGCTACAAAGGCTGCAGTTACTTTACCAACAGCAGATATGCTCTCCTAGATGTTCAAATATGACATCAAACAGCTCTACAGGCCCCTTCTACCCTGCAGAGATGCCTCCCTCAGGAGAACAGTTACATGACTGTGTCATGACTGTAAATAAAAAGACTACTTCAAATAAACCTCCAAAACATCCTGCAATATTGACTTTTCAGTGCGTTGATCACTACCTTCACTGTAAGAGGCTAATGTCAATAAGGAGTAATTACTTTCGTTGCTATTTGTGGAAATGACAGGCTGCAGGGCACTGAAGGGAGGAACTCATGAGCTAGCAGGATCCGTCATTCACTTGAAATGCTCCTTTCACTTTACAGCTGTGTAGGGAGGGATTAAGCATTCACAGAGTACATCACATTTTCGTAACACGGGCACATCACGCAAAAAAAAAACTTCTTCAACACTCCTCACTTTATCTCAACTCCAAAAATAACTAAAGAGCTGAAGAATCAAGGGACGCAGACATGAACAATCACTTCAGGTACTGCTGCAGAACAAAGAAAAGCAGACCAAGAACAGTCGATGCTAAGCAGTCACATGCGGTTGCAACATGAACTCCCAACATTTGAGAAGAGCCCGTAAAACAGGCCAACGGGTTTCCCCAGTAACACAGGCAGGACAACCTTGATAGCCCGGCCACCACTAATGACACCACACCTCAGGGCTGCAGAGTAACAGCCATCTAGAGCAGATGCAGCAAGTGATGACAGCTGCAAGGCCACGTACTCCACAGGTAGCTGAGACTCAGTTCAGCACTCAAACACACAAACGCTGCTTTCTGTTGCAGAGCTGAGCTCTACCCACTGCTTTAACATCAGTCCCGAAGCAGCAAGCAAACAAGCCAAGCTCTGCAGTAGGATCCCCTGCTCCTGCTGCTCAGCAATGAGCAAACAAGAGCTACTTTTTCAGAGACATGAAACAAAAAAAAAAAAAAAAAAAAAAAAAGCAAACACCACAGAACAACAGGCATGATGAAAAAGTTGATTTGCAGGCAGGACACCCCCCAGGAGAAACAGATCAGAGTCCATGACACTGTGCAAATGGGTTACGATTCCTGTTCCCTTCGTACCCACCTATCGCTGTGTCAGTCGCCGAGCAGGCTTCAGCATGATATTGCGCAGGCAGATATTACCTCTGAGATAAGAAAGAGCAAGGGAGACTCCAGATACATTTTATAAGGCTTTTTCCATGTAGTCTGTATGAATATCCGCTGCAGAGTAACACCAACACAAGGGATAAAGCAATGCTGAGCTGATGAACGTGTACACTAACTCCTTGTGCTCTTGAACAAACACGCCTCAGCCTCACCACATCTACGCAGAACCCCTCCTAGAAAGGTACTAGAACAATTAAGCAGTTTGAGCAGTACGAGCACAACAGCAAAGACTAAATAAATATTTTTAAACCCTTCAGAGAATTCTTTTCTCTGTCACAAATAGCTCACTCCCTTGCACACACATCACACATCTACAGAGTGTGAAGATTTCCTGATTAGTAGACACTTTTTAAAAATATCATGGTTTTGAGAGGAAGTTACCAGTTGAAAATGGCGAGTCAGGAGGGAGGGATACTTAGTCCGCAGAAAGAAATCTGCGACCAGAGAGAGCCCTTCATGTAACTAAGAACAAAGGTGGGTCACTTCACCTGCTCTTTACATTACAGAAATTAATTTAGCTTACTGGTTATAGCTTTGCAGACTAATAGCTTAAATAATGTACATTACTTTCAAAAGGAGTAAAAACCAACAAAGATACTTTCCCCCCAAATCATCAGCCATTGTGTGAGTGAATACACACCTGAGATGCAGCCAGAAGGAGATAAAACAAAGGTAAAAAAGCTGTCACCCGCGCCCAGGCACAAGCGCAGAAGATGACAAAGCTACTGGCAATTTTCAAGATGGATGGATAAGGGAAAACCTCTGCTACATGCACCCCTATGCATATACTTTTTGTTTCTAAAACACACCCATTTCGCACTATTTCAGTGCATTTATTGAAATGCACTGCAAGAACATCATAAAGATCACCGTGAAGCTGAAAACAGCTTCCCACCCAGCACGCCCCACACGCAGCAAAACCCCTTGGCCTTGTCTGGCACCCAGAACAACTACCCTCTGCCCCAGCACAAGGAGGAAGCCCAAGCGGGTGTTTTCCATCTCCTAACCACGCTGTAAGGCAGGGCTGGGCTGTGAGGCTTCGGAGAACTATTGATATTGGAAAAGCCCTCCAAGATCCAACCATCCAACCGTCCCCCTACCGCCAATGTCACCCACTAAGCCATGTCCCCAAGCACCATGTCCAACCCTTCCTTACACACCCCCAGGGATGGTGATTCCACCACCTCCCTGGGCACCCCCTTCTGATACCTGACTGCTCTTTCTGAGCAGAAATATCTCCACATTTCCAACCTGAACCTCCCCTGGCGCACCTTGAGGCCATTCCCTCTAGCCCCATCGCTGGTTACCTGCCACCAGAGGCTCCCCACGGCTGCCCAGCTCTCAGGGGCACAGCCCAGAAAGGAGAGAAACCCCCATTAAGGCTTCTCCGTGGGCTGCATTTGGGGTGCAGCACACCTCCCCTCCCCGCAGGCACACACGTGTGCTGCGCTGCCACGACGGCGCCTCCCCAGCCCCGCTCCCCGCAACCCCCCCAGCTCGGGGGGCGCTCAGGGAGGGTCCCCCCGCTCCCCACATCCCCACAGGAGGGCAGGAGGGAGACTCACGGGCGCCGGCGGCTCCCTCCGGCCCCGGGTAGCTCAGCAGCAGCACTGGCAGGGCGGCCCCGCCGCGGGGAGCCGGGGGTCTCCACACGCTGGGCGGCGCGGCGGCGCCTCCATGGCCGGGGTAGAGGAGGAAGAAAGGCGGCGAGGCTGGGGGAGGCGAGGCGGGGGGCGCTTCGTCGTCTTCTTCTGCCGCTCCACGGCAGGGCTCGTCCCGCCGCTCCATGGCGGGGGGCAGCTCCCCGCCGCCCCCGTCCCCGTCCCGGCAACTTTCGGCCACGAGCGGCGCCCGCTCCGCCTCCGCCATCGCCGCCCCGGGCCGCGGCTCCGCCCCGGTGGCGAAGCTGGGCCTGGGCCGGCCTCCGGCCTCCGCCCACGGCCGGGCCCCGCTGCTGTGGCGCCCCCTTTCCCCTCAGGAGGGACAGGGGGAACGGCCTGGGACCCGGGGGTGGCCTCAAGTTGCGCCAAGGGAGGTATAGGGTGGAGATGAGGAGACATTTCCTCTCAGAAAGAGCAGCCAGGCACTGGGAGGGGGTGCCCAGGGAGGTGGTGGAGTCACCGTCCCTGGGGGTGTGCAAGGAGGGGTTGGACGTGGTGCTTAGGGAATGGGGTCAGTGGGTGATGCTGGTGGTGACGGGGACTGCTGGACAAGATGATCTCGGAGGGCTTTTCCAATGTTAATGGCTCTGTGATGCTAAAGCCCCACGTCTCCACCACAGGAGGTGTTCACAGAAGCCAGGCTGTGTCTGTGGCAGTGAGCAGGCAGCCCCAGCCTCCCTGCTAAAACACCGCTGCCCTGCTAGGGACAGCCGTGCTTCAAAACCAGCCGCTGCCCCTTCCACCTGCACTCCCGATGTAGCTGGCGAGTGAGCAGCAAAGAATAGAGAAAGCAGCCCAAGGAGGTGCGGGGCTGCCTCAGCTGCTGCGCTTTACTGGGCCACAAGTTTCATGGGGGAAACGTGGATTTTAATCTGGGGAAACCCAGATTTTAATCTGGGGAAACAACCCCCAGGAAGTCAGGATACCACATGTGTTAACTTATCTGTAAAGTCAAGCCATGTCCCCACCTCTTGCCTCCCCCTCACTTTCCGGAGTGCAAGATCTTACTGACAACAGCATTTTCGGATCCTTTGACAAGAGGCGACAACACAAACTCCAAATACAGTCTTTACCATTAAAACAAACACATTGGTGGTGCCCCATTGGAATCTCACCTCAAAAACAGCCTTTAGAAAAGCGGTGATAAAGAATTTTCATTCAGGCAGGGCTTTAAATGTGGACCACGGTGTTATCAGCAGAGGGAGAATGCAAATCTGCCAGTTTTTAAAGAATATCCTGTATATTCAGTATACTTTGGTCAGACTGAAACAGGATGCTTTTTTTTTTTTTTTTTTCAATCTCACATAACAGTTGCAAAACCAAAGCTGCAAAGGCAACTGATTGCTGGAGACTTTGCTGTTGCGCTGCCCCAAGTCATGCAATATGTTGCAGCTAATTTAACAGATGCTTTAATCCCTTTCAGAAATCCAAACGTTTGGGTTTGAGATTTGTATTTGCCAGTGCTAGCGAGAGCAAAATCTCGTGCAAACTGTTGCTGATAGCAAACAATGGGAGACAACTATGAAAGCCTTCACAAAATTAAAGCAGTAGCAAATGTACTTCCTTCTGAGTTATCGAATACATTTTCCTTACCCTGCACAAACAGAAATTCACGTTGTGACACAGAAAGCACTGTCCAACTCTCTGCCCTTGGATTTTTTCAGTTCCAACTTCTAAAGGCAAGCCAGGCTTACTCTGGATGCAACTACTGGAAGAAGGAAAAACAAAACAGTGTTAGCCATGAACTTGCTCCACTTATTTTCCTAACCATCATCCGTGATCCTTCCCGTCTTTCACATGCATCTGTTTTACCAGGGGTCTTCAAAATCTATTTACCATCAGGGATTGCCTTTAAGCACTAAACATCTACGAAGCATTTCTTAGAGCAATGCTATGGTGTGCCCCCTCCCATGGCATTAATAATCACAGCCTTCCCATGATTACTCACACATAAAACCATACTGGAAAGAACTACTGATGGCTTCGTCCAGTCTCTGAACCAACCAACTGAACAAAATGCCATGTTTCATCTTCATTAAAACGAGTTGGTGCCGCAGACCTGGGAGACGAGCTGGGCCATCTGCTGGCTGCCTGCGGTGGGCACGCTGACACGCTGCGCTTGCTCTTGCCTTTAGCCCTAATCTTGACGTTTCTGGAAAGCGAGCCTGTAGTTGCACCATAATATACATCCCTTATTTATTGCTCAGATGGAAGCTGCCAGAATTTTGCTTGCCAGCTGCCTAAAGCTTTTTGAGGGAACACAAAACCACCTTGGATACTTGCAGCTTGCCTGCCTGTGGAAGCGCATCAGCCCCTCATTTTCGCACAAAGTGCAAAACGTGCACGAGCAGATGCTGTAGTAATGAGATCAGTTAGCACCTCTGCGGGACGTTTTTCACATCCTGTGTGATGCCTGCCAGGAAACACTGCTCCTCTGCTGAAAAATCACCTAAGCTGCTTTTTCCCCAGCACATAAGCTTTCACCAACCAAAAAGCTGTAGCTCAGCATCATCACTGGTAGGCCTCCATCATGATTCCAGTGCAGAATTAATATAAATGGTTTCATTTTGGGAAAAGCACCAGTTCCCTCCTCGGTAAGGCTTAGACTGGTTTCTCATTTTGGAGCAGACTTGTCATGTTTCACATGAGCAAGCACCCTGGGAAGAGTGTCTTCATCCCCAAGGCCAACAGGTTACACTTGGCCACCTGGTCAGACAGGGCATCACTCAAATGAAAAGGCATTTTCAGTGACCCCTTCAAGCAAGCCTCACATTTGCCTTGGTGATGCTCTTGCAGAACAAGGGTTTGACATGTGCCTCTTCCCAGCTTCCCCAGAGAAGCCAGCTGCAGGGCCTCAGTACAACAATTTTCACCTTCTAGCAGTCGCTGCTGGGACTTTGGGATGTGAGAAATGAATCCTTACCCTTGCAATCACCTCCAACCTTTCCTCTCCCCACGTAGAGACCTCCTACCAGCACAGACAAGACCAGCACTGACCAGAAACACCAAATTCTTCTTCTCTGCTGCTATCAACACTCCCCAGGCGCTTACAGTCAGTTTCTATTACCCCTTGCCGTGCAAAATGCCTTGGCTCTGCAGGCAGGCAAAGACCTCCCGGTCAATTGCATGGAGGGGATCAATTCACAGCGAGCTGGTTTCTATGGAGCAGGGGTTTATTTTTTTCTGTATTTTTTTAAAGCAGTGTTTAACTGCGGTTTGGCCTACGAACAGCAGGGGGCAAACGAATACAGGACCATTAAAGTCAGCAGAACTTGTCATTTCAATATTTAGCCCTGTGCATTCAAATACTGAACTGAGTTCTCTCTGAAATTCGGACATTCAAAGACTACAGAAAGCCTCCCTACTTCCATTCCCATCTGTCCAGTCTATGTTTGTCTATTTTCACCTCTCCCTTTAAGAATCAGCTTTAAAAGTTACCAAAACTGTCTCCAGTCAGCAATCACGAATGTTCCTGTGCAGGAAAAGGCTTAGGATGTAAAGGTTTGCATCAAATGCTACGGAAACACTTTTCATGTGCAGAAAACGAGCAGTGTTGGCATGTTTTAAGTACAGTGCCTAGCCTGTCACAGGTTCACCACTACACATTCATATTTTGGCTTCCCTGAGACTATCGCAATAAACACTAGCTACACTGGTGCTTCCATAACACGAAATGGTTGATACTCACTAGACAACTGACCCTCTTAAGGGAGTCCACATGGCAAACAGACAGAGCCTTTCAGGTGGTACTGGTACCCAAATAAGATGCAGGCTCACCGAGACAGATCCTAGCCACATATGCACGTCTTACCTCAGGAGTGTTACACTTGTAACATTAATGAGAAAATCAATGACAACTCCTTCACCACATGAACTGGAAGTGCCCACTCACAATCAGTTCCCAGCAAGAATTTATTTCAGTGCCAGGTTAGATGTGTTTTCCCACTAGAGGGAAGTAACCAAAACATGTTGAAAATTTACCTTCGAAGTGCAAACAACATTATGTCTTACCAACTTGTCCTGCAGCACTGCCAGGTTAGACATACAAGTGTGTAACAGTTTGTTAATTTATCTTGGATGAAGTTAATGAATTCATCATAGGTAAGTAACTATGCAATCCAGAAGTGCCCTTGCTTTGCCTCTCACTGAATTCAGGAGCAGGTAAAATAGTATCTCAGGCCACATGGGATTTAGGTAACAGCTTCCTGCTTTGCTACTGAATTAAAAAGATTTAGGAGGGTGAGAACAGTTGATTCTTACATGTATGAACACAAGGATGAGTTAATCAGAGCACAAACTAGAGGAAATACCATAACCATGTATCTGTAGCCCTATGCAGAAAAAAAGGATGTAAGAGGACAATGCAGTAAGGAGGAGGTGGTGGTGACAGCTGCACAAATCCCATTCTCAGCCCACCCTTGGAAGGATGTTCCCTCTGCCCTCATCCCACCCGGTCCATTCCCTTCCCCTGACCTGACACCTCCCTTGCAGCCTCTCAATTGCCTGTATTTACAGCACAGAAAGACAAAAACAAGCAAAAAAAAAATCAAAGAAAAAAATCCCACTTAAGGATGAAAACCACACATTCTTTAACAAAAAATTTATTGTACTCAAAACTAGTTATTTGCAGCTCTCTGAAACAGAGAAAAATAAGTTTCACTGAAGCTTTCTGCTTTTCTTAACCCCGGCGCGAATGCCAGACAGCTCCCCGCCGTATCGGTGCATCTCCGTCCGAACCTCGCGGACCTGGCCCTTCCGGCGAATCTTGGCCTGCCGAAACTTCTCCCGGTGCTTGACCCTGGGGTTACGATCAATCTTCTTCCTCTTGGGGGTGAGGCCTTTGTTCTTAATCATCTGATAGGTCACACCTCTCTTTTTCTTTGGATCCACCTCCTGCAGCGCTTCTTCTTTGAGCACGTCCTGGTCTTCGGTTCTCTTCCTCTTGAGTTTCAGCTTATCCTCCATCAGCTTATAGTATTTTAGGGCAGCCTCTTCATCCAGGTCGGACTCGTCTGCCTGTTCCTCAGCAGCAAGCCGGCCGTTAGCAACCCCAGGAGCACGTTTTGGTTTGTTCTTCCTGGCAGCCAGATACAGAAGCGCCGGAAACTTCTTCCGCTCTCGCAGTTTTTCCTCCTTCTTATCGTAATAGTTCCTCAGAAGAAGGCGAACCTGCGAGAGTAACCTCTGGTCTATCACAGCCAGGTCATTGATGATATTCCTGTAAGCAACCAACCGCTCAATGACGGGGTGACTGTGAGCTGGCATTCTCTTTGACTTTAAAACCAAATAGAAACTGATATTGGCACAGTAATTCAGGTAAATCTGATACTTCATCTGCAGATAGCGGCTGCCTTTCCCCTGAGGGATAGCGCCACTTCTGACCATTTCCAGCAGTGGCTGCAGCTCATCCTTGAGCTCCATCAGCTTGACTTCAAAGTCCTCAATCAGGTGCAGGAGTTCAGGGGACTCCTGCTTCAGTAGCTTCAGCTGCTCCTTCTTGGAAAGGGCCTGCAAATCCTTGGCAATCTTCTGCCCCTTGCTGTCGTGGGTTTTCTGCTGCCCCGCCACGTAGCCCTGGATCACATCCAGCCCATAATCATCCTCCCCCAGGTCCTGCACCAACCGCCTCTGGATGACTTGAGCCTCCTGCTCCTCTTCCTCCTCCTCAGCATCGACCTCTTGCTGGCTACGCTTACCCTTGGCCTGGCCATCACTCCCGTAGTCCGTGTCGTAGTAGAGCTGCTTGCGGCGGCCCCAGGACAGCTCGTGGGGGAGCTCGGTATCCTTGCTGCGCTCTTCCAAGTCGCTTTCCATGGACAGGTCCTCATCTTCATCCCCCTCATCCTCCTCTGCGCTGCGATCCAGATAGAACTCGGCTCCCTCCTTCTCCTCCTCACCCTCCTCCTCCTCATCATCCTCCTCCAGCTGCAGCCCCAGCACTTCATCTTCCTCCTCCTCTTCCTCCTCCTCGTCCTCCTCCGGCAGCTGCAGCCCCAGCACCTCCTCCTCCTCCTCCTCGCTCTCCCCAGCCTCCTCCCCGCTCTCCAAGGCCGCCATCACCGCCTGGAACTGCGCCTCATGGAAGTCCTCCACCTCGTCCCCCAGCCCCTCGGGACCCACGTCCCCTCGGGGGGGAACCTCCACCTCCTCCTGCTCCTCATCCTCCTCCTCCTCGCCCCCACGGCGGCGGGCGGGTCGCGGCGGGGGCCTCAGGACGGTTCCGCGCCGCGTCCTCATGGCGCCGCTGCCGCCTCAGCCCCGGCTTCCACCGCCGCCCCTTCCGCTCCGCCGCCTCCCCGCTCCTCCCCGCTCCCCGTTCCCCTGAGCTGTGGTTCCCCCTCGGCCCGTGCCCCCAAAACTGTTTTATTTAGTTAGTAATTTATTTATTTTTAGCTGACGGGTGCGCGGAGCGGTGGCGGATGTCAGCTTATTCTGCCATCATTAACGGGAGTTTCTCCTTGCCTCCCCGCAGCCAGGCTGAAGTTTCAGAGGGGAGAAGTGCTTGGAAAGCTCCCCCGAGCTATCTGTATTATCCCTCCAGCTCCTCACCTTCACTAAATTGCGTCTCTGACAGAATTTGGGCATCTCCTGGTAGGAAGCACTGCTGGGGCTGCTCGAGCAGTGCCCGTGCTCCTTGGATCCCCCCTCTCATGCCAACAGATCCAAGCAGGGCAGCAGTAAAGGAGCAGGGTGGATTTTCAGCAGCGGGGAAGCCCTCATCAGGAGGGTTTTTCAAGTTGTCTGTACTCCTTCAGACTTACATTCCTATCCTGGATGGCTGCTTGTTTGTTTCTGGCATCAGGCACAGAGGGCCTGGCCTGGCCTCCCCCAGCTTTCCCCTGGGAAAATCAAATTAACACCAAGCCACATGGAAGCAGGCTGTTTGGAAGTAATGTGGACATACAGCCACAGTCACAAGAGTAGACGGAGTAAGTGAAGAGTTCGTGGTAAAGAGTTTGGTATGATCTGAAGCCCTGCCCACCCCCCCTAAGTCCGATAAATTTGGCAGCCACACAATCCCAGGAAGAGAAGTTCTGTGCAGAAGCAGCGCAGGTGCTTTTTTCTAGCCACAGAACAGGTGCAGCTTTATTTATAAATACACGTGTCCAGCTTCCTGTGGAAAAAGTCACACTGGGCAAATATTAAAGTTAACTAAAGCAAGAGGATGGGGTGCAACTTCACTCACTTTTTGGCGCTTCACTTGGATTCTGACAGATTTGATGGTAGATCAAGCTCAGTTATGAGCCTTTGTCCTGACATGCTCAGCTTTTCCACCAAGTCACTTCTGGGTCAAAATTTTCCGTACTTGCTTGCACACCAAAGGTATGTTTTGCCTCAGACAAGGACACCTTTTCCAAATCCATCAGTGCCAATTTTCAGATACCACCTCCTCTGGATACAGGCCTGTGTCAGAGACAGCAATAAAAATGACTTGGTTTTGAGAAGTGAGACATAACATTCGCATAGCTTGTTACCTACACATAGGTAGAAATTCTCACTTTGTACTAGTTGGCCACTAAAATACAACCGTCTTTGCTGATCAGACTTTGTAATCTGCCTGCTTAATCTTACCATTTTTTTGTGAAGCCCATCCAGAGCAGTCTGCAGCCACATGGTTAAAATTCTAGATAACTTTTGCAAGTGTGTCTCCAGTTTGAGTTAGTTTACCCCATTTTCAGGACTTGACAGGCTGAAGCACGCTGCTTTGATGTAGGCAATCACTGCTCCTCAGATGGCAACTGGTGACTGCTGCAGGTCTGTTTTTAATCCACTATTTTCTCCGCTTCTGAGTGAGAAGCAAGGAGAAAAGAAAGATGTGGGACAGACTGTGAGTGGATAGAATGTTATTTCGAGATACCCTGTGCAACGCTATGGATATCCTTCTCTCCAGCATAGCAAGGGCATGCAATGACCCGGCTATTTTGCCTCACCTCATCCAGGCATCTGCCCAGTTTCTAATCTGGAAAAGCCTAATTCATTGTGTACCAGGCTAACTGGAGGCACAGTGATGCTGAGACCCCAAGGCTGGTTTTTATTTCTTTTCAAATTCTGTTATTCTTCCAGTAGCCTCTGCCTTGGGTAGCTCCCCACTCAGCCCAGAATTCAAGCCTGGGATGATGGTTTGCCAGCCCCTTGCCAAACTGCCTCCATTTTTTTAATACCTGCTTGCCCAGATAATTTTATGGTTATCTAACATGTCACACAGTAAAAAGGGGGTAGTCCTTAAAAGTAACAGCCCGCAAAACAGATTCTACTCCAAATAGTTTGAAATCTAGACAGAAAGCCTCAGAGAAATGCAGGTGGCTGAGGGTGACTAAAAATGGCTCTCACGCCACCACGTAAAGACAAAGGGACTGCACATGCAGACACACAGATTTAGCAACTGAAATTCAGCTATGCTGAGTACCAGCAGTCAGGGAATCCACCGAAATCAACAGAATCACACAGAGTATCATTCTGCACAGTCTCTCCATTCATTATCTTTTTAAAAATTCATAGATACCTCTGCTTGGATTTTATTGGTGCTGTAATTTTATCAACGTAGATATGCAGAATGTGTCAGCCTCTTTTGCCTGTGCTCTATTTTGCTGCATTCATTCTTCCTTCTTATTTTTTAAAAATCTCTTCTTTGATTACAAAAAATGACTACAAAAGGTGACTGAAACAAATAGTGCTTTAGATAGATATTCCTTCCCTGCTTCATCCCCACCATGGTTAGCCAGGTTTATTTTTAACTTTATGCACTAGATGGGCACCTTCCTGCTTCAGAAGGAGGCTCCGCATTAAACTCTGTTGGCAATACTTTCTGGGAAGGAGGAAGATGAAAGGAAAGCAAATTTTGCTATCATAAGGCTGCAGCGTCACTTTAGAGATCAGGTTTTGTACCAAAGAGTTATGGAATATGACTCTTGGAGCTGGGCTTGCATCCATTTTCACCTGCTACCTCCCTGGGGAAAGCCCCTTGTGTCAGTGCTGCTGATGCAACACAAAAGCTCTTTGCATCATGCGACTGCCTGATGAGATGCTTGTGCTGGCAGGAGAAAGTTCAGGACACAAATGCCAGGGTCTTCAAACAGCTCAACTGCTAGGAACCCAGCTACCAAGGTCCAAAGAAAGGGAAAACAACCTGTAAAGTGACAGGCTGCTATTTCAGGGTCTGGGATGTTGGCAGTGTTACAAATAACACCAGCCTCTTGAGAACCTGGCATGAGTGACCAACCCTGGGGAGCCAAGGGTGGCACATGCAGTGTGAAAAGCTTGTATAGCATCATGGGGCTGCTGCCCTCTGCGTAAGAAGCAGCTGGAGCAGCACAGGGAGATTTGCTGTGTGCTGCTATTGTTAATCAAGAATAAACTATCCTTGCAGCCAGCAGAAATTCAGGAAACACTAATACTGTAACCCTAAGAATGGGCCTGCTAGCATGATACCTTGCTCTGCCTCCCTTCTGCCTCAAATAAAATTACAAGATTTTATCCCATCGTAGATGTCTCTAATAGCACCTGGTAAAAGGTGTTATTAGAGATTCAACTTCCCTTACAAAGTGGCCTTTCCTGTGCAAGATATATGCATACACTCCAAAGAAAACCCTAGTCATTGCAAGCTATATTGCAATGCATTTTTATTATTTTATTTTTTCCCAGAGTTACACAGGTGAACACAAACCCTGGGACAATTAATAAATAAATCATCTCCACTACTCTTTTTTTTTTTTTTTTCTTCCAGAGTGAACCAAGCATATTAAGGAAAGTCTGCATGACAAATACCTCAAAGAATTTAAAATGTCTGCGTTCACTGGAAAATGGTTGCCTTGGACCTTACACAGAGCCCTTCATATATCATGCATCCCATGGAGTCCCTTCTCTATTCATAGGGAAAGAAACTCCTTGATGCCACAGGCAGAGCACTGGAGGAAGAGCTCAGCTTTGCCATTGCCATGCTGTTGCTTTACCTCTTTTACCCCTCCCACGTCTCCTTTTGTCTGCTTTGACTGAAAACTTCTTGGGGGCCGGTCAAGTCCTTAATATATGTTGCACATCATCTGGTGCAAACAGGATTCTGATTCTGAAGCCTAGCATGTTCTTACAGTACGGGTCAAACTATCCCCACAAGAATCTGATTGCTCAAAACTCAAGAGTAAGAACTGTGACCCCTTGGCTAGCTGGACACTTTCTTACGTTACACTCCTGAGCTCGAGGTGGCAGAGTGCCAGTGACACCAGTGGTAAATTGGTCCCTCGAACCCAAGGTGTTTTTTCACTCCCTTGTACCCAGAAGCTTTGTTGCATGTTGGTGATGAACAGAACTTTTGGTGATGAACTTTTAAGTGCACAGTAATAGCGCAACCCCTACCCCCAACCACCTTTGAAAGGCAGAAGTCTCTGCGCATTGAACATGCCTGGTTTCAGTCCCCAAGCCACATCTTTCACAGTGTCAGTGGTAGCCGGCTGGGCTGTTTATTTTAGGAAACAAATAGCCGTATCATTTGCACACGCCCTTATAGGCAGACACACGCTCTCCACTCACATTCTTCAAAAGAAGTGAAGGCAAGATGAAGAGCTCTTTGTTGCCGTGGGTGGCTTTGGCTGTCTCCTTGGAATTCGTCCTTGTGGCAGGTAGGTGAGAAATTAAAACCATGGAAAACTTTGCTTTATGAGGGATGTGTGCTGTGTAGGTGTCTGTTAATAATTTTAACAGTGTAAATCAAAGCTTGATGCCTGCTCAAGAAGTCTTGCTTTGGTGGTGCTTGGACACGTCAGTGTCTTCCTGCACCACGCAGAGTGGTGTGTTTTTAATTCCCATTTATTTTTTTAATATATTTATGTTAATAAAGCCTAAAAGAGTGATGAATGGTGGCAAATTCAAGCTTTTGTAATTAGCCATTCTTAATCATGTATCTGAAGCAACAAACCACAAAAATGGAGCCTGTTTTTATGCAGCCCTAGGTAGCTTGAAAGACTTAGCTGCTAGGTTTTAAGGCTTCTAAAATCCTCTTGCTGATCCTGTCAATGGCTGTGGCCATTTCTAATTAAACTGTTATTTAACTCCACTACATTTTGTGGAAGGACTCTCGATTTTTACCATGGGTACTGAGATCAGACTCTCATCCCAGCACATCATTCAGTGTGGTTCACAGGTAATGGGTTCTGACTATCCTACTGCCAGATCTCTATAGCACAGTTTAAAGTCATCCTCATTCACACAGCGGATCTGGTCCACAGGACTAAATCCATGCTTAGGAAGAACTACTCTAGCAGCACGGATAACAGCATCCATGCATTTCCTCCGGCTTTTGGAAAGCAGCCTCTTACTGCAGAGCCAGGCAGGTCCTCGAAAAGCCCTGCTTTCTGTGAAGTATATTATAACTGCAGGGAAGTCAAAATTTAGTTGTGTGCAACTACAGGAGTGACATTTGTGCTACTTACATCAAAGTATCTTTCTGGCCTAACTGAGCTTCTTCTTCCTTTAATGAAGTAGCCACCTTCACATGCAGCAGAGTTTGAACAGGTATTTTTGGAATTAATTTGCTTCTTCAACGTGCAGCAGTGGGATTTTGTTGAGCTTTGTCTCCATATATCATATTACAGGATATTTTCAAATATGAGAAATGTTATCAAAATCTCTGCATGAATATTCATCAGGGAAGAACATCACATTGCAGTAAGTTATGCACCAGAAGATCCAACCCTGCAAACATTTAGAACAGCATTAAGAACTTTTGTATTTAAATACCTTCTCTTTAAAGAAACTTTACAGGCCAACTCATGGAATCATTACTGATAAATCTAAAAAAAAAAAATCTTATTTGCAGCTTTGTAATTTTACTTTAAAAATATGGAGCACCTGTAACTTTTATGGTTACTGAAGCCAGTACTATTACACAAGGAATTAAATTCAGGACAGTGGTTTTAGAGTATAGTCTAAAAATCCCCTCATATTTATTAAAAAACAACAAAAAAAAATTGTTAATAGCATTTTATGATTAAGATAAATTAAACTGCTCCCAAAGGTTTGGGGACAACTTAAATATTGGGTTTTGATAAATTTCTTAGAAGAATCACACACAATGTTGCATAGAAAATACAGTGACAGACAACAGGGGAAGATCTCTAGCTTCTTGTTCTTCACAGAGTTTTTCTATAAGAAAAAAGAAGAAAGACCAAGACTTAAAGATACAGAGACTAAAGAGACTTTTTAAGTTAGCTTCTGCTTCAGAGGGCAGTGTTTATGTTATATGATGAGTTGGCAGCAAGGAAACATACAAAGCAATAGAGAATGGAAGAAGGTGTGCGAAGACAAATAAGTACCACTAAATTGTGAATATTCACCTGTGTCACATTTTGGATTTCTGCCTTGGTACAGCACAATCAGACGTGAGACCAAACTTACTTTCTGCATGGTTTGTAATTGGCATTTGTATAGATAGCTACTTGTGCTAGGTTCAGTACAGACAAATGCTAAATGCCAGCCACTGTTGTAAAAGGACTAAACAAGCATATGCTCTAGATGGACAAAGATAACCCCATGAGCAGTAGCAAAGGCGGCATCTCCTCCATGCCTGTAGTGGCTTGCTCAGTTGGACAAGAGGAGGGACTGCAGTAGCTTCTTTCCCAACTGAGAACTGCCCCAACGAACCTTCTTTAGAAGGTATTCTGCTGCCAGTTATCACAGAAGCAGCATTTCTACCGGTCACTGAATTTTAAGATCACTCTGAGGCATGATTTCAAGATGTTTTAGAGCCTTTTTCATCAATATGAGGCTTCTAAGGATCTTAGTAAATAACCCAGTGCAATGCAAGCAGATGGGACCAGTGTATTGTAGGGACAGGAGTGAAGCTCCAAGAAGTCTTATGTAGAACACCTGGAGTGCTATTTACATGGCATTGTATGGACTCTTGGGACATAAAGTAAGGTCTCCTGATCAGTGCTGCAGAGGTCTTGTTACCATTCAGTCTTGGGGACAGTTTCACCTAACAGTTAAGCTTCCACTAATAGCATCTAACAATTAGAAACCTCACAGTGTGACTCCATGTGCTTCTCCTGGATCCCAGCTTTCCTAGTGCTCCCACAGGTGTGAGCTACTATCCCTTTCACCCTGTAGCAACAGGATCTGCTGTTCATACAAGCCAGCAGCATTGGACATGAAAATGAAAAAGCAGCCGTGAGCTTATGCAGCAGGGGCAGCTACTTCCTTAGTGAGCCATTCTTCTGTGATCCAGAAGTCCACCTATTAGGACCAAAGCTGTTAAGTGACTCTCAAATCCCCCAGTGACATGATGAACATGTTTTTAGACTATTTCGTTCTCCCTATGGTTAAACTAATGGGTTAGAAGTAAGCAAATCCTCAGAACTGAAGTCTGTCTGAGCCCAACTATTCCTATCTTTCAAACACTCAGAGTTTTCTCATACTTCTACGCGGGCTGAAGGTACTGTTGGAAGAGTGATGTAGCAAAATGATAGCTGTGACTATATAGCAGCATTAAGAGATAAAGGAATGTGAAAATGACCATTTAGGAAGGGTGTGACTGTGCATGTAAAAGCAAAGCCAGCTTGTTACAGGTGAAGAGACCAGAGGCTGCTGGGGAAAGACAGTTAGGAGAGAATAAATTATTTCAAATCCATTTGCATGTTCAGAGAGGAAGCAGGCATCGCATGCCAACAGAAACATTTAAAAAGTCTCTGGTTGACAGATGGGAAGTTTTACCCAGCTGTTTTGACTGAGTTTCACATTGAATAATATGCTAAAAGTACAGGATACAAACATACCCAGAGCTGGCTCTTCTCTATTTGACTCAGCTCCACAGCTGCCAAACTCAGTTTGATTAGGAAAAGAATATCAGAAATTCAGGACTGGAGTTTTCTGAGCAAACCATGGGATTGTAAGGGCCACTTGCTTTCCAGTACCAGTTCATCAGGCTGCCTTCCTGCTTCATCCTCTAGTGCTTTTTGTCATTGATTCCCTCAATAATCTGGAAAGGAAAATAGCACTGACAGAAAGCTGACACATCTGCCGTGTTGGCACTGTCATAGATATTTAGAAAGCCCAGATCTCAACTAGGGTTTGGACTGCTAGACCAGTCCTTGTGCGTGATACAGCAATCAGGTAACCTCCTTAGCAGAGGCAAGTGTAAAAACAGCACTTTAGCTGCCAGGTATAGCCAGAGGCTTGTGTTTCATGAGAGATCCCGACTTGTTTTCGTCTCACTTATCAGCAATGCAGTGCTCAGGTTCATCATTTTCTCCCTGCCACTTGCATCTCCTCCACATCATATAGAAATAGACTGTAGGCTGAGCAGGCAAGAGAGTTGAAGCCCATCTTTGTCAGTTGTCTCATTTCTGCTTGTTGTGACCTGAACTTCAAGCAATATAGATGCCATAATGGGGCATCGCTGAGATTCTCATTTCTTCACTTTCTGACAGAGCATGTCACAAGGTTTTTCTTTTCTACCCCTGAGGTGGCATATCCTGTGTTTGCAGGTACTCTACTGGACTATGATGGTGAGGAGCGTGTGCTGGTTAACAACAAGTGTAAATGCACAACAGTGACCTCAAGGCTCGTCCCCTCCAAAGAAAATCCTGATGAGGAAATCCTGGAAAGAAACATACGCATCACGTAAGTGGCAGACAAGTCTTAGGTGGAGATGGTGAGCAGGAGACTGTGTTGCAGGAGTTCCCCTTTTCCTTGCATTTTTTCCACATGTCCTGGTGTTGACAATTTAGACCTGTTTTTCCCATGGACCTACTTTCTGTACTATCTTGGAGTAACTCCTTTTGAGCTCAAAAAAATTTATTTATTTTTTTTTTTAAGAGAAAAGGAATATCAGAACTGATAGCTTGAAAATATCATTAGTGAAAGGCAGCACTTTCAGAAGTTGCTACATTATTATTGGGGTGAATTTTACAGTCTTTCCAGAGATGCCTAGAAACCAGGCAAAAAGTATCTCATTGCCTTCAGGGGCACAGAAAAGCTCAGACTTGCTGTTCTTGAAGAAGGGTCAGAAAGGAAATAACCTGAACAAAGAACAAGATCAGAGTTGAGAATTCATTACAGCAGAGTAGTCCCCTGTTTAACAAGCAGTTTTCACAAGAGGAATTCTCTCCCTTCCTTTCCAGGGTCCCACTCAGGAGCCGACAGAACATCTCCGACCCCACATCCCCGCTCAGAACCACTTTTGTCTACCGCATGGCTGAACTGTAAGTATTTTTCTTCACTAAATTTATTTCCTAACACCCTACCCTGCAGCACTGCCTCCAATGGTTCACAAACATCTTGAAGGATAGTAGATAAAATAAGGCAACATCACAGAGTGAAGTTCTTTTTCAGCCTGTTTTTTCTATTCTGTTGCATGCCAATGAATTATCTCCATGATTAAGTTGCATAAAAAGACCTCACATTTGCAGATAAGGTTTCACGCTGACCCCTCTTGATCTTGAATGTCTGAAATATCAAGAAATTATGTATTTTCCTCTTCAAGCCTCCCTTTTAGGAGGCCAGTCATATGAATAGCAGTTTGAAAAAAAATGAGAGCATCTGTCTGGGAGTGCGTGTGCAAAATACATGGTCTGGAAAAGCCACAGTACCCGAGTTGCCACTGTTGCCAGATCAGTGAGGAAGAGTGGAGTTTCGTCAGAGATGTTTTAATCACTAGCTCTGAATACTTTTTCTGTTCCTCATCTCTTCCAGCTGCAAAAAATGTGATCCTGTAGAAGTTGAGCTGGGTGGTGAGATATACGAGGCCCAGCAGAGCACCTCCTGCAACGAGCCAGAAACCTGCTATACCTACAACAGGGACAAGTGCTACACCACAACCTTCCCATTCATCTACCACGGGGAGACCAAACATATCCAAGCAGCTCTGACGCCAGCATCCTGCTACGCTGATTAGCTCAACCCACTGCTATCCTAACACCTTGTTGCTTTCTCTTTTCCTATCACCCATACATCTATAGCACCATAGTGCCTGGACAACTGTGTCCAAAGTATCAGCTCCTAGAATAATGCAAGCTTAATTCTTGTGCTTCATATCAAGAATACCATCCCCTTGAATATCCCTTGCACATATCTGCGACACCATTACATGTCTTAGACATTATCACCAGCTAGACCAGATCCTCAAACAGCTGTAAATCAGTAATTCCATTGAAATCAAAGGAACTACATTAGTTTTTAACAGTAGAGAATCTTTCCTGACCATCTTCCATCAGTCTATCTCGGCAAGGCTATCATGGACATCAGCAGCAATGTCCATGTTTCCTAATTGTTTCCTGAGCAATCTAAACCAAACCCTCTGCAAAAACATTCCACAATACCCTTTGATCATATTAGCATATTTTTTGCCATTATTAGAAGTCTGTTGTACAATCACATTTGAGAAAAAAATCAGGTGAGACTAAATTCATATTTCAACTTTTTTTTTTTTTTGTCATTAGGCATTTAGGATCCTTTTAGTGCTTTGGCAATGATAAGCCTCCTGTTTTCACATACATACAGTGAAAATGTTGCCACCCTGAAGTGTTGTGCAAAGCCAACATGACCTCAGCTCTTCTTGCAGTAGTAAACTTCTTTAGGACATGTTAGGTACTTCGCTTCCCACATTTACTAACTGATAATGATGCATTCCCAGTTCAATCGAGGATAAAAAAAAAATCAAGTTGTCTTGAATTTCTTGTTCCTGGTTTTGCATTTAGTGCTGCAAAAAATCCTATGAAGCTGCCGCAATTGCAAGGTCAGGGTCCTAGTTAGGGATTATTTTCCTTTTTCACAACAGTCTTTCTTTTCATACAAGAAATTTTCCCCAATTAAAGTTGATTCTGTACTGTACATTACATTTAAATGTATTATACCTGGAGTTTTCCATATAAACATCAACATCATGAACGCGAGTGCATAAGGTGTCTAGCATTGCATTTGGGATGGCTGGTATGTTTCTGAGTGTTGTCAGAAGCTGATTGTAAAGGCTCAGGCTGTTCTAAAAAGGTCACATCTAGCATCACACATTATTGCAATAATGAAAAACAGCAAAATCCTTATTGCCATAGTTTTATTAATGAGGCATTAAATAAACTTTTTTTCTGCAGCACTGTTATGTTCCAGTGGTGTTCATAAGAAAAAGCTGTCTATAATGATATTCTTGCCTACTTCACAGGAAGCTCTCACTAAGCAACTGTTTTACTTACAGGTGAACCCCCCTGAAATACTGAGATAGAAACATTATGATGCACTTGTGGAACCTATGACAGACAGAGGCCGAACTGATTTATTTTACCATCAGTTCTGCATAATTGAGCTGTTCCAAGGTGCTGTGATTCTGCACAGGATTGGATTTAAAAAATCCAATTAACACCTAAATTCCTCTCAACATTGCAAACTGCAGATAGGAATTTTACAACGCTATTGAAAAATGCACCTTTTGGGGGTACTCTTGACAGTCCCTGGGGCTCTGCCACAGGAAACATCTCCCTAAACATGAAGTTTTCAATTCTGAGTAAGGCGTAGGTAAATGACTTGGAAATCATTCAGGTTTGGGTTGTGGGCCAAGTTCAGCCTGAGCAGGGGGAGAAGGCTGCTAGAGCAGGTAACAGTCCACAGTTTGGGAGACCAAGTTCAGCTTTCGGCCTTGCTGCAAGCAGCCTTCACGTGGCTGTGTGGTGTACACCTTGAGCTCAGATACAGCAAGAGTGAGTGAAGTGGGCCTCCCTATCTAGCTTTTACCATAGTTGGCAGATTAGCAAACGCCAGCTGAAGCCTCAGTTGCTAGTGCTCTGAGCCCCTGAGCCTCATCTGAACTGTGAAACTGCCACGTGTGCAATGGAAAGCCTGTGGTATGAAACCCCTCTCACAGGTACCCACCCACCAAGTGACTCAGCCTGTACATCTAGCGTTGCAAGATCATTTAGACTCGGTGTTCCCTAACACAATGAACAGGCACCAACATCATCTCCTTTGTAGGACTAGCCTTTCATTGCTAAAACAGAGCTGAACATACAATTCATTCTCATAGGGCTGCTGGTAAATACAGATTTAAAGCATCAAAATGCTCAAATACTGTTGTAACAAAGCCCAAAAGACTGCCATAAAGAAAATGAATATATATAACATTTGCCTCTAAGGAAAATTACGTGTAACATACGGATACAGAACCATAGCAGATTTATTCAGAAGATGGCTTGTGTTAACAGATTTTACATCTACATGGCCCCGAGCTGCTGAAGCACATTGTCAACACAGAATCAGGTGTTGTCACACCAGGACACAACTACATCAAACATGTCAGAAAAATCCTCCAGCATGTAGTATCCTACAAATACCTAATGGAAAGAAGTATTTGAGGTCACTAGTTAACCGCCCTCAAATACTTTGCATATTAGTTAATGGGTATTAGCCACTGGCCCTTCAAAACCATGCACCCGGAACTCCTGCTTACTAGCAAACAGCCCAGTGCTGACCTTGTAGAGGCTGTAGGAGACAGATATTTACTTACAACAGGACAGATGACTGGAAATCACACTGCAGCACATCTTGGGAGTCCAGCAATGGCAGCAGAAGAGACTCACAAAAGGCATTCAGGGAAAAGGAAATCAAAGCACAGAACATGGTCCAAGCAGCTGTGAACAACTACATGCTTTGATGATCTTAGAGAAGTCACTGGGAAATAAGAAAAAAGGTTTCAGCGGAGTCCACATGCTGCTGAACTTTCTAATAAAGCAGGATTAATTCTCCACATATTTTCTGAGGGAGAGTCCAGAACTGACAGCCTTTCTCACCCTTTGTTGCTCAATTGTGTTAGACAAATTTTAAGTGATAGCACAAAGCAATAAAAAGTCAGGCTCTATATTCTTACCTGAAAGATGAGGACAGTAAAATAAGAGTAAGTGAGGTCTGGTCATCCCTGGTGAAAAAAAGTGTTCTCTCCTCCCCTAGGGTATACAGGATAACCAGGAATTAATTGTTCTATGCAAGAATGGGTTTGAGTTGTCTTTATTAGGTATTTGTGGTATACGAACAGATGACAGGCTATGATTTTTAGCAGCCTTCCTATATTAACACTGCTTTTGTTAGTGCAAGGTTCATCCACGCAGGAATCATCCTGCAGTGTACAAAGCAGTACTGTTCTCTCAGATGGAAGGTTTGTGGGTTGTTTTTTTTTTAGTGTTAAAAAGACTGCTGCCAGATATAACTTAAAGATTTCACAGAAATTATTTATATTCTGTAAAACAGTAGGCATAATGTGGATAATCAACAACCAAAAATTCGATTGTAGCCCAGGATCTTTAATTAAGCCAGTATGTTAAAGCACACAAGACATCCCCAGTGCCTTTTCAGCAGGCTGAAGCACTACCAAGCTTGCTACGTAGTTTATGCCTACAATTTGGTAGTACAAATAAGATCTTCAGTCTGGCCACTTCAGAAGAAACTCAAAGCTCTCTTTAAGTTTACTCTAATCTAAAAACATTTTTAGGGACAGCTCAGCTATTAGCTTGCTCATTTTAAGGGAATTTATTAATCTGTATTAACAGTAGTGGAAGAACTTCCTCTGATTTTGTTGTTTCTCTCTGGACACCATTTCTTGGAAGAGTTGGATGTCTTCTCCTGAGCTCCACTATCATTTCCCCCAGCCAGCATTTTCAGAAGGAACTAAAACAAAAGATTAATCATGTATGCATGATTAACAGACTCAAGCAACACTTACTGGAGAGAAACTGAAGAAAAAGGTAAAAACTTGTAAAGGGAAAGAGTCAAAAAGCCAGTGCACACATTGCTCATAGTTGTAGCTGTTGCTTACAGTATTAAACCAAATGCTGTGAAATCTCTTATTGGGCCTTCAGAGAATTAAAAGCCTTTTTCATTCCCACACTTAACACGAGTCATTGGCTTCTGCATGTGCTGCTGATGGCACCTTTGAACAGTGCCTCAACCACATTAAGCTGAAAAGCTACGCGAGTTACAATTGTACATCGAAATAACTGTTCACTTGCTGCCAACATGGCACTGAGTCCTGCTACGGGGTCGTTCAGGCTAAGGACCCCAGCACCACTTGAAAGTTCCCCTGCTGAACTGAGCCCCTGGCTGCATTCTGAGGATGCTGTCTGTGAGCCCCTCCCCTCCAAAAGCTCCAGCACACAGGAGAGAGGGGAACCAGGAGGTAGCTTTACAGCCAGGACCTTGGGATGACACAGCAATAGCCGCAAGCACAATAAAATGGAAGCACAGACATAAGCAGATTCTCGTGACTCACCCGAGGCTTTTGGTAGCCCTTTCTCTCCAGGAACTCCTTAAAGGCCTGTGTGCTGTGGAGCTGTGGAACTTCCATCTCCTAAATTAATTTCCGAAGTGGATTAAAAAACATTTAAAGTTCATTTTTAAGTATAGGTTCCACTATACTAAATAAACTGCAGTGTGCATCCCTCCAGCTGTTATAGCTAATCTAACCAATAGATATTTTATCTACCAAGACCTCTATCTTTGTTCTTTTGAAAGAAACAATGTTGCTTCATGAATGTGAAGTGGTTTTTAGTAAATTCTAATCTGTGGTCCTGTAAATCAGATATCCCATGCTATGTAAAGCCATTTCCCCTCAGCACTTCTGCTAATGAAGGCAGCAAGTTACTCTGTAGTGCAGTAAATACACCTACCTTCAATGGTCTGTGGTACATTCCCAGGAGTACCTGGACAAAATGAGGTGGTCACCCATTCAACCATAAAGTTGGCCTTTAATTTTAGACAGTATTAACAAAACCATGACCTTTGTTTTGGTGTTCTGACTCAGCTGTTCCGATGCATCCTCGTTTCTAAAACTCTCCTTTGTTTTACAGACAGCATTTCTTCGTAAGACAGCAGTAGTGGCACATCTCATCCAGCTCACCAGACCCTTGCACAGGGCATGGTTTTAGTCATGTACAACTCAGTTTTACCTTTGGAAGCAGTGCCCTCTAGAGCATGAACAATGTCTTCCCTTTGTGCATGCAGCAAGAATGAAGATGGACTTTTTTATTTTTTTTTGTTTAAACTGAGGAAACTAAACCTATGTCTAGAATAATGTAGCAATTGGGGAAAAAAAAAAAAAAAAAAGCCTGCCTGCTCTTCCAGCTCCTCCTAAAACCTGAAAATCCCTAAGCAGAATGCTAGTAACCTTTACGTCCCATCTCTCCATAAAATATTTTGGGTAGGCAAACTACCACAGCTGAATCCAGCTCCTTTGTAAAGGCAGGTATTTTGCTATCACAAAACAAAGATAAAAACACCCTCCCATTGTTCTAGAATGCCAATTCCTTGCCTTCAGCACATGGATACATTTTGGCCACATATGGCCACATCAATAGCATTGAAGGAATTGAAGGATTCACCTTTTAGAGCCATTGTCCACATGTAGGTGCCCTAAAGTTACAGCCCAATCATTCACTTCAATGAGCCTGTTTGAACCACAGTTATCTCCGCTTGGATAATATGGTCTGTTCCACATTATTCTGAGATGTTCCCATCATAACAAACTCTCTTGTAGCAGTATCAAAAAAGGAAGGCATCAGTTTTACATTCATGGTACCTTTTCACTCAAATGATGCTTTGCATTCCTGATTCTATTTATTGTTTCCTCTGAAGCTTCTAATGGTTTGTTCACTATCTCTTTTCTCCATGTTTTGGGGTCAAGGTACCACGCTCCATATCTGATCTTCTCCCTTTTTGGTTGGTAAAGTACCTGCAAAAATACTATTGCAGTTTTGTTTCATCACATTGGCATTTTTCCCTTATGCCACAGGTATTAAAGACACTATCACTGTCCCAGAACCTGCGTACCATCTCTGAAGACTCTACCAGAGATAATCCCGTACCCTAAACTCTGTAATACAAATTTTGATGGCTGATGAGAAAACCTGACTAGCATTCGTTTTTCTTTTTCCCCACAAAGGTAAACAGTATTAAAGCTGCTACTGGGAATCAATAGCCTCAGGTCACCTGGCCACCACTTATTTAACTGATTTGTTTTCTGGAAAACTTGGGAAGGAGGTCTGTGAGGTTTAGACTTTAGGAGTCAGAGTATGATAAATGCTTTTTCTACTTCAAAACAGAATTTCTGAACGTGGTGACCAAACTAACTACAGGGTTAGAGAAATGGCAAGCTTTCAGTTTAAGACAAAATTGGTCCAACTTCAACCACTTACTAAAACCCCCAGCAGAGGCTTTCCCTCAGATCCTCCTCAAGTGTTTACCTCAGCTGCATATAGCCCTTGTCTGTTTATTCAATGATTAAAAGAAAGTACAGCAAGAAAAGCAGGTAACAGGAAAGGTAGGGACTGGAAGATCATTGTACTATGCTTCAATTTTCTCCAATTGCTTACACCTCCACTATGAGAAGATTAGGGGCTCCGAGTGTAACTAACACCTAACAAACTGTTACTGAGATGTATTGAGCATGACCTGCTTAACTTGATCCAAAGCTCGCACAGCACTCAGCTGCGTTTTTCCATTCATTTCACTGGCTTCGGGTACAAGCAAAACTGCTGAGAATTCTCTATGGTTTGACCAGCAAAAAGACTGTATGGTCAGGCCTTAAACAGTACTCTTAGTTCTCATTCTCCTATTTTACTTCCCTGCTGCTTGCAGAAAGTAACTGCTATTAAATAGCTCATTTTTAACTACTCAGAGTTCTAGATATAAGCATATAGAGAATTATCACGTACTTATGAAAACAAAGCTCCATCCTCAACTCCAGCTGTCTCCACCACAATTCACCCCAAATAGACTTTTGCAAGGACTTTTTGCTCAGTGAAATAACAAGGGGGAATGGTTTTAAACTGAACTTCAAACTAGATTAGATGTTAGGAGGAAACTCGTTACTCTGAGGGTGGTGAGGCACTGGAACAGGTTGCCCAGAGAAGCTGTGGATGCCAATCCCTGGAGGTGTTCAAGATTAGGTTGGATGAGACCCTGGGCAATCTGATCTAGCAGGTGGCATCGCTGCCCATGGCAGGGGGTTGGCACTGGATGTTCTTTAAGGTTCCTTCCAACCCAAACCATTCCATGATTATGATTCTATCAAATGTAAATGTGGGCTCTTTTACCTTAACTTGGCAGGGCAGGCACCCTAGGTGGTAGAGAACTCCTGACAGGCAAACTTGAGAGGTGAAATCTCCTGTTTTCCCTGACTGCTCTGCTTGCCCATCATTGAGTTTCACTGCACAGAAAGGTGTAAGGAGGCCAGCCTCCTTACTTTCACTGCTGGAGTGGAAGCAAACTCTGAAGTGCATCTTCATCAATACTGCAGTTCCCGCCACCCTGGAACAACATCATCAAAACAATCTCAGAGTGGTGGGGGTGAAATATTTTTTTTTCTTCTATAAAATTCCTTCCTGCCCCCATTCCTATCGATAAGTACAATTAAAACCAGGGTTGGTTTCAGCTCATCTACACATATGCTTGGTATTTGCATCACTGTGATGATGCAAGCACAAAGTCAGTTCAGAGCTAAGACATGAATTGGTGTATCCATTTCAGATATATATGGGCTTTTCCCAGGTGAGACAGTTAAATAGTAGCTTGAACAGAGATGGATCCCCTGGAAAATCTTTCTGAAGCAAGCTTACATAGCAGTATTTTTGTATGAAGATACTCATTCTTTGCTTTACATTTCAAAGGACTGAGCTCTGGTAGACATGACACAACAGAGCTGGGAGTCAGAAACAAGATTCCTTGTTTCTGACTTTGGCTCCTGTATTCACATACCCAGAGTCATATTTTTACTTCTTAGTTCTAAAGACATTTGCCCTGAACACAGTAATTAGGTTTTAGAATGAAAGAGAACAGATGGTAGCAGTTTCGTTTTACTTACCAAAGACATAACCCAGTCACAAAAATGCTTGGTTACTCGCTTTGTGTGCTCATGAAGTGGAGCTAAGTGGCTCTGTGTGGCCTTTTTTCCTCCTTCTGTTACCTTAGAAAGCGAGGTACATGCTTTTTTGCCCAGAGGCTCCTTGCTGCTGCAGTATTAAAGCAACAAAATGTGAAACATCCTTTGATTAGCTGTAGACAACAGCCATATGCCTTTATATCACAAATGGTGCAGTTTACCACCAGACATGATTTTGGCCAGGAATAGTCTGGGCAACTTGAACTAGTTGTAAAGATCAGTTTGGCCACACCTGATATGTCTAGCAAGACAGTCAAGGTTTCAAAGCAAGACTTGGGAAATAACTTGCCATTTTCAAAATAGGAAACTCTTAAAAATGGAAGTGTACAGCTTTATATGGTGCCCATCACCGTGCCTTTATGACATTACTGAAAGGGCCTGGGAAAGCATAAAATGAGACTGATTATATTTTTTTCTCAGCTGACTCAGACTGAGAAAATTAACCAGCAGCTGAAGCTGACTCCTTACATTTTAACACCCAGAACTAATCCCTGACTAGTTTCTGAACAGGTTGTGGGATATCAACTTATCATTACTATCACTGAGAAAGGCAAAGGAACCTATCTCAGTGGAAACCGCCCCCTATGACAGATTTCGGGCAAAAGGGCTGGCTAAAGAGGAAAATTTTTAGAAAATGCTCCTAGGAACACTGAATCTAAGCCAGAGACAGCAAGCAAATTATTGTATGTTAAGTTCATCAGCACTAGCTGAGAAGGCTCGCTATAATGGGTTTGTCTTTGGTTCAAATTCTAAATGAGCCTGTTCATAGGCACCTGAGTTTCCTCTTTCCACACATCTGATTTCAGATAAGGAATATCCAGAGCCATTTATATTAATCTTCTGATCTTGTCCTGTACTCACTGTACTAGCTTCTTGCAACCTGTTACTTTCATTTGCTTGTCCTCCATATGATCCTGCACCTCCTGAGGAGTTTGGGTCTCCCGTTGATAGTCATTGTATCCAGCCTTACTCTTAAAAAGGATTTCAGGACCCTGAGACACCAGCAACCTCTTCGAAGAGCTGCAAGCCAAGCAAAGGGAGAGTATCTGTTTGAAAAAAAACTCATTGGATGAATTGCTCTTGGGGGCTGTGTGAAGGACTGTGCAACATACAAGTCTCTGGAAGTTTTCTAGCAGTTAAGCTGTTCATAGTGCAGAAGCTTCAAGTCAAGAAACTTTTTTTTTTTTTTCCAGAATCTCTAGAGTATTAATTGCAACTCAGGCTGCTTGCCAAACCTCTGAATCATGCTGAATTTCTGGTCTCAGCCATCTCCTATCACAATCTGCTGTACTACATATAAGATTTTATTTCAGCTGATTTTAAGTTTCTTCCCTTCAGGACAACCCCATGTTTCATGTTCCATTCCCCAGTAATAGCAACCAGGGATCAGGGAGAGCTCTGCTGTTGCATAATCTTACAGAACAGAGACCCAATTCCCTTTTCCAAACACCCTAAGGTTTCTCCCAATGAATCCACCCTTCAACATCTTACGGCATCCAAGCTTAGGTTAGTATAAATCCGTAGAGCAGCCTAAACAGCAATACAGACAAAGGTGCTTGATACCCAGTGTCCCCTTCTACTGTAGTATGAAGTCTGCCCTTTCCAACACAATCTTCCAGCTCTTCCCTGTTCCTTTTGTGAAGTACTAGAAGTGAAAAGCCCAATTCTGCCACTGTGTTTGGTCAGTCCTCTGTTTGCAATATCCAAATAACCAAGTTCTGAAAACTCCAAGACAGACAAGAGAACTATCTGAAAACTCCAAGACAGACAAGAGAACTATCTGCTACATTTTGCTCTCATGAAGGAGAGAAATTTGAAGAACCAGAGACAGGGAAAAGAGATAAGCTTCTGTAAACAGGCTGAAAAATAAAAGTAATGAGATTATACCCTACTATCTTGAGCACAGATAACTTTTCAATTTTGATTAGACTTGCTTCCTGCCCCATAGCATCCATTTGTGTCAGTGCCTGGCGATTGCTTAACAGATAATATGTTCTGTAATCTGTGAAGGCAGGCACTCAATTTCTCAGCCTGTATGTAATAGTGTTCTGCAAATTGTTTGCTGACAATCTGGATCTACTGTCTAAATCTAAGCTACCTTTGATATCACTTGCTTTGTTTTTAATATGGAAAGAAAGAGGTGGTGGATTTATTTATTTTTGTTGTTAATTGAAAATAGTCATCAGCTAGACTAGTTTCCTGTTTCAATTTTCTGAACAATCTGTATAACCAGGATTACAAAACTCATTACCTTTGGGGAGCTACTTTTTTCCAAACGTGGGTAGAGCACTGTGGGATGCCGTTTCAGGCAGTGCTCTATCTGTGCAACGTAATCCCTCCTGGCTTGCTGCAAAGGGCTGAGCTTGGAAAGATAAATCTGTGTTTTGGTGCACTTCTTGCTTTTCTTCCCTGGAGCTGTGTATGAAGAGTTCCCTGTGCTGTTTTTCACGATAATTGAGACAGGATGCTTTTTACCATACACAATCATGTTATCAGATGAAGGGGGAAAGCCATCTCGGAAGTCATCTAGGCCTTTTCTCAGGAATATCCAGCGCTGGCCATTAAGGGAGTCTGAGAACCGCAGTCTGCTTTCTCGGAAGTTGTTATATGACATTTTCTCCTTTCTGTAAGGAAATTGCATTTGCTTACAAAGAATCCAGATTAGAAAGGCTGGGTTCTAATGAAAAAGACAGGAGTACATTGAAAGTAAAAAGGCATATTCTGCTCCAAGCATGCTTACCCATACTAGCCATCTTTTTGTTACTATTCAGCTTTGGAAAAAAGCTTATAAAACACTGACTTATTCTGTATGACTGAACAACTGCCAAACATCAGAGTTGCCCACTCACAGAAATTTCTGGCATTTCAGAAATTTATTTTTAAATAAAAAAAGTCATGATGTTATAGAGCTTGCTTCAACACCATCACCATAAAAATATTTTAAAGCTTAGTTTTGACTGTTCCCACCATTACACTGTAAATTGTGTTATACCATGTATGTAGTCAGCAACGTAATCAAAATAAGGTTTTCATAAAATTGTCATGATTCAGACATGATCTGGGACAGCATTTTCTGACAGCAGATCCTTCCATCAAGCATTTGTAGCCAAATTTCCAGTAAAGAATGCCCTTACTCTTACTCTGCCTCATTTCAGATCACTGACTTTTCCAACTTTCATCCATTCCACGTGAAATCTCTCATTGGTGGCTTACTAAATGAGTATTTTGAGCAAAATAGTTTTGGCAGTTTCAGAGAGGTAGAAGTTGGTGGCTAAACCAATCCATATTTTCAAGTGCCCAATCTGCAGTTTCCAAGGAGGTTTGGGTTGTTGCAGGAGGGGAATCATGCCAGCACTGAACAAGCAAACTGGATTGGAAGACCCTGACTGTTTGCTACAAGGGTCAGAAGCTGCATTAGCTGCCAGTTAGCAGCAATTCACCTCTTCAAATACTTTTTGAATTTTACAAGCACAGTGACAAGGTGATTCAGCGTTATGAAACATTTTAATCCTTTTTGATCAGGGATTAAATTGAGGACAATAAAGTAGTGATAGTATTTACCATCTGTCTTCACAAGAAAAGCAGTGTCTGCAATATGGTAAAGACTGCTCCAAAGCAAATGGAATAAAACAAGATAAGCATCACTAAACCTCCAGCATTCTGCACGTACCAGGTATTAATGCACGTGTTGATGCTACTTCAGTTTCACTATGTCACACTAAATACATCCTCATTATGGTTTGCTCTTGATTTCACTTACTCTTTGGATGCTAGCAGGGCATTTCTTTTTTCTTCTGCCAAATCACTCAGCAGCTGGGAAGGATGTCTATTTACAGCAAATATTCAAGTGCCACCACAAAGCCATGCATGAGCTTGTTCAGATGCTTCTAGTGATACAAAGCCAGATCCAAATATTTTCAGCTGTACTGCACAGGTGAGCAGTTTTCACAGTTGCTCTGGGTCAAAGTGCTAAATACAGCCTCCAAATTCTGCCAGAGAAAATGCCACCCCAGCCACCTCCACAGTAGCAGTCAGGACAAAGAAGGTCACTGCACTCCTACTTCACCTTCTTCCAGCAACTGTAGAGTTGAGACATGGAGACCACACAAAATATTCTATTGCTTCAGCCCAGCCTGCCCATATTTTGATGGGCTGTAATTCACTCTTGGCTTGCTTTCATGTCTACAGAAGTCTTTTTCCACCTAGATTTCACCTTTTAAACCATACATGCTGCTACCAAGTCAAACTGCTCGCTATACTCATGTGGTTAGTTTCATGCTTACCTGTATTGGCTTGCTTCAATGATCGTGTCAGTAGCAAATGACAAACTATTTAAAGGGCTACTTTCAGTGCCTTAGCAATACTGTCCTTGCTTGCTAAAGCACAACAGTAAAGAACGTCATAAAGAGTGTGCTTCAGAGATAATCAGTCCTATTCACCTGTGATAGCAAATGCCTCTAGAGAAAGAAACCCCTGAGTAACTCTGTACAAAACGTGTCCTAAGAAAGCACCATTAAGTATTACAAGAACTGTAAAGAGAAAAGAACATACCTGATATTTTACAGCTCTGACTGTGAAGATACCCTAGGCAAAAAAGGCATCTTCCTCTGCAATACAAGGTGTAAAGTAAGCTAATTCAACATCACTCTGCAAGCAAATCTCCAGAAAATCTTAAAAACCTACAAGAAAACATGCAAAAGTTAAGACTTCTATAGTATTACATCAGATGAGGCACTAGTTTCAAGCCCGTGCTGGCACAATACCCTAGGCATGTTTCAAGATGGTTGTTGTGGAAACCAGATCCACGACTGTCTGCCTACAACAAAGGTTTTTTTCACAGAGATATACAGAGAGCTCCTAGGGACTGTAGAGGAAAAACTTGAATTAAAGCAAAATTCTGTTATCATAACATATATCTTGATCTTTTTAACACCAGTACTTATTCAAGAACAAAACAGTCAAAAGGCTTTACTGCTGTTGAAGCATGATACAATACACTGTTCAGTGTGCCTTTACTTCAGTGTTCATTAAAATTGTTCTTCAAGAAAAACATAAGAAGCAAACGTGGGCCAAGCATGTCACTTAACTTCTTGTGCTTTTGAGTAAAGAAGACACAGATTATTCATCTTGTAAAATACACATTTCCCAGAAAATTCTGCTGAAATATCTAGAGACATTTTCAAGACATGTACAGAATCAAGCCTAGCCAATGTCAAACATAGTTCATCCTTCAGACTCACATTTGCCTGTAAGATTGGACAATGACAGAGACAGGGCCAGTAAAAATCAAAGTCCATCTGCACAGTGGGCAATTGCTCCTGCTGCTGCTCTCAAGGTTGTACTCACTTTCAGCCAGTCTCCCTTCAATCTACCAAAAAAAAAAAAATCAGAAGCCACGTGAGAACACCCTCCCAGCTGTGCACCCCAATCATGACAAAGCCCCATTCCACAACACTGCCCTCTCTCCCACAGCCTTACTTAGCTCCTGGCTAAGTGGTATTTAGCTGGATTATTCTCCCACCCAGCAGCAGGGAAGGGCAGTACTGGGGCAGGAAGAACTTGGAAGCTCCTGTCAGGGAAGCATAGAACAGATGTAGCTGCCATTGCAATTATTGTGTGAGAGGTTATGGCTCTTGCTACTGGAACAATGCATTCACATCTTTCTTCATTTCCTGGTTTTAGATGCTAACAGGAAAAAAACAAACTGTGCTGGATTCATGTCTTTAAGATGCTGCTAGGATATCTTTTAAAATGCAGACACGTGCTGTATAAGGAGACAGTAAAACAGTAACATAATATTAATTAATGCACTAAGAAATGTTTTCCCAAGCAAACCTCTATGTCTGGAGTGCTCACTCAAATATTCAAGCCAGACTATCCTTTTGGTTTGAATACAAACAACAGTAGCTTGTCCTGCTATGCTACACATCACTTTCAACATGTTTGTTGAAGTTTGATTTTAGCTACCTTGTTGATACAGTTTCCCTCCAGCAACAAATCCTATTTCTTTGTCTGTACTTAATGTTATTAAGTCTCCTTTTCACTCTGCTCCAATGGTCTATTATAATAATGGACTAATACTAGCTAAACATGTATTCCAAACTGACTGAATACCAGAAGTACTATAGTATTTTATTTAAGAGGAACCTCCCAGATTTTCCATGAACACTACTTAAACCCTACTGCAGCAAGGACAACAATGTTTTTCTACTTTGCCAGGTGTTGCAGGCCAGTACAGAAATGTTTTTTTATACAGTATTGAAAACAAGCATTTATTATATAGTTGAGTACTGACATAAATGACCCAGTAAAACAGAAAAATCTAGGTCTGGGCAAAACAGAGCTAAGAGCTACTTATCCACAGATACTCTGCAGAGAAATGAAAAAATATATATTTTTTAAAGAGATGAAAGTCTCCACCTTGTAGAAAATATATAACAATAAAGATTTTAGCTCATAGTACTCAAACAGAAGAAAACTGTAGAGCTTACAAGTGCACACAGTTTATGAAATATAACACAGAACAAAGACAACATAGCTTTCCCTCTAATATTAACAAACCATTTATGTAACAGATTTTTCTGAGTATTACTTAACTAAAAGAAACCTAATTTACATTATATGCATAATAGCCTCTCTAACCACCTCCTAAAAGGTGCTGAAAATGAAATTAATGTTTCTTTCTTCATACAAAATAACTTTTTTTTCTAAGAACATAAAACTAGCAAAGCTGATAAGGGTTTTCCCATGTGAATTAAATAATTCCTGCTTTGATTAGGTCATGAAAACAGACCAATCAGCAAGCAGGAGGGAAAGAGCTTGGATTATAAATACTCTCACTGCTCTCATTGTGATCTTTGCTTGGTATGTTTTTTTGTTTGTTTCTTTGTTTTTTAAATAGTAGTAAGGAAGAGTTTTTTATTTTTCTTTTAAAATCTTAGTCTTTAAAATAATATGTAATGAATGTAAGGAATAAAATGTTTCTTGCATGAGAACAATTTTAGGTATGAAGAATAATTTCTTAAATCCATTGTTTTAATTGTTAGGTGAATATACTGCTTTTAAACTAATAATTTCTGTAGCTTTTCAGTATTTTAAGCTTTTTACAGAGACTATATTTATCTTCTTACTATAGCACTATTTTCTAAAAATATGGGGAAAAGATTCTTCAGAGTTCATTCTGTGAATGTTGTAAGTGTAAGTAAAATACTGTCTCAACAGGCTTGGTTTTAACACTTCAGGAAGGTGTTACATCTGATTCAACAACATGCTTCTTGTCCTTGACCAGACTAGACTAAATCTTCCTGACTTTCTAGTTATTAGCATCTAGAACAACTGTATAACTTCACTTTGTTTTTGAGGACTCCATATCCTTAGTGAGCTATGGATTAAAAGTAATGAGATGAAAATGTATGAGTGAATGCAGGACCAAATAATCTCCAGTGCATTCAATTCAGTACAACAGTATCTTAAAGCACAAAGATGCCCGAACCTGAAAGTTAAACATGTCTAAGTGTAATCATCCTAATTACAAGACAGGAAGATAAAACCTTTATTTTTAGAATAGAATTGAATTCAGGAACTTCTGAATAACAAGCAACTTGGTTTCTCCTGAAAGCTGGTAACAGGTCACATGTGGGTTATATTATTTCTATGCTCACTCAGAGCTCCTAGATGCAGACAAATTTCTTGACAGCTGTGCATGTATTGAGGAAGAAAACATTGCTTATACTCTAATCCGCATGCTAGAGCAACAAAAATCATTATAGTTATGGTCTACTGACTTATGTCTCTGTTCATAGTATCCAGTCTTTCAGGCTTGGACTATACTCCATCATGTATCTGTAGTTGATGTAAGTGAAGAAAATTTACAAACTGTCCTGTAAATCCTGCTAGGAAAAAATGACTATATTTCTAGTGTGTATGCTTTGCTGTCTTTGCAGAGGGACTTTCAGTGAGTGACTGGAAGAGGCCTGTTAGACCACTGTTATGGAGGTCTAGTCCTTGTGCCAAGAGAAAATTAAGATGTAATTGCCCATCACTTCTGTACAGCTTTCTGACCAAATGCTGGCATTTTACTTTATTTTCAGTGTTAAGATTCTTGGGGATGCCTGCTATGTCTTGCATGTTTCACCAGGCGCTGTGCATGGATGTCCTTCCTACTGAAACCCCCTTGTTCTAAAGGTTTCAGGGAAGCCAGATGTAATGTTAAGCAGTGGCTTCTGTTAACAAGTAAGTCTATGCTGAAGTGGCTACAGCTGGCTCCTCTATTGGTACCACTCTGCTTAAAAGCCTTTTACTGAGAAAACCTTGGGTCACTCTGAAGGAGAAGAAACAATACTTTTTTTTAGCATGGCCCTAAATGCATGTTATTAATTACATCTCCTTGTATATGATGAGAGTAATTATTGGATACCATTTCTTTCATAAACAAGTTACTTCATAATTTGGAAGTGAATGATACTATGTAAAGTAAGTATAAATGCACTACAGTGTAAATAGTTACAGAAAGGAAATACAATTTAAGGTTCCTATTATACTGTTTAAAAGATAAACTAAAATGATGCTGGACTACAACACTTCTATTTTCCTCTTTGGTGAATCCTCAACTTAGTGCTGACCACTTCTGTGCACACGTTGTTGATGTGCTGCAGAAAAGCCTCCTGAGAGCAGGAGGGGACAGTATCACTCTTAAGGAGTCCTCCTGTAACCTGCAGCATAAGGGCCACAACTCACAGACTGCAGTCCTGAGGCCAACAGCTACTGCAAAGGGAGAAAGTATAAGCAAGTACTCACTGCTCTCTGATTAGGTAGCTGCCTATAATTGTCCGTGTATGACCAGTCAGGTGGATGAAGAAGAAAAGGCGAGGTCTGTGGGGAATAAGCAGTGCTTGATCACACATGATTTTTAGCTTTGTTCTATTGCTCCTAGTTTGGTTAAATTAACTGGGGTCTGTAGCTCTCATCAGCTGTTCTGAGCCCTACTGTGTGCTTCTGTATCAATGATACAGAAGAATAATTATTCTTGCTCTACTTAAATGGACAGTGACTTGATTCAAATATGGTCTATTAGAGCTGGCCCCACATGATAGTCCCTTGTGCAAATCCTTCCATCATTTTCCAGAGGACAGGGAGCAGACTGCATGGGGGGAAACAATCCCATCTTCATGCTTCTGCCAAACTTTTCCCCTACAACTAGTGAAGTGACGTTTTAGCCTGTTTTCTTATGACTGATGAGCAGCTCCGTTGAAAAGGGAATCCGTGAGGTCAGCTGCCTGCTAGATTTTCCCTTCAGACTGTTAGGTCCCTACCCTTTAGACAGCAGGATGTTACTGCAGACCAGTAAGTGTGGGGTGGGGAAAAAGTAAAAAGCCTTGAGTATAACTATATGTTGGGAAATATCTCCCTAGTATTATTTTTAACAGACTCTGGGAGGTATTGTTCAAGAATATTCCAGGAAAAACTTCCATTCTGAACATCATGAATAAATATTTGCTCTTGTCCTGTTTCATGCTTGTCATTTCAATTGAAATCCTGGGTAAGGAAAGGGAATTTACTTTTCGTTCTAAAAACAAAGCCTGAATTGTACTTATTTATATTGTATAGGTGTGTAATGTTTAATATGTATATTGTGAAAGTTTTTTGATTTTCAGGTGTTTGACTAAAGTGATATCGGGAATGCATAAATCATTCTGGTGCATAAATTGCATGTGCTAGTAATCCTTGAATAAAAGGACACTGTCCAAAAAGTCGATAAGGGAACTTAGAAGTAATAAAGGCCTTTATCTCATGAAAAAGTCATGAGTAAGACTAGCAACACCTAAACTACAACAGAGTTATTGAACATGCATGTATGCAGTGGGGCTGTTTTAATTCCTGTCATTTTTGTGGTGTAGTCCTTTTAGCAGATGAGATTGAATGAATACGACAGCTTTTTCTCTTCCACGTGACGAAATGTTATGTGCTGCCATGCTTTGATCAAGTATGTGGATCTTACTAACCACGTTGGAGTAGCATGGTGATACTATGGGTGAAGAAAGTCAGTTGTGTAGTGAGAAGGGTTTGATGTTGTGAACGCTTGGTGGGCAAAAGCCCTGCAGCCTGACCCCTAAGGAGCTTGTAAAGGCGAATTTTGTCGAAGTGAGTTTTGTCAAAGTGAGGTTTGTCGAAGCGCCCAGCTTTGTCCCTGGGCGGCCGCCGTGGCGGGGCGGGGGCTGTAAGATGGCGGCGGCCGGGCGGCGGTGAGGCGTGAGGCGCCATGTCGGGCCGGCAGGGCAACAAGCTGCCCAGCAACCTGCCGCAGCTGCAGAACCTCATCAAGCGCGACCCGACCTCCTACACCGAGGAGGTGAGGTGCCCCCGAGGCGCCTGGGGGGGGAAAAAAGGGGAAAAAATGGGTTAATAACGCGAGGGAGAGGGTAATGGGAGCTGCCGCTGAGGCGCCTGGTGCCGGAGTAACGCTCGCTGTGCTTGCAGTTCCTGCAGCAGTACCACCACTACCAGTCCCATGTGGAGATCTTCACCTTCCAGCCCGACAAGCCCAGCAAGGAGCTGGCGGAGCTCGTCATGTTCCTGGCGCAGGTGAGCTGCTGCTGGCCCGTAGCAACGTGTGAGAGCTGGGCACGGCGGCCTCCCCACGGCTGCTGGGGTGGGGGGGGGTGAGCGCTGTGTGTCCATGTCTTGTTCTCAGAGTCCTGTTGGAAAGCTCTATTTACTAAAACTTCCATATTATTAGTCATTTCCAGGCAGGCAAGTTTTTCTTTCGAGCCTTTGGTTCAGTTTTAAAAAAGATCTTGTAACTGCACCACGTGTTTCATATCAGTGTTTCACCCATAACTTTTCTTTCGGTGTAGATAAACTGCTGTTGTAAGAATAAATTTATTAGTTGCTTATAACATCTCACGTTCCTGCAGCTGACTGCTAGCTCAAGGTTTTTAGTAGCGAGCTCACTCCAGCCTGTGTTTGCCCAGGTTGCCCACTGCTACCCGGACCAAATGGCCAACTTCCCGCAGCAGCTCAAAGACCTGCTCTCGTACCACCACACGGTGCTGGACGCGGACCTTCGAATGGTAAGGCTGCCACCAAATGGTGTTTGGGGCAGACCACAGCCTCTTCTACAAGTATACCTGTGAGAATTCAGCGCTTCAAGTTTGCTTTTGCATCTTTTAATAGAGATGGAAACTGGGGGATGCTGTGAAATTGTGATTCTGATCTCTCCTTCTCCCATACAGACCTTCTGTAAGGCTCTGATGTTGTTAAGGAACAAGAATCTGATAAACCCCACAAGTTTGCTGGAGCTCTTCTTTCAGCTGCTGCGATGTCACGATAAACTTCTCCGAAAAGTAAGCTGTGGTTACAAAAGCTGGGCTTGACTTCCAGTGGGTTTTGACCTGCCTAACAAAAGAAATAGTGGGCAGTTCGCCTGTTCATGGTTGTGAAATATGTGGGAGATGGGTCTGCTACTTCAGGAACTTGCTGAAGGCAAGACTCGATCTGTATATCATATTGAAGCATGCTGCTGTACACACTTTTACATGCAACAGTTTGTAAGCCTGTCCTGCATTTGCAGTCGAGCACCTTGAATGTGTCTGCAGATAAAAACCATAAGCACATTGATGTCAGAGCAGAAATTACTGAATTCTATTTGAAAAATTTTAAGTTAAAAAAAAAAAGTTGCTAGTAAAAGCTTCATTTTGTGTTTTCTGCAATAAATGTGAGATTAGTTGCTTTCTCTGACCAGGATTACTAAACTTGCTGTCAGAATGTACGTATGAAATGGTAGTGGGATTTTTTGAGTTAAGCTTCGTGCTCTTTGTTTTCTTCTCTCACTGTGTTGCAAATTAAGTACACTTTTCCAAATCCATGAAAATCAAGCATATATGAGGATTTACAAGGTAACATGTTGTTTTTGTAACTACAAATTAAAAGGGATCAGGTCTCATTTTGGTACTCAGGAGTCCTTGGGGCAATTGTGGTGCACCTGCAGTGTTTCTTGTGTGATGTGCAAATGTTACTTTTTGCTCTTTCTCCTTTTACAGACTCTATATACTCACATTGTGACAGACATCAAGAATGTAAATGCTAAGCACAAAAACAATAAAGTAAACACAGTAAGTATTCTAGTTTTCAGATGCACTTCAATTTACTACCTTGTGTTATTGAAGATTGGTAATAATAAACGCTTCCCAACTTTTTTCTTAGATGCTGCAGAACTTCATGTATACCATGTTGAGGGACAGTAATCCCACTGCTGCCAAGATCTCTCTGGATGTGATGATTGAACTTTACAGAAGGAATATTTGGTAGGTTTGGCAGGCCCGTGCTTCTTCCCCATTTAATGTTCGATGGCCATCCTGACATCACTCGCAGTATGGTGTGCAAAATGTGATGTGGAGGGCCTCTGGTTTTCAGTATATTTATCTTCTTTGTGTTCCAGTGGCTGGATTTTGTGAAGCTTGTTCTAGTTTGAAAGAAACAGGTAGAAATACTGTCTTCCTTAAAGTCTGAGTTACTTAGGTTGATTTTTTTACGTTTTAGTTGAAAATGGTCAAGTTGTTTGTATTGCATTTGAAACAAGCTTTGTGCAGCTCACTTGTTTGAACTCCTGCATATAAAGCTGTTGCTATTCGCATACAGGCTGTGATGTACAGTGAAAAAAGGAATTTTGTTTTTGCTTCTCTTAAGTTACTAGGGTATAATTTTAGATGACTGATCTAATAAGTGCTTTGAGGGTTTTTTGTTGTTTTTAGGTGAAGCCATAATATAGCTTTTATTTTTAGTAGACACGAGCTTGAATAACTATTAGAGAAATACTGAAAGCAGAAAAAGTGCACTGAGTGCTCAGTTGCTGTTTCAGTGCTAGTTAATGTCTAAGATGTTGCTGAATCTTTTTCTTGTGTTACAAAGTGCCAGAGCAGATGTTACCCAGTGGAAAATTGCACTAGAAGATCCTAGTTTGTTCACTCTCAACTTTTTGACTGTAAAAACAAAGTATTTTTTTAAGCCCTTCAGTTTCTAACTACATTGCTCTTCTGGGTTCTTCCATAGAAATAAACTGTAAAGGAGATGTATGAATGCAGCAAGAAACACTGATGGTGTGCAATGTTTCTGCTGCTTTTTACCTATTTGTGAGTTAGTGCCAGAGATCTGATGGGTGCAGTTCTTGCATTACTTATTCCCATCAATTTCTAGCATGGCAATGTTGCTTTACCTTGGCATTAAAAGAAACCTCAGCTGGCAGGCAGGATGCGGTGCCATACGGTATTTGTCATGAGGAGTTTTGACATGTAGCGTTCAAGGAAACAGTCTATTCTGTTTCCTTGACGCACAAGGTCACAGCAGCTTTATTAAGATTTTTGTTGGTGTAGTGGTAGGTTGAAAATTATTATAACAAAGGGAAAATTAGGATAGCAGAAAAAAATACTAGTGTTGCTGAAAAGATGAGACTTCTTGCAGTTTTAATGAGTAGATTTTTAAGTACCTAAGACTTGATATAAACTCAAAATATTTTTTTGGAGTCTTAGTTCACGCAACTTAATTTTCTGAGAATAAGTTGAAATTGTAAAACTTGAAATAAAAGGCAATGTTTTGTTTTATTCCAGGAACGATGCGAAAACGGTCAATGTCATCACAACTGCTTGCTTTTCCAAAGTGACGAAGGTGAGGACAGAAGTCATTTGATGAAACTGCATTTAATCTAAGCTACTGTTATCCTGGGGATGCAGCTTCTTATTTCAGTACCCAAATTGCTAACTAGCTTCACTGATTATTTGTCTTTTGTTGTTTTAATTTCAAAATGCCACTTGGGTTCTGGGAGTAGGACACATTTGGTGCTTAGGTGCAGAGCAGCAGAATGGGATGATTGCGTTATTATAAGTGCAGGCTGCTGTGGGGAGGGTGGGTGTACTTTCCCTTGCTACTCAGAAGAGACTGTCAGGATATTGCTACCTTATAATCAGCATCATTAAAGCATTTACTTTTTTAATGTGAAGAGACTTGATATCTTGCCTGGGATTTGAGTGGATCTGAGGCTGCCTGTCATCTTAGTAGGTTTTCCAATGCTAGATGCTCTAAAATGCATGTTGTGGTTTGAGATACGTTCTTTCACAGCAAAAGTCCAAAAGCCGTTCCAGTTGATTAAAAAACAAAACAATCAAAACCCAACAAAGCCATATAAACTAATGAAAGCTTGGAGTGCTTAGCACAGCTGATCAGGTATCAGCTGTGCAGGAGTTAATAATATTGGCATGGAGCAATTGCATTGCTTTTCAGAAAGCTAGGAAGATTTCCGTCTCTGGATTTGCTCCTGTCACTGTAGAAGCCCAGCTGTTTTTTGATCCGTTATGTGCCTCTGGCTGATGAGGGTTAGCAGCAAAAATTGCTTTGTTAAGAATGCTTTGTCTGATGGTTTGCTTTCTTTATGTATTCTTTTCTACCAATAATTGGAAATGTTTTAGCATAACTTAAGATCAGGATGCTTGGCTGTTGTAAATACTCTTGTCTGTTTGTCATGTCCTATATTTTACTTAATTTCTCAGGTATTAGTTGCTGGTTTGAAGTTCTTCCTTGGGAAGGATGAAACTGAGAATCAAGATAGTGACTCAGATTCTGAGGTCAGTATTGTGATTAAATCTTCACAATCTAAGTTATGTCATCCTGCAGACATACGACTACACCAGTGCATCTACTTTTGTGCTGCAGAATTTTCTGTTTTGTTTCCTCCAGTTGTTGATCCACCTCACAAAAATGTTTATTTTTTTGCCACCTGGTCTCAGTTGACAGCAGGTTACCTTCACTATCTGTTTACAGCCTAAGGGCTCCCTTGATTTCCTATACTCATTGTCAAGGAAGTTCTTCATTTGTAAGAGAGAAGTGAGGGCTGGCCAACCTTTTTTTTTTTTTTTTTTTAAAGCTAATGAGTTAGTAGATAATGTAACTTCAGAATTGTGGGAAGAGATTTTAACTTGATATTTAAGAGGCAGGTTTATTTTTTTTAGATATCCCTTCATTTGTGTCTCTCAAACTGCATTTCCCATGTATGTACAAATGAAATAATTCAGTTACCCTGAGAAGGCTGGTAACTTGCAACAATTACAGTTTAGAACCTCCTAGTACAAGGCCATTATTGTGATTACCCAGCTGTAACAATTACTACTATCTCTCTGATATAAGTGGTTTTATGGAACTGTGATTCTAAAGGCTACTATCTCTGTATGATGAAACTTAGGTGGGAAGAGACTCCTTTCAAATGTAGTACACTGATACTTCTTGTACTTCTGCTTCCCGTTTGAAGCCTGATTTCACCTGAGTCTTGTTTTCCTTGTGTTCCTGCTGAAGGACGATACCCCCACGGCCAGAGATCTGATGGTGCGGTATGCAACTAACAAGAAAACGACCAAGCGCAAGAAGAAACTGGAAAAAGCGATGAAGGTTCTCAGGGTGAGGAGAACGGTGTTTTGACTTGCTGGTATTTTAGCTTAATCCTTCACATGCAGAAATCTTCTTTGTTTCCAGTCATCTTAGTTATCTTTTGTCATCTAATTTAGGTGAGGCTTCTAGAGCATACCAGCATCTGCTGGTCAGGCAGTTTTCTGAAACACTCTTGTCTGAGTTGTGGACTGGTTCTCCTCTTGGGTGCCCCTTTTGTGGTCCCTTACTTAGAGCATACTGTGTCTTGAGAAGCAACCTTCTGATGTGGTTCCTGTTGCCTGTTAGGTCAGGTGGTTGAAAACCTAATGCAATTGAAAAGAATTGTAGTTTATTTGCTAAAAAACAAAGCACCTCTTTTTGAAGAGAATAATGAGGAATAGCAGCTTCCAATGGCAGCCTGAAACTGAAGTACCTGCAGCTTTTTCATAGAAAGAAAAATGTCTCCTTTACTCTTCTTGCCATGCAGAAACACAAGAAGAAGAGCAAGCCAGAGGTGTTCAACTTTTCTGCTATTCACTTGATTCATGATCCCCAGGGTAAGCATGCATCGTGTTCTGTGTTTTTTCAAACTGTTTTTCTCAGATAATAAATATCTAGTATCAATGAAGGAGAATGAAAGTAGAAACAAATGTGGTAACAGGATGCTTTTTTAGCTTTCTTTATCACAGAGTTTCATAACACTTAAAACGTGAGACTAATCTTGTTGTGATTGTCATAGTGGAACACTTGTAGATGGCCAGAGAAGGAAGAAAGAGCAATACTGCACTATCTGCTCTGGGTTGATACAGATCAGGATGTGTCTTTCAGCTTTTATCTTGTATGTGTGAAAGCCATAGTTTGTGCAAAAGGGCAGTAGTTTATCTTCTGCAGCTTTTTTAGCTTACGCCTTTGTAGAAGCATATTCCTATTATCAGTCTGCCATTTGTCTAATACCACTTGACTCGTTCACAGTCTGATGTAGTGAAACTCTGGGGATTTTGTTTTTCAGATGGGTTGAAATGCACCTTTTTTAAAAAACAAACTAGCTTTAAATACTGATCCTGTATTTAAAGAAAAATTGAACAACAACAAAACTTAACCATCTTTTTTTAACCCAGTCTCAGCTGAGTTTGGCACAGTGCCTTTTGAGACTACCACAAATATATTATTGCTTCTTCTAGACTTTGCAGAGAAACTGCTGAAGCAGCTGGAGAACTGTAAGGAACGATTTGAAGTGAAGATGATGCTCATGGACCTAATATCTAGGCTAGTTGGAATCCACGAGGTACATAATAATTTTGTAGTGGCCTGACGGTTGGGTGGTGGTGTGCTCTGGCCTTGTGCCTCTGGAAAGTGAGTTAATTTTCCTGTACATTGAAAAGTGAAGCTGAGTAAAGCCATGGAGTTGCCAGTGGGCTTTCTGGTATGGCACAGTGATATAGGCTTGTATGGTACTAAGTGAATTCTGCATGAGAAGGCTGGTGGTATGTAATAGCTGGGATGTTGTGACTAGAGGAGAAAATGCCTATTTAAAAACTTGTCTCTTCAGTTTAGTTTTTTTAATTGAGTCTAGCAACAGCTTAAGAACAGCAGTCTGATTACACTTCGGTTATACCTCATACTTCCTCAAGAATCTGTTTCTCTTGGGGGCTCTGTGGGGCGAGGGAAACACTAGTCCTTGCAGGTATCCTCAAGGCTAACAAAAAGGTGGAAATGCTCACTGTGGCTATAGGAGCACTCTTGAATATAGGAAGTGTGAGAAAATCCAGTTGTTTTTTTTGACACTGTACTGGGTTCACGCCTAGGCACATACAGCTGCCACTTCGTGCTTTGGTCTCTGCCCAAAGCATTCCTTCCAGTGCCCAGGGCATCTGAATTGTCAGGTCTTGCACATCAGAGACCCCAGTGTTGCAGTGGTGTCAAGCCTGAGCCCACACTATTTCTTCATTGCATAAAGCTGAAGTAGAATTTACCACGTGTAAGTCTGAGTCCAGGAGGTGTATGAAGTACTTGTCACTTGGGAGGTGTGTGTCCAGGTGTTAGACTGCTTCAGCATCAAATATTCATTCAGACTTGCTGGAGGAGTTAGTGAAGGGACTTGGATGCTAAGTGAGCATGGATTTAGGGACAGTCTCTTTTGAGAGGACTGTGTTCCTGAAGCTATGGGAAGAAGTGGCACATCATTGTGCAGCAGACCACCCAATTGGATTTCTGTGCAGTCAAACAAGAACCATTATGGATTTCAGATTTTGGCATTGAGTCTTAATTTTCTTTGAAAAAGTCCCTTCCTCACCTCCATGTATTTCAAGTTCAGGACAGGTAAATGTGTTACACAATAAAATCTGAGGCATTTGCAGAGAAGGCTGTGTAGGTTTGTTGATTGTTTACAGCGTATCAGGTTGTAAAAGTCATCTCAAAAGAGAGGCAACTAACTTGTTACAACTTTTATCTTTCCTGCAGCTTTTTCTTTTTAATTTCTACCCCTTCATTCAGAGATTTCTACAGCCCCATCAGAGAGGTAAGCAGCTACTAGTTGATAACAGTGTTGGTCTGTCATTGCACACATACAGTCACTTCCTAAGTGGTGCTGTGAGTAGGTAGCAGTAGCATAATTGGAAACAAGAATAGTCCAGGAAGTGTGGATGAAGGAGGCAAAAGGCTCCAGTTGTCCAAAACAGTGGACTTTCATGGAAGCTGTGTCCACTTGACACTCTTAAGCATTTGAGAAACTTCAGCAATAGGATCAAGTGAGTTCCTAGCTCCTTGCAGAACCTGACTTGTTGAGCAAAGCTGTGACTGCCTTTTGCTGCGTTTTTGCTCCTGTTTCACTCTAGAATGGAAACATGTATTTTGGTGTAGCTGGCTATTAAGGGTCTGCACTGCTGCTGGGGTAGAGATCCAGGTGTGTTCCTAATGCTTTGTGAGAGAGAAGTACAAGATGTCTCAACTTCAGCCTGAACTGGTTTGAGGCTTAGAAGCTCAGGATTTCATTGAGTTAGCTGTATTGGTGGGTGTGGGTAAGGCCAAAATAAGTTTTACTGGTTGTACTTGGACATCTTCTCCCCCTTCCTTTTTATTTTTACTTCCAGAAGTGACAAAGATTCTTCTGTTTGCGGCGCAAGCTTCGCATCAGCTAGTACCACCTGAGGTCAGTATTCCATTAACTTTTGGTGACGTTAAAATGGACAGTGTGCAAGCTTCAAGTGTTAAGTGCATTCACTGGGGACTGGGGACAAGGAATCCGGTCAGACCCTTTTTCTTGAAAACCACGTGGGAATTTTTGTTCTCATTGACAATTTCTGCAAGTTCCAGGTTGTTGTTTTTTATAAAGGGATACAATCCCAATGCTCTAGGTCTTCAGTTTCTGCAGGAGAATTTGTCTAGAAGTTATTTGCAGGCTATAGTGTTAAGTCACGAGCTCTGCCTTTCTGTGAAAAGGGCTCTGTTAATAAGATGTAATCATTTCACAATTATATTAAATAAATAGTAAGTGTATTTACCCTTTCTTCCTTATTTTCAGATTATCCAGTCAGTATTGATGACCATCGCCAACAACTTCGTCACTGACAAGAATTCTGGGGAAGTCATGACTGTAGGGTGAGTATGGAATTTTATTACAACCGTAAAACTCTGAATGTGGAAAAATATTTTCCATTTTTTTAATGACCTTCAGCCTATTCCTGTCATTCATCTTTGCTTTTAAGAACCTGCTTGAATAAAACAAGACAGTAAACATAAACTTTCCTTAATTTTCTTGTCAGTGTTGTAAATTCCTCAGCGCAATGGGTTTCTGTATTTAGCCAGTGCTCTTACTTAACTCTTTTGCATTTCGTGATGGCCTTCTTTGATTTCTTGCTTGGTCTTGTGTTTTTCTTCCTTCCCAAGTATTATATTATTTCTAGTTTGAGGGTATACTCTATTGTGTGTGAATCAAAGTAACTTCCATTTGTATACGCACAGTGAGTAGACAGCATCGTAATTCAAGACTTTTCATGTTTAGTAGATCAAATTTTATTACTGACAACAAATTCAAGTGTTGCTGTTAGTGAAACTATAAAGTGCTTGTTTTCTCTGTTGAAGAAAGTATGCTTTTGTAATAGGTGTGGTGCAGGCAGAGTAGAATATGACCAGTAAATGTAGGAGAGAGCTGAGCTGTGCCTGAAGAAGATCAAGTAGTAGGCGGGGGAAGCTACTGCATGAGCAGCCATGTTTTGAATATTTTCATGAACTACTTTTTTCCTCTCAACATGGTTATAATCCTGCAACAAATTTAGTGTACTGGGTGTGTGCATGAAGATGATTTAAAAAGTAACTTGGTGTAAGCAGGCTTCCTGTATAGTGTTGTTTGTCTGCCCATGCTTGACAGGAGAATTACTTCTTGATTTTGGCCTGGCCTAGCTGTCATTTGACAGCTTTTTGCAAATGTGCTTGATCGGACCTAGCCTTCAGTTGCAGAATCTGGAGGTCTAAGATCAGACAAAATAGATGGAGAGTGTAGAGTATGGACCAAACATGGAAGGTTTTGAAGAAGTTTTGGAGGACTATGGCAGAGAGCATCCTGTTATATTCCCCTCTGTTACACCTAATGCTTCAGAAGATTGATCAAGTGTGAGATAATACAGTCTATTACTGGGCCAGTGAGTGCCTCTCCCAATCATGTTATTCAGGAAAATATTTCACTTTGAATTTTTAGAATCAATGCAATAAAAGAAATCACAGCGAGATGTCCATTAGCCATGACTGAAGATCTGCTCCATGACCTTGTTCACTACAAGACTCATAAAAATAAAAGTGAGTATGTTATACGGGTATGACTCTTAGGTCTTTCTTCCCTTTTTCTTGTCATCTGGTCCTCTGTTATAGCCTTCATAATAGTACTGTGTTTTTTGGTGGGCTGAGAGGTATCGTTTTTAACATCTGTTGCATTTCTATGCATACACTTAGTCAAACAGTCATGGGTAGTTATGACAAGGGAAACAGCTGACAGAACTGGAGAAGGGCAGCTGCTTGTTAACAAAGATTTGGCCCTGAGAGCTGGATCCTGCATTGGAGAAATCAGTGGGAGTTAGTATTTCAGAAAATACATGAATAGGCTGTAATGCTGTTTATCTCAAGGCGCTTTGGTTTGCTCAGGATTCTGCTTTACTGTACTTAGTCCTGACTCTATTTTTCTGGCTAGATGTGATGATGTCTGCAAGAACTCTGATACACCTCTTCCGTTCGCTGAACCCAGAGATGCTACAGAAGAAATACAGAGTAAGTGTTTTCTCTGCATTACATTCACCATAAATGTAAGCTTATGTGCTCAGAAACAACTGCTCTCAGAGCTTCTTGAGAATATGATGGAATCACTCTTTTTTTCTTTCCAGGCCTGTTTTCTTGCTGCATTTTGACATCGCTTTCTCTTGTTTCAAGGCTTCTTTACTCATCAAACTTATTGGCAGACGCTTCATGCTGCAGAAGCCTGTCTTCCTGCAGTTTGTTCAACTTCTTTATAGTAATTCAAGATCTTTTCACGTTTCATCAGGCAGAATTTATTTCCTACAACTCCACCCCCTATTTTTATGGGCTTGTGTGAGTTAAGATAGCAGCCTGCTTAATGTGCTTTATTTACTTACAGGGTAAACCTACTGAAGCCTCAGTGGAAGCCAAGATTCATGAATATGGAGAACTGGATGCCAAAGACTATATTCCAGGAGCAGAAGTACTGGAGGTTGTGAATGAAGAGGAAAAAGGAAAAAACCTAGAGGAAGGTTGGCCTTTTTTCTTTATTACTTCTGTGTTGTGCATCACTGCTGCTAAGATTTTTTTTGGACTTGGTGTTCATGCATTTCATTCGCTGCTGTCACATGCTGGTGTGGTTTGTACGTGTCTGTATTTATCCATTAAGAAGCACTGATACTGTCCTCGAGTTAAGTGCAATTTATCCTGAGAGATCTGATAGTCAATGCATTGCTTCATATAATAGATGAAATAAAAGAGAGAGGAAAGAGGGATTTTGAACAGCAAAGAGAAGCGAAACAGGTCATAGAGAGTAACTTTGCTTTAAATTGCATTGCTTCCTTCCTTGGGTTAGATAAAGTGGAAGGGGCCGGAAATGTTGCTGAACGAGTGTGGTAAGGATTAGCAGTTGTAAACCAATGTATTTCTTCAGAGACTCTCTTAAATGCAGCTGCTTGTTTTGAGGGCCTTGAACATAACTTGAGAGTTACCCTTTACCCATAGGGTTTTGGTACAATTTGCTGCAACAGTGACTTGCTGCAAACTGATTAGCTATCCTCTATGGTTGGCATTCTTTAGAATGAAAGAAATGTATGTAAATGCATTTCCTGTAAAGGCTTTGTTCACTATTCTTGCAGGTTTATTTAAGTTCATAACAAAAATGTTTTAAGGAGACTGCAGCTCACAATAATGACAAGATAGAACAGGTTTTAACAATTCTGTTGTGTGTGTTCAAATATCTTACGCTGCCGTATGTGGTTATCACTAAAAGTTGGTTTCCATAGCTGTACATGCACGTGATGTAAGTGTGCTAAGAAACGAAGGCTGAGATGTCTTTGTACAGCTCTGAATCAGTTGCTGTCAGAGTTACGCCGTGTGATGCTTTGACTTTGCAGGCCAGGTGGAATTTGGTAGCTGAACTTGCCAGTGGGACAGCATGAGAGCTACTGGTCTGTTCAACCGTGGATGTCTAAAAATATTATTCCCAATTCATGATCAAATGTGTGAAGTATCTTTAAGTCTTATGAATACCTATGTAGTTCTGAGGCTGGGATGCTGAGATCATACAGCTTTGAGTGTGTCCCTGGGCATAAATGTAGTTAGGTACTAAAAGGCAGTGAGAGCTTAGGATCCACTCTGAAATTATTTGAAATGCAAAGAGTTCAACCAACTCTGTACTAGCAGCTCTGTGCAATTGTTCCCTTGAGCAGATGGATGGGAAAGTGCTAGTATGAGTGAGGGAGAAGATGATGAAGATGGAGAATGGATTGATGTCCACCACTCTTCAGATGAGGAGCAGCAAGAAGTGGTGAGTTCCAAGCGTGTTCTACCCCAAATAGAAAAGGGACTTGTTAATAGCAGTCCACATTCTCTTGTTCTACCTTCTTGTGGCTGCTTATAACTACCTACATGGTAACTTGACCAAAATCACCAAGTTGAAGTATGTTTTTGCAGCTGTGCTGAAATGTTTGCTCTCAGGGTGAGGGGGGAGAGTTGGGGAATTCTCTTCCAGTGCTAAGCTCCTTCAAAGCTATTTTAACTTTCAATTCCTTAATATTTCAGAGGAAATGTAGTACCCTTTTTTTTTTTTTAAATACCACATTGTTAGATATGACTCTTAAGAATCTTAATAACAGTTTGGAGCATTTCCCAGCATTGTTCCCCCTGTGTGGATATCTGGGAGGCAAGAGGGTCATGGATTGTAGAACAAATGGTTTGCAGAGCTCTGGATGATTGTTCTTTTGTACTTGTTTTGAAGGCAGAGAAGATGAAAAGCATGCCTATAGAGGAACGGAAGGCTAAAGCTGCAGCAGTCAGTACAAGCAGGCTGCTAACGCAAGAAGAATTCCACAAAATACGTGTTGCTCAGCTCTCCAAAGAGCTCAATTCTGCACCGGGCAAAGCTGCAAAGAGGAAAAATATTGAAATAGATGATGAAGAGGAGAGCAGGTAGGATGTGAAGTATTGTCTCTTGCGTTTTCCTACCCCTCCCCCCCCCCCCCCCCCCCCCAGTCTGGTGATAAAACTTTGAATTGCTGTAGGGTACAGAGCTCTGCTTTTGGCCATTATCCCATGGTAGCAGGTGGCAAACAGCCACATGGCCTAGAATGGATCCTGGCCTGGGGGATTTATTTATACCTGGAAGAAAAAAAGCAAGAGGGGCCAATGGAAACTGTGGGAGTAGTTTGTTCAGAGCAATAGGAGTGTTATTTTCTTAGCAGTAGTTGCAAGTCTGTATCTCCAGAGCTTCTTAAATGTTGTGGTTCAAGCTGGACTCGAAAAACAGTCATAAGAGAAGGGTTGTTTTGTAAGGGTTGTCCCAAGCATGAGGATTAGCCTAAGAGGAGGAACAAAAAGTGCCTGTGTGAATGTGTATAGGGGAACAATAGCCTGAGAAATGGGTGAGAGACAAAAGGTTAGGAGGACATCATGCTTTTCTGGCCAGATGATTTGTGTGTGACAGCCTTCTGTTGGATTTCTGTGTGCGTAGGGGCGAGTTGCTTTCACTCAGAGATATCGAACATCTACATAAGAAGCCAAAGTCAGACAAGGAGACAAGATTGGCAACTGCAATGGTGAGGAACTGGGCTGTTTCATATCCTCTTTTTAGACATTTGTGGGGTTTGTGATCTTGTCTCCTGTGGAATAAGGAGGTGGTGTTGAATCTGTAAGACAGATGCCCAGCTGCCATCTGTGTTTTGGTTAAATTATTTTTTACTGTTGCATCGTGGCTGTAACTGATAAACAACCTCTTGCTGGTCGCAGGTGAAGATGAAAATATAGACAACCCTTAATTTTCACTGATACTTAACACAGCCAGCATGGAGGAATGCAGTTAATACACGCAGCAAGTCACACAATCTGGATGTATACTTGCTGCTCTAGAACCTTCACCCTAGCAGCTGACGTTTACTGTAAGGAAGGACAAATAATAAAGCCCTCTCTTATTATGGTGTGTTGTCTGTTCTAGGCCGGAAAAACGGATAGAAAAGAATTTGTGAAAAAGAAAACAAGAATGAACCCATTTGCCAGTTCTACCAATAAAGAGAAGAAAAAGCAGAAGAACTTCATGATGATGAGATACAGCCATAATGTCCGGACCAAAAATAAGCGTTCTTTCAGGGAAAAACAGGTAACATTTCACGTTGAAATCAGATGGGGCAGTCTGAGCAATAAACTTGTAATGCTGGTGAAGTGCTGTCTAGCCTACACCCTAAGATTTTGGTGTTTAATTTGATGGATTAATCACTGGAAAAGGCTGTGAGTTGCTTCCCATGAAACCTACCCAGAGGAAGTATATCAGGGACTGTGGGGGTGGAGGAGAATGCTTTGTCAGAATCTGCTCGTGACTATGCACAAAGAACCATGCACTGTTGCAAAATCATGGATAGGTTAGCAAGATGATTAAAATGTGGTTTGATTTCTTTTCTCCCTTTAAGCAATAACAGATTATGTTCGAACTGTAATGTTGTGATAGAAGAAATCTTTCCCCCGATACAGTGGAGTTGGTCTTTAGGACAAGCTTCTAGTGTGTTTCTTCACTCCCCATAATCTGTCTTTGACCTTTCTCCTATTACTGTCATATTATGGACTCAGCTCTCCTGGCTTGAGGTCATCTGATACCTTGATACAAATGCACTTAAGGGACAGATGCCAGTACTCTTTAGAACCTTTCAGAGCTGTACACAAAAATTAAGTCACTTCTTTGGTCTAGTCTGCTGCCATAGTTTGGCAATATGCTGCTCTCAGTGGTGATGCCTTTGCCTTCTACTGCTTCCTCAGTTACGAGCTTAGTTATGGGGCTGATGCAGGATTCAAAACAGCCTTCCCAAAAGCACATGTAAGTTAAAAGTGCATCTCTTCGGTAGTCCGATTACCGTGTGTTCCCACAGGCAGCTGTGCCAAGGTAGCTAGCTGAAGGGATAACTAAAAGGTGAGGCAGAAAGTTCAGGTGATGACTTTGTCCCTGGCACAGGCCAGGGAGTCTGTGTAGCTTCCCCACACAGCTGAGATGAAGTGGCAGACATGGAGCGTGGACAGAGTCCCCTCACTTCTGTCATGCACCTCAGCTGGGTTGATGCCTAAACTGTGGCAGCTGTTGCTGGTGTTGATACAGGCATATTGTTTTGCCCTACTGTGTTTCCAGGGTAGATCTGTGTTAACAAAAATGGGCCTTAAAATCCCTTTATCTAACCTGGCAGGTGGCCAGTCAGGGGTGTTACAGGGTGTTATAAAACTGAACTACTTTGAAGGTGTTCTGAGGAAAAACTTCGAGAATAATCCAGGTGTGCAGGCTTCTTTTCTTCTGTGTTAGTGATTTGTGTTTACTTAAGTGTTGTCTTGTGGTAGGGCATGTTCAGGTGCTGCTTTTTACAAACCCTCCTCTGTCCCTGAGAGTTGTTTCCAGGATTGTATTAAGTTGATGTGTATTTGTTGGCCACTTGTTGTCTTAACAGCAACAATACTGAAGAAGTTTATAGACTCAACAGGAAGTATTTCTTGAGTGTTTCTGTTGAAGAAGAAGACTTGGACTAATATCCTGTGTAGTCTTTTATTTTTTGTCATTCTGCTTTGCCTCATATAAGGCTGACTGCCTTAGCAAAGTACTTAAAACACAGAAAGTGTAGCAAATCAACAGTCCACGTGGTTTTATGAAACTGCTATTAATTCTCTGTCCTTCTATTGAGAAATTGGGTGTAATTTTAGCCCAAGAGTTCTGGGTTAGCTCCTGAGATAGGATTCTTAACAGTTTGTTCTTTTTAAAAATATATGTAAAAAGTAGGTGTCCATGTGATCAAAAACATCTCCCTTGTAGTATAGTGCCTTTAATCTTTTTTTCAAAACTGAGATTATACTGACGCTTAAACTTGGCTCCCTGTTTTTAGAAAGTCATCTTGAATGTTTTCAGTCCTTACTCCTGATTTAATGTTTTGAGTTCCAGGGTAACAGCTAAACAGTGAAATGAAAGTACCCTTCTTCCTTCTAATTTAAGTTAGACCACAGCATCGTCCTGTTGACAGTGATTGGGAAGTAGTACAAAAATAGAAGTGGATTGGAGTACTGTGGTTTTTAAGATAATTCCTTCTGCTGCCCTCCTCAATGGTAGAATAAAATGAAATGTAGTCTATAGTCAAAATCTAAACCCCTTTGCCAACTAAAATGTGTATAATCTATCACTTTAAAGAGACTGTGTATGGCACTCATTAAAAATTGCAGCATCTCCTCCTTCCCACCCTTGGAAAGCAGCTTTGTAATAATCTCAAAAAATTCCTGTTAATCCTACTTAGCTCTCAGCTGGACTGAAGTTTTTTTCTCATCTCTTCTTGCCAAACAAGTCTGTAGAAGAACAACTTGTTACTCTATCCTTTTCCTAACTGTGTAGGATCTTAAATGATGTTCTGATACATTGATGAATGTTTTATTTTTTGAAGTCCTACTCTTTCCTTAACTATACTGTTTAACTAAGCAACCACAGCATTTCTGTCAATGGATGTGTTAGCACTTGCCAGTTACTGCTTCTGGTTTCAGCTGATCAATTATTATTATTTCTCTGAGATTTGAATAAATTTTAGGAGTCTTCCTTAGTATTATGCTTACTTAATGAAAATAGCTTAATGAGACTTATCATCAGTAGATCTGTCTGCATAAATGCTACCAAAATTCTTAATTTTACAGCTGAAGATAATGCTGTACTCCTGTTTTCTGTAAAAACCTATAAACAATTTCTTAATTGCATTCTGATATTTTACTACCTTCCAGCTTTGTGCATCAGCTTCTGGTTGTCTGTATTCACAGCCATGTTTGAGTGGCTTTTGAACTTGAGTATAGGTAATCATAAAACGACAGTAGGAATGAGCTATGTGGCTAGCTCCTTTGTCTGTGATCTGCCTACTCAGTGCTGTTGTAGTTACAGTGTTACTAGCACCTGAGTCAACTGGTTTAAAGACAATTCAGGTTAATTTTTCATCTTGCAGTCCTACTTATCTGTAATACATCAAAGCCTCTATAAATGTCTACCTCAGCATAGATGATGGAAGCTGTTAGCTGTAGCATTCTCTTAAAAAGTTTGGTGATCTCATCTGCAAATGTCTGGTTCCTACAATACCAATGGGATGTGTATGATGGGCATATCAACAAGGATTGTCCATGTGATACTGTTTTCTTAATAGTTAAAGCTAAGAGTTTGAAATACCTGAATATCCCTCTTGTTTCATATTTCAGCTGGCTCTTAGAGATGCGCTTCTGAAAAAGAAAAAACATCTGCTGAAATAAAATGGTAAAGGAGAAGAACAGTTAATCATCCTTGAAGAAACAAGAAGCCTAGAAATGCTTATTTTCCCTTCTCTTAAGGGAAGAAAAAAGTACTGAATTGCCTTATGGATTCATCTCTGCTCTGTTCAGAATTATAAATTGAAGGCTGCTGCGAAGTTAGATAGTGCATCAATAGGAAAGACCAAAGAGGCCTTAATCCTTGCAGACTTTTGGTTTTTAAAGCATTCTAGGAAATAAGGCAGTTGTCTTTTATTGAATATAATTTATTTACAGCTGTTTTTGTATGTGTAAGTATTAATTAAAACATACAACCTCACTGTAAAAAAAATATTTGACTACTTGATTTGATTCAATTAATGAATAGATATTTGGAAGGAAAATGAATATTCCAGGTCATCCCTTAAATATTACATACACATTTTATACCTGTCTTACTGTAGTGATTTCACAGACTTAGTAAGGGGTTGTTTTTAGCATGTTTACTACTAATAAAACCAAATGGAGGAAAAGAACAGCTTAGTCTATAAAGATAACAAAAATAAAATTTGGAGGGAAAATGGGAAATTTTTAGGAAAAAAATGGGAATATGCAGGCCCCCCTCCCATAGGGGGGGGCCTGCATATTCCCATTTAAACACAAGGGTAGTGTCACATGCAGGAGAAATATGCAGTCTTGTTCTCCCATATCCATGCATTGTTTGGTAGTACTTGCTTGTGTTTGATTTTTTGTGAGAATGTGTGAGAAAAACAATGTGTGGTCTATGAATTCTTGACCTTAAAGTAAAGGTTGAGCTCCTGTTTTAGCCTTTACTTCACCTGGGATTGCTAATGGCCTTTCTGCCCTTTACCCAATCACATGTTTCCCTGATAACTTATTTATACTACCCTTTGTCAAGTTCTGTTTCATTTCCTTAAGGAGGAGAAACAGGTGACATGCACAGTGTAATGGAAAATCACAAAATCACAGAATTTCTAGGTTGGAAGAGACCTCAAGATCGAGTCCAACCTCTGACCCAACACCAACAGTCCCCTGTTGTGGAGTGTTTTTTCTTGTTTTCAATTTTCAAGAAACTAAGGTTAATGTTTATATCCTGTACCAGCATTCACTCAACATATGTATATTTACATTGAATACACAATTGTATCACTTCTAATTATTAACCCAGCCACAAGCAAGACCAAGGGTTTCTTGGTCACATCTTGCATCCTAAAGAAAAAAGCAGATGGAAGCATGAGGGAGCTTGTACAGAATTAAAGTTGACTTTCTCTTGCGGCTGTAAATGAAAATTCAGGCTTCTCTTGAGTGAAAGATGGGGACAACTCCTGTTCTCCAGGAAAGGGGGCATGTAACGGAGCTGGCAGAGGACGTGTCATGGTGTGGAGACCACAGGTAGGGGAGAATAGTAGGAATGGCATACGGATTTGTAGGCAACCCACTTGTGCTATTCTCTCTTTGCTGAACAGCTGTGCACAGTTTCCCGGGTATCTGTGTGGCAGGAGGAGCTGTGCCCAGTTTCACAATATGCCCAAGAGCCAATTTCACAAGCTGTGCTCCCTTTCTCGAGTTTCCCCTCTACCCTCCTATTAAAACAGAGGGCGTAGACCCTCTTTCTCTCAGGTGCTTATCAAGCAACGCTAGGGGAAACAAGACACAGGCACTAACCTCTCTTTTACCCATTCGTTGCCTGCGGAGAAGCTCGGGGCGGGAGAGGCGAGGCCGCAGCCGGGCGCCTTCTCCCTGAGGCGATCTGGCCGCCATGTCGTGGCCCTTCCCCCTGAGCCGCCCCTCGGGGGCGTGGGGCTGCGGGCACGGCGGGGGCCGCTGCGGCCGCTGCAGGCAGCATGGGGCGGGCAGCGGCGTGGGGCTCCCGGCTGCTGCTGGTGGTGGTCGTGGTGGTGGTGGTGCTGTGCGGGACAGCGGCGGCGGGGGGCCCCGGGACGGCCCCGCTGCTGTGCAATGTGAGCCTGGACAGCCCCGCCGAGGAGCGGTGGCTGCCGGTGCTGAGGCACTTCGAGCCCGCCTTCCTGCGCGCCGCCGTCGCCCGGGTCATCGAGTGAGTGTGGGGCGGCGGGGGGACCCTCCTCGGGACCGGGGGGGGTGGCGGGGACAGATGGGAGGGGGATGAAGGGCTCCGAATTGCCCCCAAATCGCCTGGGCTGTGCAGGGTTCTCGGGGGATGCGTGGAAAGGCAGTGAGGTGCAGTGAGGGATGCGGGCACGGGTGCTAAGCGGTCGGTGTCACCCGGCACGGCTGGTCTCGGTCTGGGACAGGCACTCGGTGGAGCAAAAGTTGCCAACCTTTTTGTCTCCTTCTCAGCTAATAGGTAGCTAATGCCTTGAGCGTGTTTTGCAGTGAAACCGTGCCAAAATGGGTCCACGAAGTTATTCAGCCAATTGCGGCAGAGCTGGAGTCCTTCATGCCGCAGCCCTTCGCAGGGGAAATCCTGGGGCTGTGCAAAGCCCTGGGAATCAGTTTGGGTGACGGAGTTCTGCTTAACTTCGCCTATGAATCCACCGCGTAAGTGACTGAGAGTAATAGAACCTGACAGACGTGGACACAGATTCATTTTAGCTCAGTATCTGACAAGGCAGATAAAGATACGGCAGATAAATCACGCTGTTTGATCTGATGCCATTTCTGATGTTCAGTTGGGTGGCAGTTTGCACGCTGATTTGAATGAGGTACAGAGCAGCATACCCAATAAGATAGCCTTTTAAACGCTAGTTCTTCATATCTCACAGAGCGTGCTCATCATCCTGAGCCCCCATAAGACCTAAGAAATTTTAAGTTTCTCGGCTCTAACAATGCTCCAGAATGAACAGCAACCAGGCGCAAACTACAAGTCTGCAACTTTTCTTTACCTTTACAATTTTAACAGACAGTGCTGTGTATCACTAGGATGACAAACTTAAAACTTCAGATAAAATAAGTTGTGAATTACCTGCTAATTCAATTACAGAATTACGGAGTATCCTGAGTTGGAAGGGATCCATGTGGGTCATTGAATCCGACTCTTGATTCCACACAGGGCAACCTAAGTGATAAAACATATATCTAAGATCATTGTGCAACAGCATACTTCTTGAACAACGTACTTATTAAAAATTGTTTCCATGAAAGTGAAACTATTACTGAAAAATGAGTTTTAGCACACTTCCTGTCCAAGAGAAGTTAGACTGCTGTTGAAATTGTCAATGCTTTAAAAGTAATCAGTTTCCAAACTGAAAAGATTTTGTTTGAACATTTAACCTAACTGTAATCAAAATATAATCAGGGTCCAGACAGAAATCAAACAATCTATAATTAGTAAAAAAGGAAATTAAAAAAAGTTTCAAACTGATACTCTGTGGACATTTTTTGCTGTTGGCTTTTCATCTTGATTTAGAAAAAGTAAGTTTTGAAATAATGACATTTTTCCCAAGTGGAAATCATGGTTCCTGCTTGGTCTGCTATATCTGACCTGATATAGACAGTAGCAGGGATTTTGACTTTCTAAGTCAGGTGTGATGTCTTAAGTTAAATATTGTACAGTTTTGTATGCCAGGCTCTCTGGAAAGTCTTTACCTTGTGAATATTGTGCATGACTTGTACAGGACACTGTCAAACTTTCTCATACTTTTCTTTTTCCTTTAAACTGAAAGTGAAGGCTGTGTGAAATTATATGAAAAAGTATAAGGCGAGACTATTCTTTGAGGTTGTGTATTGCAAGTGTTAATGATGTAATGTGAGCTCTTATTTGGATGCTTCCATGTGTAAAGTACTTAGAAGAAAATAAACTCAGTTACTCCTGAAATGTTGTGCTAGCTCAACTAGACTGTAATGTTGAAAGTGTTGTCGTAGCTTTTTACAAAATAATTTTATCTCTTTTTTTTTAAAGGTTCTGTACTAGTATTGTCGCTCAGGATGAAAAAGGAAACATTTACCATGGTCGGAACCTGGATTATGACTTTGTAGATATATTAAGTAAAATTACAATTGATGTGCAGTTTATAAAAAGTGGACAGGTATGAACTGTGGGTGGTGTGGCTGGGTGGTATTCTGTGAAGCAATGCTGTGTGGTTGTACAGCTGCACAGGCAGCAGCATTTAATCTGAGATATATGGTTCCCAACGCAAGTTTACTGAATTATCAGAGCACCACAGTCCCTCTTTCTAGGAATGTGGGATGAGTGCTGTTTTTTGTCTTGTTTTCTGGACCTCCAGTTAGCGGAACAAATAAAACTGCAATCTAGTGTGTCAAGATCATTATTTGGAAGGAGATGATAAAAGAAGAAAATGCCAAGGCATTAAAAAAAAGGAAGTACTACAGAATGTAGAAAAGAGAGCAGTTTTGGCAGGGACCAACTTTTTGTCCCTTTTCTAAAGCCTTGTTAATTTTATTGACCAATGTGTATGTTTTAGATGAATATTGTCTAAAATGAACTAGTTGCTAGTGCAGTTCTCATTAGTTTCATTTTCTTAATATTCATTTGTCCTTTTTGCAAATACAGAATTCTTTGTTTCTTACTTGGTCCCTTGCTAACTTGAACAAAATTTTTGTAGCTGTTGGTGATCGTTAACAGATGAAATGCAGTGTATTGTGAGTCTTTTTATCATTTACTTTGCAAGGTTTATTATAATTTAAGGCAAAGAGTTTTAAAGGTATTTCCAAAACAATATATGAAAGTCACAGGAAAAAGTACAGGATGCTGTTTTGGAATGTTGCTTGTATTTCAAAAAGTGCTTAGTTCCAGAATGCTAAAATACTGTATGTTTCTTGGTTTCAGATAGCATATCAAGGAACCACATTTCTTGGTTACGTAGGCTTATGGACTGGACAAAGTCCACACAAGTTCACAGTCTCTGGTGATGAACGAGGTAAAAAAAATCCGTCTTCCACACTTGACAACATGTATACTATTTCAGTTGATTGTTGCCTCTTCCAGCTCTTCTGTCACATTCTCTAAGAGGGAAAAATACTGTTAGGTCTGCCAGAAAGGAGATGAAACTGAATGACTTCTCTGGCCCTCGGGAGACGAAAGCACACGTGCTGCCAGTTTTTGGCTGCTACAGGGGAGAGAGGCATTTGTTTATCAGCAGTGTCATCTGAGCTTGAAAAGTGTCAGAGGAGACAGAGTAGGAGGAGGCAGTAAGAGAAAGATCTTGTGATCTGTCCGAGAGACACAATGAGAGATGACAGAGTAGGTGCTGAGACAAAAAGGGAGCCTTGTATAGCAAATAAACTGTCACTTTCCTTGTTCTCTCTTCCTTTCCCTATATCCCATTTTTCTCTGTCCACATAAGACAGCTTGAATGAAAGGATCAGAAGAGAAGAGGAAGACAGAGAATTATATACATATTCATTATCTCTGTAATTAGGGACTCTGGTGAGGAGCACGTGTGCCTTTTGATTCCTGCTTCCTTTGTTAATTCTGCTTTCTTGCAATATTAAGATTCTCTAGATTGTTTCCATAGTTGATATTTGTATTTTTTAAAAGCCTGCTTCTGATGATAGTGTAATTATTTAATCCTTTCAAAACTGGATCATCTTGGGCCAATACTGAGAGATGCTAACTGCTCTTAATTTGTACTAAAATCAGCTTGGACATAAGAGTCTTAAATGTACTGAATCTTTGCAAAACGGCTTGATTTGGTCTTGCAGACCAAAGTGAGCATGTCCTGGGGACAAAACCAGGCTGTTCTGTTCTCTATAACGTATCTCAGCAGTGTGCAAAGATCATCTGAGACCACGGTGAGATGCGTTAGTCCATGCACAAGCTCATTATTTTTTCCTGATTAAAATACTGGAATCAAGTGCTGCAAACGTTTGTGTGAGATGGGCCCCTCTTGTCCATCAGGAGCTGATGTGATGTCACCAACCTGCATGCCTTTGTTTCAGTTGCTTTTTTATTATAGACAATAATAATTCACTCAACACATGCTGCGGTCCTGTAAATCGGTTGTTACTGACTGCTTGTTTGTCTGTCTGTCACCATACAACTGAAATGAAATTTGAGGAAATAAACTTGTGCAGTCTGGCTGGGAAGGGAGGTGACTTTAAATTAGGGTGAAGGTCTCTCAAATAGCAGATATTATTTCTGTTGCCTTTTTCTTGTTTGGGCATTAAAAAAAAGTATAAAGTTGTCCTGTTTTTCTTGGTTCTCCTAATTTTTCCTGAAAACACACAATCACTATTACTACCTCTTTTTTTTTTCTTTTTTCCCCTTTTTTAGTTACTTTAAGATTTCAGTGTAATTCTTGTTGTAGGAGTTCAGTAAGACGAACAATGAGATGATTTATGCTAATATTTGAGCTGACAGATGTAGACTAACAAATCATATCAATAGACTTGCAGTCTTTTGGGCAACGCGTGTTGCAAAGTGTTACTTCCTCTTAGGGCAACCTTTGACTCTTCCATGCTCAGCACTCAGCTATGAATAAAAAATGATGAAAAATTGAGAAGCTAGTAAATTATCAATGCTGAGTTCTTGATTTAAAGTGCTAGCACTTGCAAGTTCTGAGAAGTACTGCGTATTTTCTCTAAAGAGCTAAATACCTTTCACTTTTGTTAATGCTGGTATCGGATCCTCTACTTCTTGTTCACATTATGGGTCCTACAGTGATTTGCTTGAGAACTTCTGTTCTAAGTTACACAAAGAGCACAGTAAACAGATGTTCTGTTTATTGTGGCCCTTCTCAGCAGCGTGATCTCTCTGTAGCTCTTTGTTGGATTCTTGGAAGTGAAATTGTTGAAGCTGATGCTGGAATCACTATAGGCTGAAAGAAAGGGAGTCCTGAAGTACTGATGGTAGCACTGAAACAGAGATCTTTAACTTCTGAGCATGTTTTCTGACTGAAACCTTTCAGACTGGTTGAGAGTTCTATTGCTGTAAATCTTTTAATCTACAGATTAAGAGTTTCTAATCGAGTAGAGGGTAAGATTGCAGAGCTAGAGATGGGACGTGGAAAAGAAAGGAAGACTGAGGAGGATAGATTTTACAGTGTAAGTAACGTGTATGTGCAATAGTTTGTTTTTTTTTCTTTTTTTCCAGCGGGTGGTAGCTGGTGGGAAAATGCAATAGCTGCTTTTCTGAATCGAAATTACCCTGTCAGCTGGCTCGTCCGAGATGTAAGTGCACTACGTTATATTCTCAGATTTCAGTGATGTCGTTTCAATTTGCAGACCCCTAGTAAATTTGACTTTTTTCACAGAAAATTGAATAAATTGGTGAGATTATATTTTATAAGGGCGGATAGGTATTATCCCCAAATAATCTGCAACATGTTTGATAAAGGCAATTCCAGCCCTTCAGGGGGACGATCTCTGATCCCTGCCAAAAATCTGAGTATCTGTGCAAAGACTTCCTTCCAAGGGAGGATCTCAGCTAGCTGTGAGGGATGTAGTAATTTAGCAAATTGAGCAGCTGTACTCTCAGATAGTAGACATATGAACCCATGGTTGTTTTATTACATTTGATAATTTCCCTTATTAAAGATAGAGAGCTCACTGGTGAGTGGCAGGAGTTAGACTGGTGTTTTGTATAGCACTTTTAATGAATGTTGTATTAGTATAGCTGCTAGGATAAAACAGGTTTGATGCTTCTCCGATTTATGAATTATAGCAAACATGAATGTTATCTTTTGTAAGTAAAAACCTCCCTGCAGAGCTGGAATGTTTACTGGAGACCTCATTATTGTCATTTTTTGAGTTTGAGTTGTGACCTGAGGCCATGACTTGCCTACTACTAGCTGCAGCGCTGCTGTCAGAAATAACTAATTGTTTAAAACAATTGAGAGCACTTTTGCTTTATGTTTGTTCTCCATATTTGGCTTTAGTTCCTTCACAGCACTGATTTTTAAAGAAGTACTTCAGTAGACTGTGGCCCTATGCCTGTAAATAGTAGCTTCACTGTGGTGGAGTTACCAGTTCATACTAGGTTAGTCGTGTGGTTATGGCAAGAAAAGGAAGGCTTGATGTGAGCAATGCCACTGCTTCTCCATTGTTATCAAAATCATCTTAAACTAAAGGCAAGACAATGATGCAGTACTTTTTTTTTTTCCTCCTCATCCCATTTCTGTCCCATTTTGCAAGTTGAAAAACTTTGAGGATTGAACTGGCAGAGTGTTGACATGCCTTTATCTCTTCAATGGCAGATTTTTCATCTTTTTTCACCGTATACATGTGTGTGTGTACATGTGTATATGCATGTATGTATATTTACTTTGTGTATTTGCAAAGCTGGGAGTAATGAGGTCTGTTGCTAGTCACTCATTTCATGTTCTTGTGCTAAAATCACAAGCACAGTGATAAAGTCACAGAAGTGTTTTCAAAGAGGTATCTTCAAATAGCACCTTAGAGTTGATTGCAGTTTGCAACAAAGCTGCGACTGTTGTGCTTTTTCAGGTGTCTCAGTGCTTACTTTGTGCTTGACTGTGCTTTGCAAATTTTGTTTCATTGTGCTCTCCTTTTTGCACTAGACCCTGAGCAGAGCAGAGGACTTTCAGTCAGCTGTTCTCAGACTAGCTGGCATTCCCATCATTGCTGAAGTTTACTATATTGTAGGAGGTGTATCACCCAAAGAAGGCATGGTCATAACGAGGAATAGAAGAGGGCCAGCTGACCTCTGGCCTCTTGATCCTTTAAGTGGAGCGTAAGTACACAAAATGTTTTGTTTTTTTTTTTCATACTCCCTCTTAAGTGATACAGCTTTCTTTAGAGATCCAGGCCCATCTCTTACCAATGTTGAGAAGGGAAAGCTTGGGAGCCTCAGAAAGGAACCCCAGTCCCTTCCTGGGAAGGCATCACACTGCCTTGTCAGATTGGGGTAGTCCAGAGCATCAAAAAAGCATCTGTATGTATTTATTTTTTAGATAGATTTCAAAGGAGACAAGATTTGAGGGCACATTGAGGGCAAGATTTTGAGGGTTGTCTGCCAAGTATTGTATGATTAAATTCAGTGCTCCCAAGTTAGTTTTCTCACAGCGTGGTAGAAGGGTTGAAGGCTCAAAACTAATTGTTTCTGTGATTTTTGTGAAATCAGCTGCTTGATAAATGAAGGAGATCCTTAATAGTTGCCCTGCAGTGACAAAATGGAACTTAATGATTGCTGTCAGTTAGTAAGTGCTGGCTTGGCAACAGCCAGATGGCCTGTTGGCTCTGTGTACTCCAAGTGGAACGCTGCAGGCTACAGCGTGTACACATAATCCTTTCTCTAATTATCTCTTTAAAGATCTAATCTTACTTTTTTCCTAGTCAGTAGTAGTTTTGCCATTAGCAGTTCAAGAGGTCACTCCTTTTTCATTTGCGTTCAGTAGCTTATGGTAAAGGCTGCTATATGTATAGGATCCCTTGGATTTGCAAGAGACACAGGGAAGAGGCTTTTGAGGGAACTTTTTTTCCTTTGGGCAGTACAGAAATACTGATTCTCGACTTTTGTTAATTACCTGCTGATGCACCTTTTGTTTGCTTGCTTGTGTGTTACATGACAGGTGGTTTCGTGTGGAGACAAATTATGACCATTGGACTACCCCTCCTCCTTTTGACGACCGAAGGTAAATTTAGTTTAGACCTCTGCAGTGAGATATCGCTTCCATTTTTAAAAAGCTTAGAGTCTTGGGTGTTTTCTTCTCTGAGCAGGTGTTAGCTTGCTGAGCAGGCAGTTTGTTCAGTTTCTGGAATGCCACTTGAATGGGAACAGATAAGCTAGGAGTGACAATGACACGTGCCAGAGGAAAGTCTGTGTGGCATTGAATGGCATGCAAGGTGAGAAGCAGCAAGGATATACTGTGTATCAAACATTTCCATATAAAGTTTAGTAAAAATTACATTTTCACTGTGAATCTAAATCCTGTATTTGATGGCACTATTGAGAGACTTGCAGACGTCACACAATCTTTAGGATGTGTGGTCTGCAAAAAGCTGCTGGCAGATTCCCTTTGTTCTGAGTTCACACTGTAGTAACACAGTAACTTCAGCAGTGTGAGTCTAGATTAAGTCGCACAGAACTGTGGATAATTTTAGACCATAAGAGGCATTTTAAAATTAAAGGCATTCACTGAGGAAATTCTTCACAGTGGTGGTTCATAGCCTTTGGAACAATAAACTGTGTTTAATGATATTGCATTGTTCTCCCACAGAACTCCAGCCATGAAAGCTCTCAATGCTACTGGACAGCAGAATATCAATTTTGATACGCTCTTTCAGGTATTTATTTTAAATTCTGTAATGTGGCACGTAGACTTTCACTTGAAACTCTTTCAAAGCAGAAGTGGTTACGTGGTTGTCAGTGATTTTAAAGCTATGCAAGGAAGGCATGGTGAAAAGGATGTGCCACGCAGCCACCTCTGGAGAGTTTAAGGCTGACAAGTTTGTGCATTAAAATGGTTCTGAACTCTCTGTGTAGTCATTTCATAATAGTCTGCCAACCCAAGTTGAAAGGGTAAGCGATGAATCCCATCACCATCATCTCCGTGCAGTTCCCTCGTTCAAGCGCAGTCATAAATATTAGAGCAGGCAGCTAAAGTGTTAGACAAGAGTGATATTTACCACTTAGTTTTGAGAACTTCAATTTTGTGTATTTCAGAATTTTTTTTAGTGAAATGGTCCAATACTTAAAACACAGCAAGAGTAATTCTTAATTCTGTATTATTTGTGTTTATAACTTCATCCTACTGCTGTTTCTAAATAGCATTTTAATTCCCTTTTCACCGAAATGACACATTTTCAAACTTTCTGTACAGGTGTTGTCAGTGAAGCCAGTCTTAAATGAGTAAGTATTAGATTCAGAGATGTCAATCAGTGCCTCCCTACCATGCCTTCGGCCACTTAAAAGGCCATCACAAATTTCCTCAGGATTTTCCTATACATCTGTTTGAGTATCTTGTCATTTCCCAGCATAGATTACTGCTTGTGCAGATGGTGCTGAAGACTTTCACAGAACTCTTCCTCTCTGGCCATCTTCCTCATGTCTCTCTGGCCATGAAACTGTGCTTTGTTAGGCTTAGTCTGGTAATGGGAAGTTCCTTTGTGGTAGTGAAACAAGTAACAGCTTACATGAACAGCAGTAATTTCTTAACAGTTCTTTTTACCAACTCCTTTGTGCCTTTGACTTTTGGAAAGGTTGGATTTGTGTTAACGCTAGAAATGGCTTTATCTGGTGCTTCTGATTTAGCTCTGCTTGATGTGTGAAAAAAAAAAAAAAGTGGTAAATGGGGACATAGTTTTTAGGTACCATTTACTGGCTTTTTAAAACAGACCGATTTCAGTATAACATTACAGTTCTGCATTGTTCCGCAGGTTATCCTGTTTTGCTTTGCTTTTACATGGAGCTCAGTACCTTCTCTGGATCAGTCACTCACATTAGAGCTTGGCAATGGGTTCTTCAGAGTCAGTATGAAGACTTCCTCTCCTCTTTCTTATAAATGTGAGGAAATTTGGAAAGGAGAAGATTATATCTTTGTGACTGTTACAATTAGCAATACCGTTTTTTTAATACAGTGATCCAAACAGATGTAGAAATACTGTTTCTTTGCTGTACTAAATGGAAGGAAAAACGTGAAAACTTGTGCCAGCAGCCATCATTTTTATCAGTCTCTTTCCCACTCGTCCTAACACTTCTGTACCTAAGCAGTTTGTTTCCACTAAAATTTGTCCTGCTGCTTTGCTAGTTTTCTAAATTAATCTTCTCATCTTTGGAATGATTTTTCACTCACTGTTTTCTTCTTTTCCCTACCAGTAACACAGTGTATACCACAGTAATGAGTGCTGCATTTCCAGAGAAGTACCAGACATGGATTAGAACTATGAAGTGAAGAGGTGTAAGTAATGTGCTGGTACTCCTAGCTACTTGTACTTAAATAAAATTTCAACTGAAGGGTCATTGAGGGGCAAAGCACTGCAGTGGCATTCAAGTGACCTAGTCTGGATTCCTGATTCCCTTGGTTTGCTTATTGACCTTGGGTAAATACCTTCCCTAGTTGATTCAGAGATAGGAGTTAAGTATTGACTTTCTTTACAAAAACCTTGGAGATTGTTTGAGGAAAAGTACTTTATCAGAGGGGAAGGGGTAGGTGTGGTGAGCTACAGGTAGTTGTTGGCTATATGAACATTTTACCTATTATTTTTACCATTTCCACTACTGTGGTATATTTCACATGCCTTCCAGTGGCTGACTTTGACAGGAAGCCCTGCCAGTGGTGAACCCTAGCAGGTGAAGTTGGTGCACTTGGCACAAAGAAGAATCAAGCTTAGCTTGTAACAGCCCTTCATAACCAGCTGAACATTAGCATCCTCAGGTTTTGTCCAGTGGTCTTGCAGAAAAAGTTGAAGTGATTGAACTCCCACAGAGATTCAGGTGGTGGCTTTACTGTGCTCAAAGGAAAATATTAAGTTACAGACATTTCTATTCCAAGAAACTCTGGTTGTGTGGGGGGGCTTGGCAGGACCATAAGAAACTGCATTTCAGTTTGAATAGTTTTTTAAACCATTATTAGTATTATATTCATAGCAGTTAATATTGGACATTAGATTTTAGCAGGACTTTTAGAGATTCTAAAGTGATTAGTTTCTTTTTTAACTTCATACAAACCTATGCTCTCTTATTTACCTATGTATCTGTTTATTTCAGCAGACCAAACTGGCGAAAAGCTGAAGCTTTCCAAGACCAGCATAAGCTTTTAAAATCACACTCAAATGCAGAACAGTTGTTTTGGCTTACTAATTGTGCAAACCATTCAGGAAATAATGACTTGTTAGTTCTTTGAAGTGTTGCAGATGATACTGTTAATGAACTGTAAAGGAAGATTGATTTTATTTTAATTATATTCATGTTCTAGCAGCTGTTGATGACTAAAAACTGTTTTTTTATTGTTTTTGGAAAGAGTTGTGCAATTTGATTGTACTCATGTACTTACTAATAAATAAAAACTAAATATATTTTGTGTGGGATGTAGGTCTGAACATAATTAAATAAATATACACAGCTGATTGCTTGATTTATGAAGACCTGTGGTGATAATACCACTGTCATCATCTGTTTCTGACTTGTATGGGGCCTGTGAATGTGAGCCCAGCAGGGTCAGGTGCTGTGCCAAGCAAGAATTGGCCTGAGTGCTGGGGAAGCTGGAAGAGTTAGAGAACAGGGTTGCTGCAGGTCGTGAGACTGTCTCAGCCTTTGTTCAGCTGCATCACCGTGGCCATCCTGTCCTGAGGCACTCCGTAGATCTTCCTCAAGACAAAAGTTACTGCATCAGTGCAAAGGAACATGACTACACGGTGTGAATACCACTGCAGGCAGTATCTTTTCTCTTCAGCTATGGTTCTCCAGTGCACAAGTTCTTCAGCTGTTTTTATTAGGCTTATGCAAGATTACTGAGAGGCATGTAGTCTTAAGATGGTTCCCAGGTAATATGGAAAGCACTTGACTTATAGCAGTAGATAAGGTAGTGGACCATAAACAGATTTTCAGTCTGTCTAAGGACTGTATTTAGTATAAAGTGAGGAAATATGGCTACTCATCAGAAATCAGGAGTTATTTAAGGAGATGTGATGATACAGACTTCTTCCTCACAATAGATGATAGAAGTTTGTGATGGAATAGTTGTGAGATTAGAAAATGGATTGTTTTCCTTTTTAATATTTGAAAGCTGTCTTCAATAGAAACTTTACAACTCCCTTTTCTAGTGCAGAGGTGGTTTTTTGTTTTGTTTTGCCTAGTTGTGCTGTGACTGTGTACTGTGAATTAGGCACTTCTTGCAAGCACCCGAGAAATACAGGATTTAAGGAGTCAAGAGCAATGGATACCTTCACATAAAGCGCAGAGGTCTGGATCTTTACCAGACAAAATTCAGGGGAGTGCCTGTGAAAATTTTACCTAGAAGAAGGTATGATTGTAGCACTAGGTGAGAGAGCCATTTCCAGATATATGCAATGCTATCTGCAGTGCTGGTGTGCCGGTTATGCAAACTGTTCCCAAGTGAGCCTTCTGGAGATGTGGTCCCTTTATCTCCTTGCGCTGAGTCTGGCTAAGTGTCGTAACCTACTTACCTGCATCCTCTACTTCTGCCTGGATAAATGAGCTGCCAGCTTTGCCTTGACCCAGTTTGTATAATGATGTTAGTAGTCATATACCAGAACTGATAAAGCTGAAAAATTGAGGTTTTCTGGAAGAGGATGTGAATAATGGAAATTACAATATCTTTGAGATATCAGGATGATGTTGCTTTAATCCACAGAGCAGACACTGACTCCTCATTCCACCAGGTTTTCCTTATGTAACTGCCACCCACAAGTAAAGGCAAAACAATCCTCACAGGAATAATTTTGCATAGCCTTCTTGACCTCAGCAGTGTTAGGCTGATTATCTTCTGCCAGCGGTGTGCCCAGATTCTCAGTCCTTTATAAAATGAATCAAACATGTTTGCTTCCAAGTGTACAAACAGATCTGGAGTGTGTAAATATTTGGTATCCATGAGTATTCAGCAAACAGTTGTCCACTCCTGTATTGTCTCTTCAGCTGATCAGAAAGTGGTAAGGCTCAGTCACAGAACATATTAGTGAAAAAAAAAAATGTTTTTTGAATTTTAAGTGGGAGACTAGATTTGAAATAATCTATTTTGTTTTCCTTTTGTTCCTTTAAAATATTTTCTGAAAGCCTTGCATTTTATCAGTTTATAAACAAACATTCAGACACTCTGCCAATAAAATGAAGCCTTTATGCCTATATAGATATAGGTATATGTATTTTGCTAAGCAGAAGGATATGTATAACTTTCTGGTCTTAGTTTAATTACATGCTAAAAAATATAAACGAAGTGTTAAACAACATATATTACAAACAAGATAATCTGTGAAACGTGTTGAGCTTCTTTTGTCTAAGAATTGAAATCTGATAAAAATGCAGAAAGGTTTTTAAACAGTTTAAATAAAACAATGCTGGATATATAAGGAAACAATAAATGTAGTACTGGTTGTTTTGAGAGAGGTGTTTTTTTTTTGTGGGATCTGGTTTGTTCTTTAAAAAAAGAAGGATCATTTATAGTTATTGGAATTGCTCACTGGTCATCCTTCTCTTTGACGTTTCATCTGCTTTGTGTGTTCACATTTTAGAGACTGGGAAATAAAACAGTTTTTCTGCTTTCTCAAGCCCCATCAGCTTCATGACTTAGAATTGATAAGTAATTAACAAGAACTAAGTTACGTTATCCTTGCTTTGTCCATTCTTTTGTTTCTGCAGTCCAAATTCCCTAGCTATAAAGCCCCAAATATTTTTCAGTCCACCATAGGGACCAGGTGAAATGTTTCTTTCTTTTCTCTTTGAGAAATTTGCATTTAACAAAAGGGAACTTGAAGCTGTTTACAAACTGGTCCTTTTAAGATGAGAGAAGCCAATGTACCATCTTTCTCATTCCTAATCCTCTTCAGTAATCCTAATCCATTTCAGACCTGTAACCTTTCTTAAGCATCACATGGGAGAGGATTCTTAAGGCTGCTCAGAACTGTGCAGTAAGTAAATCGAAGGGTCTGTACTTGTTGCAGAGCAGTGCATATTTTGTGTGCTGCAGGTGCTGAAAGCAATGGCAATTTCTGCTGCATGCCCAAGAGAACAGCCTACTTGATCATTTAGATCTCAGGAGGAGTTTCTAAATCTGTAATCAAGTAAATCACTTCAGAGATTACTGATCACTTTGGGTACTGAATGCTGGTTATATAAGCAAACAAACAAATATTTAAGAAGTGGAGAGCTTCTTTTGTGTTTATTTTAATAAATCCTTAAGCTAGAAATTGGTGGCAAGGTAAGTTTTATTTTTCTTTTCTCTGCAACTGTTTTGTCTTCAGTAGTTACTTGGTGAGGTGAAATGTCCTTTCCATAGATCACTTTTTCTAAGTGAAATTCTCCTTTTTGGCACTGCAGTAACTGTGCAGGTGCAGAGTTCAGTGCATGTGTAAAATTAACCACTGTTTCACTGTCTTGTTTCCAGCTATGAGCAAAGCTTAGTCTGTCGTACACGTGGAGCAGGGGTATTTACTCTAGGAGGGAAAGGAAGGATCATCACTTTCCCTGGTGCTAGCAAGCATTTTTATTCTTGTTAAAATTATTTTCTACATGTTGCAGTTTTTCTACTAGCAGAACTTAAAATTAGTTTCAATTTTGCATCTCTCACTGTTTTCTTCCTAGTAAACAGTCTGTTTTATCCTCTCTTTGCCTTCTAGATTCTGTTCATCTCTTCCCTTGGTCATCCAAATGTCTGTAAAATTTACAAGCTAGTGGGGATTCTGTTGTGCATATGACATGTGAATGTGTTGTCTTTCTTTGGAAGCGCATTGTTTTAGAGTTAACTTTGCATGGTGGAGTAGTTTGTTGCTCCTTTCAGGACTTTGATTCAAGTAGGTAGAGCCCCAAATTCTGCACAGGTCTGTAATCTGGACGAGCTCAGTGATGTGACAGAGTGTAGAATTTGATTCAAAATGGTGTCATGGGTTTTCATTTTGTAAGAGTTGATACTTGCAGTAAGCAGTGGAAATTTACCTAGGCTTTTGTTGTTGCTGTTTTGGAGTGTTTGTTTTCTTTCTTTCTTTCCTTCCTTCTTTCTTGTTGATGCAGAGGGACTTATACAAGTTTTCCTTTATCGGATTTTATGTGTTATTTTATCATGGGGTAGTATTAAACAGATCAGCAGCCTGTGTTGCAAAAGGAAGTATGTTAGCCCATATCTGGGGAGGTGTACGTGGACTATGACTGTAGAAGTTTCTTCTGCCTTTCAACGCCAACTGGTGAACAGGGAATATGCATCAATATGTGTTTGTGGTCTTCTGCTGAGGCACCGAGCTTTATTGATCTGTGAGTTGCCTGTATCTATGTGCAGCTCTTGAGTCTATGCCTTGTTCAGTGGTGTTTTTGGTGAGAAAGGAGTAGGCAGCCAGTTTTTTCACAGATGCGCTGTTTACCTCAGCTAGTTGTTTAATACAGCCTGTATTTGAGGTGATGCCACCATTGAACTTCATCGTGTCATTCGGGCTGCATCCTTATGGACTCCTACAGTGCAACTTTTCCTTGCAAACAGGGTTTTAGGTATGGGGTGGTTGTATTTCACTGTGGGATGGATGAGGAAGGATCAGAGGTGCTGAGCGGTTGGGTTAGCTCTATTTCTTTCTCACTCAACCCACCCTTGAAGCAGGTATCATTCCTTTGGATTCTCTGGTTTATTGCTTTGCATGCCTTTGCTCAGGCTGTGGCCCTCAGAAGAATCTGTTGGTAACAAAAAGTTTGCAGCTGCAGGAATTGCTTGGGAGAGACCTGTTAACCAGATCAGAGATGTAGGTAAGTGCTAATGCCTGTGCTTGCTCTCTGCAGGTGCTCCTAGGGTATGCTAACACAGACTACCCCTCTGTACAGATGGCCAAAATTCACATTTAAAGTAGAGCTGTCCAAGCAACAAATGCTTGTGTTTTTGTTGTTGTTGTTGTTTTTGCTTTTTTTTTTCTTCAGGGGAAAAGTTTTATTTTGTTTCTCCAGAAGTGATCTCAAATCCAAGATCATGTTTTATCAAAACATGTAGGTAGTACCCCTGAACACCCTGTAGGCAAGCAAGGTACCTATCTCTGTACCTGAGCACACATTTAAAATACGTTCTTTGGTTTTTAAAACTCATCTGACAGTGTTCTAGTTCCTGAAAAAGGATTTTTTTTCTCATGCTGGCTGGCATTTTTAAAGGTATCTTTAAAAGTGCTCACCTCTTCTGAAAAGTTGAAGCATCCAGCTTTCTTTGAGGCTGGTAGTATCAGGTTTTGAAGCTAGGCAGGTAGGCTGTGTTGACCTCTGCTGTGGAGGAGCAGCTGTCCGCACTAGCCATCCTTCAGAGTTTTTTCTTGGGCCTGGCTTGAATCTGCTCCTGTGGACTGAGCTCCTATTTAGTAGCCAGATTGTGTCCTCTGGTGTCTTTCATCTGAAAGGAGCCCGTGTCATGCTGTTTCTGACTGCTCTGCCAGGTGTACCAGAACACACTAAGTGGAGGTGATTGGGGATGTCTGTTTCTAAAGCAAGCTGCTGATACAGAATGGATCATTCCTATCATTGCTTCTCTGGGGAGCTAATACTCGGTGAAATCTTCAGGTATTTCTCTTTGAGAAGACATCTTTATGTGAAAATCCATATAGAAATTATAAGTCTACACACAGAGTTTCTGAACTTGAAAATCTGTTTTTCCTGAAATGGGATTTTCCCTGTATAGGAGGTGACAAGTAAGAGCCTTACATGATAGAGATTCTGATTTTTTTCCTGTGCAATTGTCCATTTAAGTAGTTAATAATTTGAAAAGTTGTCGGAGTACCTGCATTATGAAAAAAAGACTATAAAGCACCAGATGTATTTTGGCATAATTTGCAGTGATTTCAGGCCACTTTTGACACTGATATGCAATAATGTTGTTAGACTAAAACTAGAGTGGCTGGTATTTTGTTAAGGACATTGTAAATTATCTTCCTGTTGCATCATCCAGCTAATGTGAAGATGCCTTTATGCATTTCAGCATTCTGGGCAAGATAAAGAATTTCAGCATTTCTTTTATCTAGAAACTTTCTGCGCTGATGTTTTGTTTAGCATGGATCATCCCCCTGAGCAAGCACCGTGCACAAGTACCTTATACAACACTGGACACGTTCCTTCAATTAGCCTTTCTGCAGATCTGTAGGCAAAAGGGCTGCAGGAGGTGAGAGAAGGGAAGGACTTTTCCCTGCCCTGCTGAGAAGAAGTGCCTCTGCTGCCCTGACCCTTCAAAACCCTTTAAAATTTTGTGCTAGCACCAGACCTAATATCGTTAAAGACGATTTTTTCCTTCCTTTCCTTTTTCAGTTTTCTCCCTCTCTCCAGTTCTGGGGCAGAATAAAAATCTTTATAAATCTTATGTGATACAGCCTGGGACTACTGTGGCGGTTGTCCATGGAGTTTTATTTTTCCAACATTTTTTACTTCCCTCAGAGGAAATGTGTCTGACAACAAAAGGCATTCTGATTGTCCTCAAAGTGAGAAGTTTCAGAATTTGACTTATTCTTGAAACAGGATCCTTTTGCTCTGAACAGAGTTTTCTGCAGCAGTGAGGTGAACAAAAGTCTGGCTGTCCTGTCCTTTTATACTGGCCAGGATCTGAGCAATTGATGGCATAATACACCCCCACACTCAAGCAGATCCATGAGGTGAAGAAAAGCAGTATTTATTTCACAAAGCTGATTATTTTCTTATGATAGCTAATTGTTATTTTAGACTTATCTCCCTTCTAGCTGTGGAACCGCAAATAGATTTAAATACCATATATATGTTTGTCCCTCGTAATGAGAGTTATCCTTCAGAGATGGTATATGCATAAATATATTTGCATATTCTGAGTGTTACTGAATCAACTTAATTACTTTAATGCTTCCAGATCAGTATAAAAAATCTTGATTTTTTGCTATATTGCAAATGCCTCAAATATGCAGTCATGTAGTATTTTAGCACCTTTTACTTCGTCTGGGTGCTTCAGCTGTGCATGAGTAATGGGGGTGGTAGCATGAGGATTTGGAGATGTGGTCTGCTCTTAATGCTCAATCAAGCATATTTTACTGTACCATTTGAAATGAAGGTTCACATCAAAGAGCCATATTGCTAAAAGTATAGGAGTCTAAAATTAGGTATATGAAATATTGTGTGAGTACCTCAATGCCTGGTTTATATATCTACTGTACAATTACAGTACCTAGATATGTAATCTCTGATATTTTTATCCAATTGGCAAAGGTGCTGGAATTATTCCTGTTCATATAGCTGAAATTTTAAACAGCAAGACAGAAGTCCTCATCTCAGACTGTCTAGAAGACAATAAAGTAGTTTGAGGAATGTGGTAGTAGAAGATGTACTTGGGCACAAGACAGGACATCTGCTTGTTGATCTTAATAAGTGTTAATATATTTAATTATAGACTCAGCACTGTGGGGCATGTTGCAGCAGTTTTGATTCTGATCGAATGCTTTCCTGCATCTCTCGCATGGTTTTGATGATACTGGGCCAGTCGGCAGCATTCTAGTACTGGTTGGAAAACATGGGAACTGGTAGTTCTGTAAATGCCAACTACAAGTACTCGCTGCAGAAGTCTGAAAATGGTGAGTGATTCTTTGAAATGTAATCTTTTCCTGTCTGCTCCTGCACATGCTGTTGGAAGGTTGTGGTGGATGGGCTTCTTTTCTACGTTACTCCTTTTTCTTGATAGTACTGAGGTGAGGTTATATCTTTCAGTCATGTGCTATGATGAGGAATTTCAGATGTCATGCAGAACACCAACGTTAGACTTAGAAAATAACAGCTTTCTAGACCCAGGATTAGATTAAAATCAATCAAAATCTGACCAGAAGTGAAGCAGCAATAAGCAGTTCTGTTGGAATCCAGATTAATTAATCAATTTCTGGCTAATTTGTGTGTGTTGGAACCTCATGTGCTGACAGGGTGAAAGATGAAAACACCCTGCTGCTTCTGGTGGGCTTTCTCTTCAAAGACTGTGTTAGGGATGTAAGACTGATAAAGCAGAAACATTAGCAAAGCCAAAATAAACGTGGTTCTAAAGAAGGAAAGATGCTGTGGTTAAGAAAAAATAAAAACCAAAGCATGAAGAAAAAAAGAAAAAGACTAATTTTCTGTGTTGTTTCATTCAGTCGTCAACAGTAGCAGAACAGCAGTATGTTACAAACTATTTGCAAATGTTTTGAAAGCAAAACCAGCGATTGCTTTTAGAAATTAGGAGAGTGGAGATACTGTTGTGACTCAGCATTATGTGTTCGTAATTTTTGTTTATTAAAAATTTCCACCTTTTCTTTAAGTTAGAGTTGTCTTCTGCCAGTAGCACCAGAGAACCAAGGAGTTTCTCAGGAAGTTCAGGGTGATTTTATGACAGGGGCTTTTTCATAACATAGAACACATAACATAAAACTAGTTACTTATTTGAAACCCTCCATTAAATCTGATACCTCATCAACAATTTCCAATGGCAGTAAAGTCTTTGTCAATTTCTTGCCTCTCATTTTTTAAATCCTTCAGATTTGGTGATCTGCAGAAGTGGAGCTAGCTGCTCAGGAGTTTCCAACGTAACCACTGGCCACCTGAGGCTGGAGCTCTGCACAAGTTGTGATGAGGGAGCAGGCCAGACCTTCAGCTGGTACCAGCTGGCACAGAGCAGGGCTGTGCTGACAGGGCATCAGCTGCCTCTGTCTGCTGTGGGGCCTCTGGTTCTCTTGCCTAGGTTGTGGAGAAGTGGTAGAAAACACCCATGGTGTAAATGTTGCCATTTCCCTGCATAGATGTGCAACTTAATCTTCATTAAATAAACCTGTATGATGGGGAGAACTTGGGCTGCATAAGTATCTGCCAGGTTAAAGAGAATGTTTTCTGGCTTGTATTCTCATTAATTAGAAGTTAAAATGTAGATAAAAATAATTTCTTATGATAGGCTTTCCATTTCTTAGAACAAGGTCTCCTTTTTTTTGTTGGAGCTGTTGTTAAAATCAGCTTGTAGCTATCCACTTGTATTTCTGCAGTGCCTTCTCAGGAAATCATACTTTGCTGGCACTTGTCTTGCAAGAGACCTGAGACTTGTGGGACGCTCACTTTCAGGCAATTGGTTTGGTTATAAATGGTTGCAGAGTATGAAGGCAGTATTTGTTCACAGCTGATTTGTGAACTACACTGCTGGCATGAACAGGCAGGTGTAGCTGAGTTTGGGTGCTGCCACTTTGGCACACATGCAGTAGCTTATGTGTCGATGTATGATTCAGTTTACTTCTTGGATCCTCATAAAATGTGGATAAATCTCTTTCTCTTCCTTTTTTATTATTTTTTTTTTCTAAACTAGTACAAACACTCCCAGATGCAACTCACCCAGGTAAGCTGGTAAATTAGAGTACCTGGCTTTTTCAGTTGCAGAGTCAGTCTATGTAAAAGTAGTATTAAAAAAAATAAATTATGCCTTGCCCATCTGGAGCTTAAAATGCTGTGGATGGTGGTATATGTGCTCAGTGTGTGCTTGGTGACCAATCTTTCATTGATTTTATTTATTTAATCTGTAAAAGGATCTGGTTTTCATTGGTATATGTGCAGTATAATAGCTATACATTTCTTCTTGGGATTCACTTGAAGTGTATCTGGCTCCTGCTGCAGTAATTGGATGTTATATCTGCTGTTAGGGGAATGCAACATGTTCAGAAGTTATTTATTTTAGAGTGATTGGGACTGTGATTCTGGCTACATGCCAGCCAAATTGCTGCACAGGGAGTAAGGCAGCTAGTGTGAAAGATATAAAGGAGGCTTGAAGAAGTAGCATCGGGTGCACAAAAGGCAGAAAACAAAGTCAGCTTTTAAAACTTTCTCATAGCCCAGCAGATCAGAAAGCATTTTCTCAGCAAGATATAAGGCCCAGGCAAAGTCTAACATAAGTTATTCTCAAATTAAGGGTAACCAATCTTACCTTCTTGCCCATGACTTCACTGTGACTCAGTTCCCTGTCTGCTCAACAGCAATAGCTCTTCTGTGCTCTGCACCTCCTGGTGGTTTTACAGTAAAATAGATTAGAAGGATTATTATTTTCAATACATAATCCATTGGAATATCTTCTTTACCTAAAGGTCAAGTAGTGTTTCCTGCTGAGGTGCACCAGGTTTTTACATAATTAATACAAGCTAATTGAATTAATATGATCTCTTTGTCTCTTGCCAGCACTTAGCAGCCTTTGGGGTAGGGGTGGGGGGGATTTTCTTTTTAATCAAGCTTTTTCATTCCACACACCCAATTAATTGCTCTGCCTGCTCTGGTGAACATAGCAGCGCTCTCTCACAAACCATATGCCAAGGGAACACAAGCTTCTGCAGCAGGGCTAACTCTCTCGTCTTCATTTGAATTTGGGGCCAGCCTCTAGATAGAGCAGTTGTCCCTCTCCCAGCTGAAGCTGACGCAGAGAAGTGCTTTTAGAAAACGTTTTAAACACAGGGCTCTAGGAGTGAACAGAAAGAGCACTGAGCCTAATAAAAAGAGAGAGACCAAGTAGCAGAGCTGGTTGGCAAGGTGATATAAAGTAACCAGGCAGTCCAAATGGGGTCAAGACCAGCTAAGGAGGATGTAAGAGTTTCCAGGGGTACATAAAGTTCTGCTGCAGAATTTGAAAAAGTAAATGGAAAACTGTACCACTGTGCTTTATTTTAAAGTACACTGCTTTATCTTAAATCACTGGATCTGGGGAAATACAGAGGAATTATGATGTTTTGAACACCAGGCCATGTGGCCATCATTTGGAGGGAAGAGCCTGGTGCCAGTGCTCGCTGTAGATTGAGAGACCTGTGAATTCCTGGCATTTCCCTCCTTCTGCATCATTAAGTTGATGAAGGGTTGTTTCCCTCTTTCCACTGCATGTGTTATTTCAGTCCAAGATAACAACACCTTAACATTTACACTAGAACAAATCACACATGAAGTTTGCCCAGAACTACAGAAGCTGAGGTATGTATTTGGCATAAAGGAAGGGAGATAAAACCTGTATTTTTGAGGTTCTGTAGACCTCAGTCTCTTGTTTTCCCTCATAACATCTTGTGTGGCCTCAGTTAAATGTCTGGTTTCCTGAAGCCCCAGTACCTAGACTGTAAAGGGGACATGAAAATGATGAAGGCGGATGGAAAGGGATGAAATTGTGCTGTAGCACTGAAGAATTTGTTTGGACCTTTAGGCCCCAATAAGTTGTTACCACAGATGCTGAAGAGATGGCACTGATGGTGAGAAGCTCTTCAGAGCAGAGTCAGATCACCTCTTGCAACAGGGTGAAAAGAAGTGGGTGTTCTGTTATTCCTAATATTTAGGCACGAGAACACCTTTTCCGAAAACTTGCTCTTGGAAGAGAAAGGTCCCTCTTGAGTTTTCAGGGTCGGGAAAGGAGAAGCAGAGGGATATCTCAGCTGCTGTGGCCACTGCAGCTCACCAGGCTGTTTCTGTTTTTGTCCCCTAGCTTTCAAGGCAGCCGTTTTGATCCAAAGGTGGTACCGGCGCTATGTTGCTCGGCTGGAAATGCGCCGACGTTGCACTTGGAGAATCTTTCAATCCATTGAGTATGCCTGTGAGCAGGATCAGATCAAGGTAAGGTGCTAAGGAAAAGAGTGAGTGGGAAGAGACATCCTCTTTTGGTGATTTTGGTACTGGCTGAAGCTTAATTCCTAGCTTTCTGTCTGAATGCAGCCTCTCTGTGCTGAAGCTAGCTAATGGTACACTATTTTTAGGGCAGAAGCAGGCAGCTTCTTCCTCTGTGGGTGTATAAGACGTATCATGATTTTTAGGACCCTAATTTATGGAGGGAGAGAAATAAGCCTCTGCCTGAAGGTTTGCAAGGACTGCTGCTGTAAAAGTGGCAGTAGTAGAGTAGCCTGGGGAGGAAAGAACATCGTGTAGTAGGGCGTAACCTTGTGCCTCCATGGGTCAGGAACTTTACAACTTTGCGTTAAATTTAGAGAGGGTTGTTATTTGTGAGTGTGGGGTTTTATTTGTTTGGGTTTTGGTTTTGATTTAATGAACTCTTGTCTCCTTTGGAGCCTAGTCCCTCTTCCCTCTTGGAGAACACTGTGGCCTGACATTATTTGCCATTCTGGGAGACAGGGCCCTTCTGTGAATCCTCAAACAGGAGGATGCTTTCTCTGCCACAGATGCGTTTGTTTCTGTCTACTGTCCAGTAAGCCTGCAAGTGCTTTGCTGGACCAAAGACTGGGTTTCCTGACGCTTTTCTGCCTATCAATTTCCTGCATGCTTGTGTGTGTGATGAAATGCTAAGAAATTAACCTTGAAATAAAGTTATAAGGAGCATTTAACATCATCAGCCCTTTCCTGAGTCTGAATTCAAGAGGCAATCCTTGTTTTGTTTGAACTTTGCTTGATGCTGTCTTATATGGTTGCCTTGCTGTTGAGCAGGGAGAGGGCTTATGGGTGTTCTGTCTGTATGGCTGAAGGGAAAGCTACTACTTTTACTTAATTACAAGAAATATCAAACCAAATAAGTACAGTCTGATTTGTTGTACATGCCAGAAAACGTGAGAAGGGCATGGGCAGGTAATACTTGTAAAAAGGTCTTGTCAGCTTCCCACTCTACGTAATTTCCACTGGGTGTTGGGGATGTTCCAGGGTGAATGATGATGGGCTTTGTATCTTCTTGCAGCTTCACAACTTCTTCAGCTACCTCATGGACCACTTCACGCCAAGCAGCAGTAAAGAGAGTAAGTTTGTGTGTGTCTTTTGTAGACTCCCTACAAATTTGAATAGGGACTGAATCACAAAGACAATGTAAGAGCTGTGCAAGGAATGTGGGGTAATTCCTACTCCTTAGGAGCTAGAAGGGGGAATAAAACCTCAGCGTGTTTTCTAAGAGCACTATTAGAAATCTGCCAATTTTTCAGTCATCCCTGGTAACCAGTGCTCTGCAGAGTCCATTTCTGAAGCTACAGAGGATCCATCTCTAGGGAACCAGAGATGCTTCAGATTATCTACATTATTTAGTTTCTCACCTATAATGGTGGGGGGAAAGAAGTGCAGTGGGAACCAATAGGGTATCTTTCTGAACCTGCAGAGAGCGCTGTATATTATTTCTTAGTGCTGGGAGCTTGCTAATGAATTTAGGTCTGAAATCTGGTTATAACATGTTACAGCAATTAAAAAAAAAAAAAGTGCAAAACTGAGAATGTGGGTGCAGGCTTAGAAAAAAACAGTGTAACATAGGAGACAGCTCCTCATTATAATTTTGCATGCTTTTTGCTCTTGCCTAAAGAAACAGCTTTTCCTTAACAAAAAAACAAGAATGGTGTATTAACTTTTTCTTGTCTCTTTCTTTTTTAAAATAAACAATCCAACCAACCAACCTGTCATCCAGGGGATTTTATCAGTCGCATGTTCATAAGTGGGGAAAGCTTCAAAGAGGCAGAGCTGGAAAAGTACTGCGACTATGAATCCATGGAGGTGCCAGACTCCTACACTGGACCCCATCTCTCTTTCCCCCTCCTTCCTGACCATGCGACTGCCTTGCTGGAAGCTTTCAAACAGAAACAAGTAAGGATCCCAAAAAGAACCACGCTTTCCCCTTCTGCATATAGAGGTGTGGGACAGATGATTTGTTTTTAGACTTCCTAGCAACTAAACTGATTTGAATATGCACAGCTGGCAGGCTGTTAAGGAAAGTGGGTAGAAATGATCTGGTAGGTATTTCCCAGGGCAAACTTTCTTCTTTTCAGAAAACACAGCTCTAACAAAAACACAAAATTTTTGTAGTTAATGTGCCAGTGCTAACCTTACTTTCATTTCAAAAGGGAAAAGAAAAAAATACAACAGTCCATGTTGAAACATTCTTTTGTCATTTTTTGTTGCAATGCCTCTATTTGTATGAATGTATAGGATGGCCCAAGTGGAAAGAAGTGATCAAAATTATGTTTTGTGCCATGCATATCCAATTCGTGGGGAAAAAATATATATTTTAAATCTAAGATAGAATTGTGTGTGTTTTTTATTATTATTATCATATTAGGAAGTCCATTACCAATTCAGCAAATCTAATGAGTGGAGTCCTTGTACAATTGTTCTGCCTCCATCCCTCAGATGAGGTGCTGAACAGCAAAATAGGTCAAAATAGGTCAAAACCTCCCTTCCCCAAACAAATTCAGACTTGTAAAGCAAAGACTCTAGAGCCCTGACTAACGTTAAATTCTTCCTCACTGGCTTCGAGGGAATGTATTTATGCAGGTTACATGGCAGGTCAGAATCTGGCCTTATGTAGAGAATGCAAAGAAAGATGTAGAAGATAGCAGCTTCTTACCTGTGATGCCAGGCTGGAGTTTCTGCTCTAGGGGATGGTGTTGCATAGCAGATATAATTTCACCACAGGGTTTTGCTGCCGGCTGTGCTGATGCCAAGGCAGTGCTGCTTTGGACAAGTCTCTTCCATTCTGCTTTTGCCTGGTATTTGTGCTGTCTTGTTTGCAAACCTGAAGGTCAGCTCTGACTGTTGTGATGGGTCCTTGGGGCCTTTGCAGGCAGCTGGGTTGCTGCTCAGAGCTTTAAGTCCTCCACTTTCTCCTAGTAGCAGCTCCACTGCTCGCTATGTCTTAAACCTTCTGCATGAGACCAGGAAGCACCTCAAGCAGTTGCCAAACATCAGTCACGTCTCCACCTGCTACAGCGAGGAGGTCACCGTGTGCGGTACGTCTGGGTGGGAGGGCACTACACAGTCTTTGGAGGGAGAGTGCTTAGGTGGAAGGGATGGAAAAGATATAAATTGGTACTGTTCAAATGTGGAACAGAAATGCAGCCTCTATGTAAAATGTGTGTTGAGAGGCAGCTGGGGCTGCCTTTAAAATGTCTGGTAAAATACCCTTATGGTGCTGTATTTGAGCTGCTGTCAAGACTGGCCTGAGCATTGGCGGGAGCAATTCTCCAATGTGGCCTCATTTCTCCTTGGTCTGGAAGAGGATGGTTTGATAATTGCCCCTTGATGGCAGCGTTTAGCTTGCCATACCCTGCTGTAGCAGCAGTGTTGTCATGGCGATTATAAAAATGCAAAGAGAGGAGGAGGTATGAAAGGAGAGGATAAGGATATACATTTGTCTTAGCATAAAATGAGGGGTGCTGATGATGGCCCGTGGCTGTTACAATTGTTATACATTACCACAAAAATTTAAATTTTTTTTTCAACTGGATTCAATTTTGCCTTTGTTCTGTAACCCAGAACTTGGGATCCCTGTTCTAAAGCACAGAAACTGCACCCAGTCAAGGACTGGCCTCAAGGCTCATTTATTGTCCTGCTCTGTGCCCTGGAATTATTTAAGCAACCAAGTCCTGGAGCTGTTTTGGTTAAGTCTTCATAATTCTGTGCATTCAGATCCAGGACACTCACACATCTTTGAGTTGTATCAGATAAATTTGAAAGAGACAAAACTTTTCACCATTATTTTCCTGCTCTAAGACTAATGTTAAAACTTTGAGATATTTCTGAAAACCATGTGTTATGCACAGAATTTTGTGTGCAGTCAATAACACATTAAATGAAAATTTCATTTGATTATTTTGTATGCAAACCTTTCTCCTGTGTAATGATCAAAGTCAATTTCTTGTGCCATCTTGTGTCATCATAAGAGAGATGCACAAAGCTTCTGAAGCAGTTTGTTCTCACTCAGACTTCGGCTCAAGCCTTTATATCATGTCCTTTTGCTCTGGGCATGCTGCCTCAGGAATGTATTACTTTACTCTGGACCTTGAACTTCCTTTATAGAGATACTTTATAGAAAGTTATTTATTGGTGTACTTTTAAAGTTAAAAGTAAGCATACTGTGACTTGTCTTTTTGTGCCTGTTAGGAGATTTGCATGGCCAGCTGGATGACTTGTTCCTCATATTTTATAAGGTAGGCTCCATACTTGGTGAGACTGCCCAGGCATTGTAAGAGGTATCACATGGGTCATGCTGAGAAGCATTTGCAAAACTGGGCCCTTGAGATGTAATTGTCCAGCTATTTTGATCAGTTTTAAATGGCTTCACAAAGCAAAAGCTTATTCTCTTGCTGACTTTTAAATCTGTAAGAACTGTTATGGTAGACATGTACATTTGGCAGGTGCTAATGGATATTTTTGTAAGTCCTGACACCAATGGCTCCATCTCCTGACTCCGTTTTCACTTCCCAGTGCATTTACCACTGGGAGCCTACAGGATAAAAATAAGAGTTAGGATCTATTGTAGAAGGTGACTTGGGGTAAAAGTGAGCATGCAGCTAGTGGGGAGGTATATTTGAGTGTCACGGGGAGGCCTCTCTAGTAACATCTACCTGTCCCTTGTTTTTTGCAGAATGGCCTTCCTTCCCCTTCCAAGTCCTACGTGTTCAATGGGGACTTTGTAGACAGAGGCAAACAGTCCCTCGAGATCCTTATCATCCTCTTTACCTTCCTCTTGATCTATCCAAAAGAGGTTCATCTCAACCGTGGGAACCATGAAGATCACATGGTCAACTTACGGTATGGGTTCTGTGTGGGGCTGATCACAATGTCAGTGGCATCGCTGCAAAATCTCACTGAACTTCCTTTCTTCTGTTCCTACAGGTATGGTTTTGCCAAGGAAGTCATGCAGAAATACAAGGTAGGAACATGTTTGTGTCTCCTTCAGCACATGAGACACAGGCTTTGAAGGTTCGATGCTTCATCTTTTCCTTTCTGCCCTGTCCTCCCAGGTGCATGGGAAGAAAATCTTGAAGATGATTCAGAATGTCTTCTGCTGGCTCCCCCTGGCCACCCTGATTGATCAGAAAGTCCTCATTATACATGGAGGCGTCTCTGATACCACTGACCTGGACATGCTGGAGAAAATTCAAAGGAACAAAGTAGGTTTTATTTCCTTGAGACAACAGTGTTGCTGATTTATGATTGGAGAGATTACTCCTGTGTGTCAGCTTGGCTGTTGACAAATGTAAAGGATGATCTTCCTAGCCAAGAAGTGTGTTTAGGTACAGGCTCGGGGTGCACTGCTTTGGTTTAATAGGGTGTGTGCAGGAGGTGTGAAGGAAAAAGGAGTTTTTGATTTCTGGAACTTGAGAGGATCGGTTATAGCCAGCTAACTGGTGGACAATGGCATTGGGTAAACAGATGTGCTGGTGCTGACAGTAAAAACATAGCAATTACAGGATTTTGTCCTGTAGTTCTTTAGCTTGTTTAGCTTCTTTCCAAGCGGTTTGACCATCTGTTTCCTTTCCTACCTCTTTCAGTTTATTTCTGTCTTGAGAGGGAAGAAAAGGAAGGAGTCAAACAGAAATGTGGAAATACGGGACGTAAACGGGGAGAACAACGCAGAGGCTGACCCTGCAGGGAACGACGCACTGCCCAGTTTACCCTTGCAGCCCCGACCAGCGCAGGCTCCCAGCATGGCCAACAGGCTGGAGTTCTCCAGGTGGGTCCGGCAGACGGTGCAGGAGCAAATCGAGTGGTGCCGCCGGCTGGTGGACATCAGTGAGTCGGAGGACGAGGAGCCCACCTACTCCAGCATGGTCTCCTTAACAGATTTGGATGCGCCGTGCTGGACTCGCCAGGAAGAGTGGAAGCAGGTGAGTGGTGTAAACGGGGCCCTGGCTTTGGTAGGTGCCTTCCACGGCTTTGTTCTCTGTTCTTACAAGGAATCTTGCTATAAAATGTGTGGGTCAGTGCCCAGACCTCTCTGCAGAGATATTTTTGCTGCTCTGTAAAGTGGATTTAAGGAGAAAGTCAATGCAGAGGTGCCAGAGGAGGACTGGTGCTCGCTGTGTTCTGCTGGTGCCTTTCTCTTAGTCAGTCTCTTCACTGGGCTTTTGGCTTTCTGCACTCAAGGCTCTGTTCAACATCTGCCACCAGCACGGCACTCTTATGTTGGATAAATCAAACTGCTGCTCAGGCACAGCGTGGGGTGACAGTTTTTTTTTTGATTCACTGCAGGGGAGAGAAATAATAGGTGACTGACTGTAGAGCCCAGTGTTTATATCCCTTGCTGTGTGCGTGGGGTATCTGAGGTCAGCTCTGCAGCTAATGAATGAGCGTGTCGTTTGCTGATGAGGGAGTTGTGATCTTGGATGCTAGGAGCACTAAGAGTACTAATGGGCTTCTGGTTTTATCCAGGCTGTGTGGTAAGATCACTAGGTGAATCAGAGCCTGGAAACTCAATTTCCTCTTTCTGTTGGATCAGTCTCTTCGTGAGTCTGCGTGCTGTGAAACCATCATTCCTTACCACACGCTGCCCCTGACATCCTGGCATCACACACCTTATCAGCGTAAAGCTGTATATTGAGGTCAGGGTTAAAGAGATTAAACTTTAATCCTTGCAGTGGGTTACTGAGTCAGCACTTATATTAGTGGAGGCTGCTGAACATCCTGACTGGGAAGCAAAGGAGTTTAACGCTAAGTCCACTCATGGCCCCAGGATCTGCCAGGCATTCTTGCTCTGGGACATGTTTTGGGCTCGAGGAAGACAGGAAAGGCTTTTTGAAATCTAGCGGGATCAAAGGGAAAGCTTCTTTCAGGCCTGATTTATGAACGTCTCTCTCCCCCAGGCACTTTTGAGTGTGGCTGTAGCTCCAGGCAGTGTTGTCACCTCTGTGGTGGCTTATGTCTGTGAGAGTCCTGTGAAGCAATAAGGAGGTTCAGCTGGGATTCAGAAACATCTCTGCATTACACTAACAGAAGTCCAGGCATGCAGAGATGGTGCTGTACTTGCTTAGTTGATGGGTGGTGGTTGACAAATACACATTATTCGGTGAACTTTTCCAATTCTTTCAGATTTTGGACATTCTCTGGAGTGACCCCATGCCTCAGGAGGGCTGCAGAGAAAATAAGGTGCGAGGTGGTGGCTGCTACTTTGGGCCTGACGTGACAGCGAAGATCCTTGAGAAGTACAACTTGCAGTTCCTCATCCGCTCCCACGAGTGCAAGCAAGAGGGCTATGAGTTCTGTCATAACCGCAAGGTTGGTGAGGGGCATGCTGTGAAGGATGCTTGGGTTTCCATCCTGCCAGGGCAGGGTTTCTGAGGTGTTTCATCTCAGCTCTTCATTTCTTCCAGTAGGGTTTTGTTAAATACATACAAAATCTTTGAGAGGCCGTATCAGGAGTTACTGAAATGTGCTTCCAGCTGAGATGTGAGGTCAGGGCAGTCTGAAGTCAGCCTCTCTGTCAGGGGGACTGTTATGCAGGCAAAACACCTTCCTCTGCGTTGTAGCTGGGAAAAGATCTGAACCCATTTGTGCTATTGCCCCTGCTTAAAGCAGCTGTTTCTGAAGACGAAATATAAAAGCAGCATTAAATAAGCTGATGCAGCAAAATTTGGCTCTCAGAAGATTCAGGGTGACTTCAGTGACCTCAGCTGAGGCACCTGGACTCTGCTCACTGCAGTGGAAATTTGTCAGGAGTGCAGAGAAATCATAGAACTCCAGCACACGGCCAGAACCATGCAAGGCCAGTGTCACCCTTGAGGAACTCTCACCTCACTTTTCCTTTTCCACATAAAACATTTTACTTTCACCATCTGTTGCCTCCAGATGGGATGGGAGTTTTCACTGATGCATATATAATGGAGGATGCATGTACTGACTGTAAATGCCTCTCTTTTTGGGGTTAGGTACTGACCATATTTTCAGCCTCAAACTACTATGAGATCGGCAGCAACAGGGGAGCCTATGTGAAGCTGGGGCCGGACCTGGTCCCTCATTTTGTTCAATACCAAGCCAACAAGACAGCCCACACTCTCACCATGACCCAAAGGCAAGGCTGAATATTTGTTGCTGAGTATTCACCAAGCCAAAATTCCCAAAGGGAAAACTTTGGGAGCTTTGAGAAAGTTTGGCTGCAGAGCTGAACTTTCACAGCTTGATTTACCAAATAAATAGCCCTAAAGGAGGATTCAAGCTTTGAGCAGAAATTACTGAGTGAGGTTCAGGGGGACAAGGAGGAAGCTTACAAGAGCAGAAAGGGTTTTTTCATTACTGGCTGCTGATTTTCCAGCTTCTCTTTCCAATGCCATGTTTCAATTTGTGACCCTTTGTTGCTTCACAAATTGCACAGCTGTTAAAAGCCTCTGTGACTGGCATGGTAGAACCACTGAAACAAAAATGGGGAAACAAAAATGGGTAAACACAAACTGCAGAAGTTCTCTGGGATGGATTGTTTTTCCCTGTACCTGAGCTGACTGCTGACAGCTTGTAGAGGAAGGGCAACAGTTTCTGTGCTATGGCAGGGATTCACTGGATCAGTTGGGGGAAATACTGCTCCAGACACGTGCAGGGCAGTTGTGCGAGGGTCTGGGCAATCCACGGACAATGCAGAGGACTGCAAACATGCTTCTCTCTTTTCTGCATCCTTCAGAATCAGCAGAGTAGAGGAGTCAGCCTTTCGAGCCTTGCGGGAGAAGCTGTTTGCTCACACCTCCGCTCTCATCAGCGCATTCAAGGCATACGATAAGGACAATACAGGTAAATTTGAGCCACGAGCTGCTAAATTAATCCCTTGGTGGGACAGGGTTGAAGAGGCTAAGTTGGGTGCACGTCATAATCCTCAGGCTGCTTTTGTGCCAGCTAGGAGAGCTCTGCTGGTCAGGCAACTGAGTCATGGTGCTGAGGAGATCTCTCTGCATGTGCTTAGGGGGGAAACAGGGACAGGGCAGTCAGCAGAACAACTTCGTTGTGGGTGTACCTTCCCTAGCAGCAAATCATTCAAAACAGTCCAGTTTAGCTGTTAGAGCAGCTGATAACCTTGGGGCTTTTCTATGTTCCTGGGCCACCGAGGAACAACTAGTGGAATTGCACAGCTCATAAGCTGCAGGGCACACATGGCTGTCAGTCACAAATTTATAAAGAAATATCCAGTCAGTGTGTCTTCACAGTGTTCAGAGGTTTGTAGTCCCACTGATTTGTTACGGTGGTCAAAAGCTGGCTGAGGCTGGAGGGGACAGCATGTGCTTGTGCCCTGCAGCGGCTGTTGCAGGCTGATGTCTGCATGGCCATGTAGGGTTTTTACCTATACCCAGGTGCTCAAGTGTACCATGGAGAAATGGAGCCATTGCTGGCAGTAGCACAGTAGCTGAGGATTTCTACTTTCAGAGTCGGCTGCGCTGCTGGCTTGGTGTAATGGATCTTCTGGAGGTGGCCCTGTGCAGCAGCTAGAGGTGACAGTGGTGGAGCAGGTGAAACAAGCAACACTCCAGCCATCTTTATGTGCTTTCAGTCACCAGCCTCGCAGTGGTCTCCATGGCTTTCTCTTCTCCTTACAGGAAGGATCACGCTGAGCAACTGGGCAACGGCAGTAGAGTCAGTCTTGCACCTGGGACTGCCGTGGCGAATGCTGCGACCGCAGCTGGTGCGCACCACAGCGGATGGCATGCTGGAGTACAAGTCCTGGCTTGATGATTTAGCCATGGAGCAGCGGAGCCAAGAGGTAAGGACTCATGTCTGTCAAAGCGTGCTGCAGAGCAGCTCACAAGGTCTCAGTGTGGGACAGGCAAGAAAGGTTCCTGTAACGCAGAGCTGCACAGATGGTCCAGCCATCACAAACCCAGTTCATGAGTGCAATGTTCTGTGCACTGCTGGCTAACTCTTGAACGCAGCAGCTATTTTTATTTATGGGAGGGTCTGCAGTAACTGCTCAGAGAAAACAGCTGTTGGAATGGGTAGAAAGAGCGTCCATGTTGTCTTTCAGCGCATCCAGTCAAGCTTGTTGGAAGTCATTTATCGGAACAGATCCAACTTGGAGACCATATTCAGGATCATTGACAGAGATCATTCAGGTAAGGAGGGGTGCAGGGGGTGCTGGTCACTGTGTTGTGTTCCATTCTACTTTTGGTCTTCTTTATTATCTTCAAAGGCATTTATTTAATGGTTTAGGGTACACATCACCTTCCTTCCTACACTGTTTCTTTTGGTTCTGGCAAGTTGTATTATGTCTCTTTGCTGCTTCTAAGTTGCATTTTATCCACTGTTCTTCACACTAGGAAGTTGAGTTGCAGCATGTGAAAGCCATTCCCTTCCTTTAGGGTAAGCAGGTGGTGAATCTGAGCCGGGATACATCCCTGCACCGAGAATAGGAGCTGGCAGTGTGGTGCTAAGGTGGCTGTGCCTTTTTGCCCTGCAGGTCTCATCTCATTTGAGGAATTCCACCAAACCTGGAAGCTGTTCAGCTCTCACATGAACATTGAACTCACAGACGACGGCATCAATGACTTAGTTCGCAGCATTGACTTCAATAAAGATGGAAACATCGACTTCAACGAGTTCCTTGAAGCCTTCCGCCTTGTCAAACAGACACAGTAGTGAGAATCTGGAGGGGACTTGCCACGTCCAATGCCTTGTCTGCAAAGCCAGGACTCCTTCCTACCTAACTGCAGAGCATGCTTGCAGCTGCAAAACAGGGGAAAGGGAAAGCAGGGACCTGTAGCACTACTGCAAAAGCTGAAAATAGGGACCACCCCAACCAACAGCTGTACTCTGTTTTGGGAAGGTAAAAGTACAATAGATAAAATGTACTTCAGTTACACCACATTTAAAGAAGAGCTCCGTTCCAAGTAGAAATCCTTGCTCCAAGGGAGCTATAATTTAATTTCTTTTGTCAATGCATGTGATGAAATCTTAAAGATCTATTCCAGTTCAGTAAAATGGAATTAAAGGCATTTCTTGGGGGCCGTGTTTTAACCACATAGCAACTGCTACTGCACGTCTTCCGTTTATGAAACATTTCTTCTCAGCTGGCTGGTCCTGGGCCTTTTCAGCTGTGCTAGCAGCACTGCTGTTTCTGTGATGATACCCCTCTCCCCTGTTGCTCCTTTGCTTCATTAAGTTTGCAGCCTACTACATATGTTCAGTTTATTTTTCAAAGTGTTGCTCAACTATCTTGAGCATGCAAAAGAGTCTCTCACATGGAGGGGAGGGGTCTTAAGAAATCTGCTGAAGCTATCGTTTTTGTCAAGGGTCATAGGAATGGACAAGGTAGCTCCCAGCTGCAGTGATTCTGTTGCAGGCTCAAGATTAGTTTACATTCAAAGCACGATACAAATGCAGCATAAAAAGCATGGGGGAAATTTTTAAATGAAGTGTTTGCAAAGAAAAAAACATCCTCTCTCATATCTACAGCATCGTCATTCTAGTTGTTTTTCCAGTGCATGCAGCTCTAAGATCTAAGGGATGTGACACTGTTTTAGTTTGGGGACTGAGGCTACTCAGGAACTCTGTGGCAGCTGGCTGGGTAGCCTGTTATATGCAGTGCCTAGAGGAAAGTGAAGTGCATTAACCTGGACTTGTTGGCAGCTTCGCGGCTTTACTGACAGAGCTGAAAAGGAGCCAACACCATGCACAAGTTATTACAAAGTCAGACTGAATTTATTACTCTCCAGAAATTAAAAAAAAAAAAAGGAAGACATCATCTACACATCTTGTTGTTAGTTGAGGGACAGAAAAGCTTCTCAGAATTCACATATGTAAACAGTCCAAAGGAAAGACAGACACTGGAAAAGTCAAATTCCTGCAGATTGCCCCAGAAAACTACCAGTATTGTGAAGACCAACAATAGTTACAGCAGCATACATATCTGTAATGATTTAGATTAGCTGTTTACATAATGCTGTTACTTGTTTTGACAAAACCATGGAAGCAGGCTAAGCTTTCCACAAACCAAGTCACAAGTAGAACAATGCCCTCACCACTGTATTTTCTAAGACAATACTGTTGTAAAAAAAAAAAAAAAAGGAAAAATGTACAATAGTACATATAGTTTTATAGTAGAACAGTATCTGAACAGATTCAGTTTTCCTTCTTTTATTAAAGCATATACAGCTTTATAAAATATAAACCTTCCAAAGGTCAAGTTCAAAAGCTTAGAAGAGGCTTTGCTAATTCTAATGATAACAGAAGACATACCATTACTCCTAGAAGATACACATTTTATTTTACCTCGCCAGTTTTAGCCTTGGAAGGTGAACCATGAACTTGAATAATATGTTCTGTGCGAGCGCAGCAGCGAGTGACCCGTCAACTGAAGACTCCTCCTCTGATGGGAATGCTCTCGTTCAGCCCATGTTCTATTAGTTTGATGTCCTCCAGGTCATCCTTTATAATGCTAATTAAGTGACTAAGACCTTCCTGCTGCTGCTTCAGATGCTGCAGGTATTTTCAAAAAACAACATGAGTGTACTTTAACTTCATAGATTTTAAGTAACATTTCTCAAAGCAGTCACAGCTGGTGGCCTTGGCAAATTGAAAAGTCCAGCTTTCTTGGTAAAAAGAAAAAGTAGCATTTTCTGCACTAATACATAATTGCATACCATAACTGTATATAAACTTGAGGCACCATCACTGAGAACTGTAAAAAGGACTACCCTCAAACAAAAGCCATATAAAATTCTCAATACATCTCCCAAATTAGTGCCCATCACGCTTATATGACCAAGTTGTGACAGTCTACTGGGTAGTACTTACTTGCTTGATTTCCCTTAAGAGGTCTGCATCTATGTAATAGCGCTCTTCAGCCCTCACTGCTCCAAAGTGGTTTTGCATCCTGATTTGGGACATAAGCTCATTCAGTCTGCCCTGGGAAGAGAGAGGAGAAGAGAGAGGTTTAAATTAAACAACTCATTTACATCTGTCAGAGCTCCAGCACACATCACTCCAAATCACCAAGGCAGGAAGAATTACTGATTATGCTAGTTTTGGCTCAATTTTTTTTTTTTTTTCTTGTGGAAGGCATGCAAGGAGCAAGCAACACTAATACTTTTAACTCAAAAATACTTAGACCTATCAGACATGCAGCAGAAAACATGACGCTGCAACCTAGTAACACTGCTGGACTTCTCTTCTGAAAGCTTTCCACAAGAAATACATATGCGTGCTTTGGAAAATTTACATTGTTTTGTGAGGAGAAAATATGGGTTGTTAAAGTTCTGAGCCAAGTTCTATCAACTACTCACCTTGAACTGTGTAGGTGCATTAAGTTCACACTGAATAGTATCTAACTGTACACGAAGCTGCTCTTCATCTGCTTGAATGGCATAACCACTTTTCCTTTGGATCTCCTGCTTTATTAACACCTGCAAAAGAAGCCTTTGAGGTTCATTAGAGAAGACTTTGCTCCTCTCTTTCTCCACCAGCCCAGTCAAATCTCTTTTTGCCCTTCCTCTGAAAACTGTTTCATAAGATTTGTTCTGTCATTCATTTTGCTGCTCTGAGTCTCCAGGGCAATCCCACATCTTCTGGGTAAGTGAGAAAGTCTCCAAAGCAGAGAGACATGCGTTTGAAGCTTTCCCTGACAGCCCTGCATTTTAATTCAATGAATACCTTTAGATGAAGTCAGAATTTCATTTTCAACACTAGCTGTGCACACAACTGCAGAGGTCATACTGGGGATTCCATCCCCTTTCAGTTTGATTTCTGGCACCAGCCTGCACATCAGAATGAGTTACTTTGAATATCTGTGTTACCTGTAAGGTTCTGTGAGATAGCGCCATCAGTTTCCTTTTGTACTGTGCAATTTTTGCCATAGTGGTTGTCTGGTTTTTCTGTAGCTCACTGATATCTTCTGATATTATCTGCAGATGACATGAATAAGTTGGAAGTCATTAAAGTGTCTGATAACAAAGCACATTTGTTCTCATTTGAAACCATGAGTTTCAAAAGAGTACTCAGTCCAGCAACCTAAGATCCTTGCAAAAGATGATTTCAAAAAAACTTTTTGCTGGACCTTTACAGTTTTGGTCACTGTTTATTTTTATATGCAGGTGGGACTTCCAGAAGGCATAATGTGTGCCCAAATTAGAGTCCATGTCAATGCAACTTAATACAGCTGTTTGATTTAGCCTGTAACAACATACTAAACTTGAGCCTAAAAAAAAAAAACAACAACAACAAACAAACAAAAACAAAACAAAACACACTAGTCAGATTTTGGGCCAAAAGATATTAATAAATATAGTAAGGAATTAGAAGAAAAAAAGAGACACAGCCCCATGCACAATGGCTCCACCACCAGTTTTGAGCACACAGAAGAGAGGCTCATATAATAGCACCTCCTTCATCAGCAGCAAGCAATCACAATAAAGATGAGAAACCTTACATCTAATCGAGTTTGATGCTGTTTGGTCATCTGATCTTGGACCTTCAATCTTCTCAACAGTTCTTTGAAACCCACCATTGGTACAGGAATAAGCCTACAAGAATAGAAATATTTCTTACAAAATGTTTTTTTTTGTATGAGACATGTAGCACTGATTAATAATTACAAATATAATCTAATGGTGATCTAAGTGATCTTGGCTTTTGATAAATCAAGATATGTTTTGGTAAGTTCTAGAATCCTCTCTATTCCTAATAACCTTCTCCTTTTTCAGAAGGAAATCAGCTTAAGCTGCCTGTAACCACTGGAAGGCACAAGAGTACAATTTCAGCTTCAGGGATAAAGAGGAAAAAAAAAAACACATAATGATTGCAAAAAAAAAAAAAGAAAGAAAAAAAGTCAAAAAAGTCACAATAGCTAGGCCATAAAATAGAGAGCACTGCAAATCCAAGTAACAAAAGTTAGGCTCTTCATCCTGACTTCTCTTAAGCACCTAAATGGGTAAAGGGATTAGGGAGGTATGTCTAGTTAACCTTATTGCTTTATATTATATCAGCACTGGACAAAGTTATTCTCTACTGAGTTTCTTACCCGTTACCTGAAGGTTACTACTCAATATTCTGCTTTTTCTCCCCTCTTTCCAAGTGTTTTTGTAACAGTAGGACAAACTATTACACTTACTTGTCAGGATCTGGATTATCAACTTTGGCTTGTTCCCATATAATAGGATCAACACCTTAAAAAGAAAAAAAAAAGTATGGACAAATCTGAATAGCTAATACATCTTGCAGCTGTAGCAGGAAAAACACCAGGAAATACAGAAACCACATAAACTGTGCTTAATGACTGTTGTACAAATATCAGGTTAATTAAACAAGGGTAGTTCTTAAAATCTCAGTCCTGGGCTATGACAAAAAGCCCAGTCCAGATGACAGTTGTGACTTGTATTGGTTTGAAATGGCAGGGAAGGAACAACCAACAGATTATCAAATCAGATAATACATGCTTAAAGAAGAAAAATTCCTTATTGCTTCCACTGCATGCTACACTTCAGCCATCATTCCCCTTCAAGTTGTTTATTTTATGCAACAAATAAAATAAAATCAGTAATTAAGCAATCTGAGGACCAAACCAGTTTCCAAGGTGATCACAGTAGGAATTATCATGGCTCCTAGCAGGATGCATCTGAGGATTTCATCTGTTTACAGGACAGTTGTGTGTTTTGCCATGAACCACTTCATCATGTAAACACACTAAAAGCAATCTAATTGTACTAGTAATTCAACATCATGATTATTACATTCTCCAAACCTCACTGCAAACCACATCAGTGTATAAAACGCACATCCAAGAAAAATGCACATGCTGGAGAAAAAAAAGCAATACATATAAGGAGGTCTTTCTGACCAGAGACAGACATGTCCAGCACAGACAGCAAACATGGCACAAACAGCAAACTAGAACCAAGCTGTTTACTTGCTACCTGTAACCACGTAATGTATGGATACAGGCTAACAGATTATCTCCCCAAAAAAACTAGGAAGCAGATAAAGGACATGATTATTCTGTGATTCTGATATGTAGCTTTTTTTTTCTCCATCAGACAAATACAAGTGATTGATGATAGCAAAATCACACAGTCCACTGCTGTGGATAAATTACTGATACTTACTGATAAATCAAGTTTTTGCACAACTATCTTAATAGATTATGTTGTGCTTCAGTGGGCAAACTGGCTGTAAGTAAAAACATGTCATCGCATCAGAATGCCTTGGAACCACCTGCAGTTTCCAGTGGACCAACACCTGCATTTTTCCTAGAGAACTTAAAAACCACCCAGCAGAGCCCCAGTCGTGCCCCCGCGCAGCCCCAGACCACATACCAGCAGGTGGATTCTGAAGGAGCTGTTTGACTTGGGCCGGGGAAAGCTCTGTTCTGGCCATGGAGAGACTGACTCCCAGCTGCTGCAGGGACGATTTTATGTTGGCTTGTTCAAAGTGGGCATACAGGGTTGTTGCTGGAACTCTCCTCGAGGTGCCGTTGGGTGAACGCTCAACAACGTAAATGATCACTTCTGTCCTGAGCAAGACAAACATGTACTGTGAGACAAAGCAGCAGTGTGCAGAGACTAACGCAATGAAGAACAAATCTAAATCAAAGTTACTGCTTCTCCCAGCTGACTGAACTTACTTCAGTTGAGATATAAAGTTAGGCCTACAAAAGCACAGTGCCCCCTGGTTTTAACAACCATACTAGGTACTGATACTAGTACTGCATTAGGAATAACCTAAAAGCTTCAGGTCTTTTTTAAAAAAAAATTAATAAACTGCAGTAAAGTAACAAGTAGAAATGTCAGCGTCATCTCCAATTTTTGCTGCTAAGCAGGGTCTGGAGAAGCCTGTTTCCCAAACAGAGCTGAGGTCTTCAGCTGCGCACTCCACCAAAAACAATAACATATACAGGAAAGATACTGGTCTTAATGCCTTAAGAAAAAGCAAGAAGAAACGAGAGACATTCAACTCCAGATGAACAGATTTACAGTCAAGTTGAGTGGAAGATATATCCACCACCACTTACTGAGCAGACTAGGTGCCAACCCTTTTTATAACATGCAACCCTGAAGAAAAAAGCAAAATTGTGTCAAGTTCACATACTGGTCATCTGGCATCGTTTTAACACCTTCTATGTTGACAGTGAGGGTCTGGTTTCCTCCCAGAATTTTGTGCAGTGATTCTACGAGCTGCTGCTGCTGGCTTCGAATATCTGTTTCTTTTCTATTAAAGACCAAGACAACAAGGCCATCTTCAGTCTTTGTTGTTGGGCATTAAACTGTAACCCACAGCCTGAAGAAGAGCAAACAAAAAGACAGGGACTCAGCAAAAAGCGTATCTATGTGGCATGAAGGGGGGGACTAAACCAAGATAAACCCCTCAACTTTTGAGCAGCTGGTTCAAAATATCTCACAACATATTTAGAGATGTAGAAACAAAATCAATCCCTCTTTAAAACTACACTCACAGGGCCACCAGTAGAGTAGCTTTTGAAACAGTTCTGAATTTTCACAAAAATAGTTCTTAAAGGTCCATTCCCCATCTTCAAACAATCAGAACTATGGATGAGCAGACTGGCAACTTTGCCAAATATTTGTGGTATTTCAGAGCTGCTATCAATACAAATATTTTAAAAACTTAAAACTTTTTCTAAGTTGCAAAAGGAACCATGGAACCAGAATCCAATACAGAAAGATTGCTAGAGACTTACTGAAGGGTTTTACAGTATTAAATTTTCAAGTATCTCAATAAAAACAGTTACTGACATAACCCAATTGAAAGATAAGCCAACCACAAATCTATCTGGATTTCTTCATATTTCTAATCCTGTATATATAGACAGTGTGTCCAAGAGTACAAGACAAAACACTGACATGAAATATTTTTACTAGCGAAGACATATCACGTAAGGTTCCTGCAATTTGGGACAGCCAATTTTCCTCACAGTAAGTGTGATGTTTGTACAATTGCTTATAAAACTTAATGTTGTCTTTATCCTTGCTGTGATAAAGCTGTAGTAAGGTTAGATGTTTTCATCCAGCATCATGATCCAGTCTAGGAACACTTTCTGCTATCTGTGCTAAGCAGCAGTGTATTTTCTGAATTGCAAAACAAAACAAAACAAAAAAAAAACAACCACCAAACCTCTGTTGGCTTCAAAATTAACTCCGCATCTTGTATGAAATATTTAAGCTGATTACTCATTATAAGCAAAAGCAGAACGAGCAGTTTTCACCTCATCTTGCCCACATGAAAGAAAAAGTAGGGAGGCACCACCATGCCCAGCCTGACCTGAATCCTCAAGTCTAAAACTCAGCAAGAAAGTCAGCAGGTGCAAGATTTGCAGAGGATGAAGACGTACGTGTTCTTTGTTAACATGGTAAGCAAGAGCTGGTACTGCTGACAATGCCATATAGAGAATAGAGCCAGCTTTAGCACTTGCAAGGATAAAGGTAGAAGAAATCTTTGAAAATCAATATATTTCCAACGGCCAGCTTCACAAAGAGTTTTTCTAAAGTATGCGAACCAATGAAGAAAGACTGTGAAGTTCCTATTCCACATACTGAAAGTTTCTCTCAGGTATGAAGGATTATTTCAGGTAGTTTCTGTGCACTGACCTTAATGCTCTCAAAGAAGAGGCAAATTGCACAATCACAAAATGTTTCATGATGCACATATATGCACCCATTAACTAGTATCTCAGCAATACACAGATTTCTAGTATCTATATGTTAGAGCGCAGCAGACAGAACACACGCAGCCGACTCAATATGAGTGGTAAAGCATAGTTCATCTTTATTGCCTGGATAGCCTACTTTTATAGTGAACTTAACAGGGGTGGACAGTGTTTCACACAAGATCATTGGTCAAAAGCACTCAGACAACTACATGAAAACAACCCCCTTGTGATTAGCAGTCACGTAGACCTTGTCCTTGAAGCCAGCTGCTGGTAACAATATTTTTCTGAATTCCTCAATTGGATGACGTGGGAATCATTGTCGTGGGAGCTTCTCATAGTTACCCTGGTAGCTTGGTTTGCTCAGCTACAGCAGGCCATGAGATTTTCTAAGGCCTACTCCTGGTTGCTTAAAGCAAGCTCAGATCGAACAATTGTTCCAGGGACTCATGTCCACGCCCTTTGTGCCAATTCCCAACATCTATACACCTTCAAAGCTTCTATTAATATTTATCAAATTGTTTACATTACCCGGAAAAATAAAGCTTCAGATTTGATTTTGTTACTATTGAGAGTAATTTAACATTCACGAGACATTTAAGACACACAACTAGCAAAGAGAGTAGCTGCCTCAGAACTGTGTGTGTAGGTAACGAATTCATACCTTAAATCTGCAAAATGGGTTTTCCTGTGTGAACTCCACTGGAGCAATGTTATTGTTGAAGTACCCTTTGCCTGTTCCCCAGAAGGCCTGTAGCTGGTTCCATTTTGCCAAAATGGCATCTCTCTCATCTCCTAAGAGCGTCGGCGCCGAGAGGGCACTGGCTGTATTGATGAGCTGGTTTGATTGGGCAGGTGTCTGAGTAGGCTGGCTGAACAAGCCGCTTCCCAGTGCTACATCAGATGAAGTAAAAAATTAACTCCTTTACCAACAAACAGACTTGCTTGCTAATGCATACCATCTGCATATCATTATTATCTCTTTTTCACTCATTTTAGAAGCAAAATAAATGCAAAGAATAAATAAATATCAGGTAACACTTTTTGAAAGTGTCTCTTTACATCCGATCTTTATCAGCAAAAGAAGTCCTTGAAGGCTGAGTTGAAGAAAAGAATTACTCTTTTTTGCTTAAATGGGACATCTGTATTCACTCATGACATGATCTGGTACCTCAATATCCTAATGTCAATCTTGGTTATAATAAATTATAATTATAAATTATAATAAATTATAATTATAATAAATTAAGTGGACTCGGAGCCTGTAGTTGTTCATGATCCAACGTACGGTTAAACTAAATTGAACGCCGTTTCCCTCCTGTTTCTAACAAGGCTATGGCTGCCAACAATGATTCTGTAACTGCTAAACCAAAGTGTCAAATACTGTCACTCAAGGGCAAAGTTCGGAAACTTGCTTGACCTCTTATTTAAAAAAAAGGCAAGGGCTGAAAATGTAGGCATTCCAAAAACCAAATTTCTGACATGTCTCCATTTAGCCAAAGACTGTAACAGGCTCCTTCTGTGATGTACTTCAGCCCCATCACTCAAGCACCAGTGTCAGTCTTACCCTGTCCTCAGCAGCCGAAGCATAAGCCAAGAGAAAGCCATACTTACTGGTCTGTTGCTGCTGGGTACCGAAGCCTCCAAAGCCTAACCCAGTTCCCAACCCAGTACCCAAGCCAGTTCCAGTCCCCGTGCCAAAACTAGTACCAAATCCAAAGCCTTTGTTCTGGGTAGCACCAAAGAGTCCTGGGAAAACAAGGAATTGTTGAGAATAATAGGAGAAAAGTACCTGTGAACTGCAAAACATTGTGAATGAACATTTAGAATAAAACATTATGCTTTATTCTAAAGTAAATGCTTTAAAATTTGTGCTCTCTTACCGCCAGTGCCTGTATTGGTGGGAGCAGAAAAACTAAATGCTGGTGCCGCAGTGGTGGTGGTTGTCCCGAATCCTCCAAATGCACCTAACAAACAAAGTTTGCAAATAAGGCAGGCTGCGTGTTGTGAAAGGGAACTGTGCATAACGTGACAATGAACCGCACACTTCAAGGGGTGTTATGGGATGTTGACAGATGCATGTGTTATGTTACAAGCACGTGGTTCACACTGACCATGGGTACCTAGTTCATTGTCCAAGGAAATGGGGGAGAAAACATGAACCAGAAAGCCAATACATTTATGGTGCGTCAGAACGCAAATAAAAAAGCAGCAGGTAACAAATGCTCTGTTCCTTCACCAGGACGTGCTTTCCTTGGTGACAGACAACTTGCAGTAGAGTATTTCTTACACTGACTGAAGTATTCCTAAGAATTAATGTTGTTGCTACATGTTTAAAAAGTGATCTAATGTGAGCTTCGTTGACATTTCTAAAGTCTTAAAAGCAAAACCAGAAAAGAGTCAACTCAAGTCTGCGGCTAGGGGGCACAAATGCTATGCCTACATGTGAGTACTGTCACAGCAATTCTTTCTTTCTATATGGTCTTTTCCCCAAGGCTAGTTTCCCCATAATCTGACAGCCTCCCCATCAGACTTCTTTTTGAGGTTCAACCATTATCCAGAAGAAAACAGATGCAAAAGCTATCCACCTCACACAGATTTTCAGGAAAACCAGGTGCTGGCTAGCAGATGGAAACCCCAAGTGAGAGCTCCCCCATGCCAGATAAAGCTCCCCCCAGATATCTTCCCATTTGTCTTCATGGCAGAGGTGTGCCAGAAGCCACTGCACCACCTCTTTTGGATCCTAATGCACCATCTGATTCAAGGTGCAGCCTGTGCACATCTGATCTGACTAGGCCTAGAATACCAAATCTCCGTGTCTGAGGCAGCTTTTGTGTGTTCAAAATGAACAAGGAAAGCCTAGTATATAGGATGTGTCAAAAAAATGCTGCCACTGCTCATTCATGTTATCACCAAAAAAAAAACACCCACCCACAAGTTGTCTTGGTAAACCTACTGCACTTACTGTCCTGTATATATATATGAAATAAAAAGCTTAAACAAAAGCTGTCACGCAACCACATTTTATTTTCATTCAGCAAACATCTTAATGCAACTGGATGTAAGAGATGTTCCCAGTAACATTCAAGTTTCAGTCCTACCAGTAGGTGAGCAACCCTAGCAGGAGTACCATCAGATGGCACAGTTTTTAGGTAGACTGGTATTTACAGCAATTTAACATCCTTTCTTAAAAAAAAAGATCTAAAAGTGCAACTACTAAACAAATTGTGTATTAGAGTTCAAATTCAGCTACAGAAATACAGTCCAATAGCATTCATACTTAAAAAAAAGAAGAAGAAAATAAAAGATCCCTTGAGCACACAAAACAGGTAAGATTACTCTAACACAGGGAGCAATGATGCTGTGGAATGAATAGAATTCCTATACGAGCAGCGGCAATGAGACCCCATGTGCTAATTCTGTGAGAAAAAGCATGAGGTATCCATGTAGTACACTTTTTTCTTTTTTTTAAATGTGATGGAGATTACCTTGAAATTTATCATCTGATCACCCAGAATTGATAGATCTACATGGGGCCAGGAAGGGTGTTCTTAACCAGCACCCCACGCACACATCTCGCCAGGACCCTCGCAGAGAATCATTTGAGGACAGCCTGGGGTGCGCACCATGTCAAGGTGCAAAACGGCGTTTTGGAAAAAGAGGTAACAGCGAGGGCTGTTCGTCTTTTTGTGCTGATCGTATAAAATTTGTTTCTCCACAGAAACTACTGAGGTGCAGTGCATTCATGATAACCAACGGAAGGCCAATGAGACAGGGAGGATGAAAAACATGACTGCAGTAGTCCAAGAATCTCAAGTCAGGGAGCTTGGTGTTAGGACCAACTCTGTGATTGCTCGTGGTTGCCTAGGTTAAAAGGAGAATTAACATTTCTGTTCTGCTAGGTAATTGAAGCTTGATTTTAGACTGGGTAAGACTGGCAGGGTACCACAATCCAGTGGTCCAGAGACTGAGCATTTGGTACGTGTTTTTTTTTCCTCAACAGCTATGTCTGAATAATTTAACAGGCAATAAAACCCCCTACAAGTCTATGGCTCTCCAACCTGTACCACCTTCAGGGCTTGTATCTCCAGTCTTCACTGGATATGAAATAAGATTAGGACTAAATACGGATTCTCAGGAATGTAATTCTTGGACCCCTGCTATTAACATTGATTACAGAACAAGTATTTATGCGTTATCTACCTGCACTTGCCAGACTGTTACCAAAATTGAATGGTGGAGTTGAGGTAGTGGAAACACCGAAATTCCCAATATTAAAATTCACTGCAGGATTAGCAGTTAATCCGAAACCCCCAAAATTAAACCCACTGGCAGTGGAGTTTGTAGTTTCAAGCCCACCAAATCCTGGCAAGCGTGAAGCAGAAAAAGAGCAAGGTAGCATTAGTTCTAAGTAAAAGGTAGGTTCAGGAAGTAAAAGCTGAAATATTTTTCCATCCCCAGAGACAAAACAGGCATAGTTAGAGCAAGAGGAAGATATTAACTGGCATTAAGCATTGTTTACCGAACACAAACAGAACAGTTAAAAGCATTCTGTTTAACCCACTCTATCACTACAGCAATGGGATTACTTTTCAGCTATTCTGCCTAACAAGCAACTCACGCTTTTCCCAACTTATTGAAGATCTATATGTGAAAATAACCAAGCAATCTGAGATTCCCATTACGAGCAATTTTACCCAAGACTGCCTGATAGAGCTGCATCTGCGCGAGCATGGCTGAGGAGCACCACGCGCTGCTAAGGTACCCCTTCACTGCAGTAGCAAGCCCAACAATAAGTACTGCGGGATTTTTCACCTTGTATTTGCAAATATGCTCTATGCTCGCTGGTATTTCCTGATGAAGGTTTTTAGAGCTTGGAAAAAGAGGATGGTAGAGCGGCTCTGATCGCCTAGGAGCTGGGATCCCCAGCTCACAGTGCTCGGGGGGCATGCCAGGCCTGAGCCCAAGCAGCGTGAGGTGATTTTTCTCAGGATAAAGCCTCAAGGTGTGCTGATGAAGCAGCACGAGGCGATTTTTCCCCTTAAGACGTTCTTACGAAACACGAGGTCCGTCCCTGCAGCCCAGCGGGCGCCCAAACCTGTGCTGACCGCCGGGAAGGAGCCCAGACCCCGCCAGCCCGCAGGACCAGGACCCGCTAAGCATGTTTTACCCCCCACAGGCCGGCAGCGAGGCGGGGAGCCCGCGGACAATTTTTCTCCCCTCAGGATTTTTAACCGCGGGGCGGCTCCGGGCGGCCCCTCAGCGGCCGCCTCACGGAGGGGCGCGACCGTTGGCGGGCTGCGCGCGTGGGGGGGGGAGGTTAGCGGGGGCCGGGAAGGGAGAAGGGAGACGGGAAAGGAGCCAGCGGCCGCCTTCCCTCACTCACTCACCCGTGGGGTTGGCGGCCCCGGTGCCCGCCGCCGCCCCGAAGTTGAAAGCCATGAGGGGAAGAAGCGTGTGGGTGCTGCCGGGGAGAACAGGCGGTGCTTCCGGCACCCTCCCCCCCCGCAGGCTTTCTGCGTGGTACCGCCCGGCGGCGCCCCGCCCGCTCTGCCCGCGCTCGGGCTGTACCACTGTGGGGGGCGGGGGGGAACGACAGGGGTGTGAGGGGGGGGAGCTCTTGGAGGCTGAAGGAAGTCTCCTAGGGGTTGGGCTTTCCCTCAGGGAGCTAAAATCCTCCGGGCTTTCCCTAAATATCGTGTTCTCTTTCCCTAAATGCCATGTTCTTTCCAGCCATTGGGCAGGGAAGGAGGGGAATACCACAGCAACGCGGAGGTGACTAACTCCAGGAACATGGCTGGCATCCAGCGTGTGGCAGGAGCGACTTCTGAGTGAAAACGGAGCAAAGAAAGTTCCCGAAGTGTTTTCACTGAGTGCTGCCTTCCAGGCTGGCTGCCCAAATAACAACATTGGAGGCGGGGGCACTGAGAAGAGGGGACAGTTTCTGCTTACGATGTGAAATTGCTCCCGAAATGTCTCCAGAAAGTGGCAATGAGTCTCCCCTTCCCTGGTGTGTGCTTGTGGTCCACGAGGCAACAGGCAGGCAAATGTCCTACCAATGTACCAAACTGCTCCTTGGCCAAGGCTTAGGATACCGATTTGTTAAACTCAGGCCTTCTGCTGAGGCAAAGTCTCTCAGCAGGGCTGTGAGCACCATGGGCTGCAGCGAGTGCTTTTAGCAAACACAGATAATAACTCATTGCAGTTACCTTCAAACGTCCTGGTTGGAACCGGCTGCAGATGAACAAAATTGTTGAACAAAGCACCAGCTAGGCAAGAAAGCAACAAACCAAAACAATGGAAAAAAACAATACCTCTATTTAGAATAAAATAATACATTTTAAAATATGTTTTGCTATCCAGATCCAATGGAAATACTTCCCAATTAGAATATCCCTTTCGCCATGGGAAAAATACTTTAGTAATTTCTGAAAACAAGTTTCCACTTGGCAAGTAAAAAATTCTTTACATCTTTTCAAGGCCCTACACATACCTCAATACAGAGGTGTGATTTTATCCTGAACAATAAACGTAACCGCCAAATCTGCATTCATATTAAACCACACAGCTGAGAACCGTGACAAACACCAGAGGAAAAAAAGAACACCGTTTTTGTGCCTTCCACCATCAAGACGAATGTTGTGTTCTGTTTTGTTGTCTTCTGTTTTTTCAAGTTGAAGGGAAACAAATCCAAGTCTTAAGGATAGATGTAACACTAGCATGCAATAGGACTGTGTGCAGTTAGAACAGTTACGAGGTCTGTACGTAAAAGCATTTCCAGTCACTGGATTCTTTCTCCCTGATAACTACAGATACTTAAAACGTTTCACACGATATTTTGGGTTAGTCGTACAAATCAGTTCTGTGGAAGGACCAATGACATTAATAGTAAACAGTCAGTGCATACTGGTAGTAAGCAGCGCGCAACACTTTACAGAAAAAACAATACTAGGCCTACAGGAAAAATGACAGGTCTTCCTGGGTGGTACGGGAACCTGCTGTGCCTTTACAAGGGTACTCTGCAGCCCACGCTCCTAAGGCCATTTGCAAAATTTACCCCTGTCATTTCTGTGATGAATCAGGCCTTTGTTCTTTTCACTGATATAGTGGTTATGATCGTCTATAGGTGTCAGTGCAGGTACAAGAGAGTGCAGAGCTGAAAAAGCAGGATCTTGAGCAGTTTTAAAACGCAGTTTTAAAGTTGTAACTTAGCTGGTAAGAAAAGTCTCCTCCCTTGATGACAGTCCAGATTCTCTTCCATCTCTATGCCACAATAACTTACACTTGACACGATTGTTTCTCCACGGTGGACAACGGTGGGTAGTGGTAGTTGCTATTAGGTCAGCTCTAATAATTTATTCTCCAAGCTCACATGTTAAAGAAAATCTACTACTATGTCCTGATGAGTGGGGACCTTTCTTCTTCAGTACTCTGCAAGAGAGAAATTTTAACACACGAAAGTTAAATGTGGCACATCACAGAGCTTCCATGGTGGGGAAGCTGGATTTCTGAAACTCCCGACAGGAAAGGAAAAAGCTTATCTCCTACTTCTACGTGCAGTTTCATGGAGGAGAACCAACGCTGTGCTGGGGAGGTGCTGGAGGGTGGATGGCAGCTTTGGCAGGGTCAGGCACTGGGCTACAAAGAGCTGTCCCAAATTTGCTTACTCCAGAGGATGGAGAGGATTGAGGCAAGTGGAAGAAAAGGGCCAGGATGTTCTCCTTGCCCCCACTGGAGGGCAGGATGCTGCCATCTCTAAGGACAGCGAGTGAGGTGATGCAGGAATTAGGCCTACCAAGATCATGCTTTGCATGCCAGTGGGGCCAGGATTCAGTGTGAACAGTGGGTAATGGGCAAGAAATGCAGTGAGACACATCCTGCAGAGAAAGCCGTCCTCCTGGAAGCTGGGAGATATGAGGCAGTGATGAGGCAAGTCGTTGATTAGTAGGATATTAAGGATGCAACATAAATGGGAAGGCTCAGGTCGCATCTTTGCAGGGCTGTGGAGCAGGTTGGGAAAGCGATGAAAGGGAGGAGGGAATCTGTGTATCTGGAGGTGTGGTGTGCTCAGTTCTGGGCACTGCATCACTGAACTGTCAGGGATATCCCCCAGCCAGAGGGATTTCAGCAAGGACTCAGCACGGCAGATGTGGTCATTCACAGGCAAAATAAAGGCCTGATTGCTTGGTTCCCCTGTGGCACTATTCCAGATGATGAAAGACCATAACTACCCTGGTGGGAGGTGGATCACAAACAGACATGTAACTAGCTGAGTTACTCTTATGTCTGCAGGAAAAGCAACAAAAGTAACAGAGAAAACATGAAACTGAGGTGTCACTTGGTCATTTTAATCACTGTGTAGCATCCAGGAACATCCAAGAGGGCTGGGATGAAGCCAGCACATAGGAGAGGGAAGGAATGCCTGGGGCAGGGGCCTCAGGCAATGGGACAGTTTTGATTTTCTAGGTTGAGCCTGCCATAAATGTGAGCAAAAGAAAAAGGAAGAAATGAACAAGGAAAAAGGACAAGGATCTGCTGTAAGGGAACCTGAAGTATGGTCCTGAGAACCCCTGCTCATGAAATGCTTCCTGGGTGCCCAGAGAGAACTGCAAGAGTGAAGCAAGAGAGACAGAGATCGGTTCCTCAAAGCTTGAGGAAGGAAGGCTGAGGACTCTCCGCCACTGCTGCCACCACCATCACACCCCTAACCAGCACTGGGTCCCACAGACTAAGGTGAAGCACAGACACAGCGCAACTGGGAGCTCTGGAAGTAGGCATAATGGTGCTTTCTCAAGTGGTTTTAGGAAGGTACTTAGCCAACATCATATAAGCGAGACCACACTAAGACCACAGCAGCTACAGGGAGAAAACAGCCAACTAGAGTACCCAGTTTGTCTCATCTGAACTCTACTGCCTTAACTGTTAGGGTGAAGTTTGGGTTTTCAGCATTGCTAACGAACAGCCTTAATGCCAGTGTGTCATTTTGTGACAGAACTCTTCATAAATAGACGTACAAACTAGCACTGTCTGGATATAACTATCTGTGTGCTGTTGTCTGTAAAAGTCAGCTGTTCTTTGGTCATGAATTTGCATAGCAGTTCAGAAAAATAATCAACTGGCATAAGGCAATTGTTACTGAGAACACTGTCCAATTGCCTGTGATTTAATATCCAACAAATATGGTGAACTTTTGCATCTCATCCTTCGGGGTCCTCTAGACAGGCTGATTTTTTACTTTTTTACTACTATCAGCAAGGGAGATTGGCACAGAAGATTTGACCTGCCTTACCACGTTTCGTATATTAGCTGCATTCCTTTGTTTTCATGCATTTATTCTGAGTCTATTAAAACTTCCCCTCCCTAGAAAGGTCATTTTAAACAAAAACAACACATAAAAATGTTTGTGTACAAAAAGATACTGAAGAAATAAATCAACCAAAAGAAAATCAAACACAGACTAACATACAGTAAGCAAAGTTGAATTCAAATGCTACTTACCTCTTCACTTACTCCCCGGGACCTGCACACGAGCACAATAAAAACAATCCCAAAAACAATTCCAATAGCCATGATTATAAAGGGGATTCCAGTTACAACACTGGCTTCCAGCAAGACGTGCTTGAGTTTGCTGGCAGATGCTTCATCAATCAGAACACTCTGGAGCAGAGAAAGATGAAGAGAGAAGAAAGACTGATTTCTGTCCGTCTTTATATTAGGCCATTTTACCTTTGTGAGGTGTAGGGTAACAACGGTTCCACAGTTCTCCACCTCTGCTTCATTGCTTCTTGATATACCTTCCCTCAAAGAATCCTTAGCTCTCCTACTCTGGCCAGAGGGATAATCTGCTCTGCATTTCTAAAGGAAGTAGTGACTTTGAATGCTCAATTTAGGAAAGCAATAATATGGACCTGGAGTAATGGCATGAATCATCAAACCTAGAGTGTTCCCTGAATCCCTGAATCCAGTGAAGGCAGTGATCCAACTACAGCACAGACTGTGCTACTACTGCATTCATAGAGGTCTCCACACAAAAAGATGTGATCCTGCAAGCCTTCTGCCTCTTCCTCATGGCCAGTACTCTGCAATTACAAAGCCTACCTGACAGTATTTTCCAGAACTAAACTTAATGCAATGGTCAACAAACAGCAAGAGGATATTAGTAAGAAACAACAACAGCTTCCTACCTATCACTATACAAAGCAACAGGAAAACATGCATTTCTTTCCTGGCTAGCTCAAAGACGGTATTTTAGCAAGAATAAACATGCCACAATGCTGCAAAGAAATAACATATTTACCTCATTTAGATACATCACTGGGAAAATTAGTGTTCGGATGTTGCCTGTTTCACTGTGTAAAAAAACAACAATAAGAAATGTTTTTCCAATTTTTCAACTTGAGGGTTCTGAAGACAGATTATAATACAACAATGAACAAGGAAACTGTCCCCAGAGAAACTCTAGACTTGATTTCCACCTCCCCACTCGAGCAGAACAATCTAAATCTTCAAAATGCTAAATAATTTCTGTTTTGGGATTTGGTGGCGAAAGAAAAAAAGGGATCCATAAAAGGCTCATTAATAACTTACTGAATGACAGATTTGTGCCAGTCAGCAGGAATGCTAAGCTAAGCCGATGTTGAAGGTTACTCATACTTGTAAAACACAGAAACTATTGTCCACACAACATGCACAGAACAGTAAAAAAAAAAAAAAAGAAAAAAGTTTGGCACACATGAAATAACAGCTTGCTCCTAAGTTGTTTTAATGCAACAGCTCCTGGCCACTAGAAAACAAGGTGAAGAAACACTGACCATCTCATAAGGATTGGGGTAATTAAAACACTTCTTTTTTAGTTATAATACGTGGCAAAGCTGTGCCAATAAGCTGAGTAGCTGCGTAGCAAGGCTTGCTGTGTGGACTGCCTAAGTCTCAGGACAAAGGTTTCTCGTTATCATACCAATGCAGTCACCAAGGCAAGGTCTTTCTCTCTACCTGACCTAAGCCCTCCCTCCAGAATTTTGGATAGGACTTGCTGGCTGTTTTGAGACACGCCACTTGATTTTCTACTTTGAAGGGATTATTCCTTTTTGTTTGGTTTTCACGTGGATACTGCTGAGAAGTGATGGCATTTGCAGTATAT